AAATATTACGCACTTTTCACAAATTAGTAAAAACATGACTATAACCGAAGATAAATTGAAGCTCATGTATGCAAAGGTGGAAAATCGAACTTTATTAATTTTGATGTCAAACATGTTAAAATAAATTTCGGAAATAGATGCAGTACGCAATTTTGAGACACTTTAATGTATGGAATAATGACGGGGAGTTGTGTCGTGAAGTCCATAAAGAAGGGATAAAAAGTTGGCCGCTTTCTATTGAACAAAATCTATTAATGATATTCAGTCTTTTCATATACTGCACCTTGGTTTAATGTGTTGGTTGATCACGCGGGAAGCTAGAACTACTAGTAAGCCAAGACAGAAAAAAACCTATATAAGGAGCGAGTGAAGCTGTTTTAGTATTCATTCTATTTTTACGATGTTCCGTTTCAAACAAAAGTATTTTTAGTTCGACTTTTCCAAGAAAAGGAGAGCTTACCTACTCATTGTCGTTAATATAAGCTAAACGGAATGTTCAGATTTATTTTCGTTTCACTTGTTTCTCCACAACTGAAGCTGTTCACTTAAAACTTCACATATGTGTATGAGGTGAACGTGAAGGTCACATCCCAAGTTCCATAACTCTGTCATGTATTTTGACTGAATAGTGTCTCTTTTTCGACTTAGAAAGTCAGTGTTTAGTTTTTGCGTGTAACTTTTATCTCTACAACAACAGAAGATATTGACTTGAAGTCACACACCAAGATTCATAATCTTCCATTTTGACTGAATTATTTCCCTTGTTCTGCGTTTAGTTTTTCTTGTAACTAGTACAACCACAAAAGATATTAACACATGTGTTCGGGATGAAAATGTTAGCTAACATACCAATACCCATAACATTACCCAATTTTTCCAATTATTAACCTCTGTGTTGAGTTTTTTCTGTAACTAGTATCTAAAGATATTCACATGAAACTCGGTATTATGTGTCTCGTATTTGGATGTTATAACACGAAAAAACATGCGTTATCCCTATATTGAAAATGAAAAGCAAAAACATAAATTAGCAATAAAAAGGTTATAGAACAGGTCTGGTGTGCCTAAATGCGATTTATCACATGTTTGACGTCGCGGGAGTGTAATAAAGCCATTACATATTTTCCATATTACTTAGAGGTTATTATACAGGGCAAGTGTGCCTGAAGGAAGATATCGGCACACTTGGTTAGGTATTGGCCCGAGGGCTTTAGCCCGAGGGCCAATGCGGACCAAGTGTGCCGATATCTTCCTTCAGGCACACTTGCCCTGTATCATAACCTTTTTATTGCATATGTAGACACTCAATTATGTTATTCTTCTAAACAAAGTTTAATGTTTTATCTCCATACTGTTTTCTAACAAATCGTGTCTATTTTCTTCACATTTTCCGTTCGCCACAAACATTTGTATTTTAAATATCTGCTCATTAAATTTCTATAAAATCATATAAAAATGTGCAGAAATTTAATCTTTATCTATCCTGTTGCGTGTTATGCTGATAAGTTAACTATAAGTTATATCTTGAGCGCTCCAACGTCAAAACTTGTTTACGTCAACCGGACGTGACGTCATGATATGGATTTTTGGCACACTAGCAAGTGTGCCGATATCTGGCACACTTGCTCAATGCATGCTTATATCGGCACTCTTTGGGCAATATCAGCACACTTCCTTAGCATTTTTGTTACTATTTATAGTAACAAATGCAATAAACTAGTATAATATCGTTTTGACGTCGACGTCATTTAACGTTAGCGGACGTCGCTTGATTTTACCGCGTTTATAAGGCAAAATAACAACAATTTTTCGGTTTATCGGCTCCAAAATTTAACCTGTGATATGAATAAAATAATAAAATGCTCGGCAGAGCCTCGCAATTTATTATTTTATCCAACTCGTTTAATAAATTCAATATGAAAAGACACTCATGTAATATCCTCTATATTGGCCTACGAGACCGCTAAAGCCCTCGGGCCAATACCTCTTCTTGGCCAATATTGCATTCAGACACACTAGACCTGTGTAATAACCTATAAATACGCAACGGCAAACACTATAAATAGAAAAAAAATGTGAATTTAAACGTATATGAGTTTTGTCCATGTAATATGACTGTGGTCAGGTGACGTGATGCGCCAAATATCGATATCGGTCCGACTTCCGGTTGGGCCGATATCGATTTCCCACTTCGGGTTGCTAAAAAAACGCGGAAAGATTGACAATTTTATAAGAAAAAATACGTTTAACTGAAATATATCTTGATAAAAAAGCAAAATTGAAGAAACACTTGAAAAACAATCTCCAAACAGTTAAATAACGCCAAAATATATTAAAAACAAATGTTTGTGAGGAAATGACGTCAACGTCATTAGACGACGTCAAAAGTCCCTCGCTTTTTAAAATAAATTATACATTGTCGCTGAACAATGTTTTCAAACGATTTTTTTAATTCTATAATGAAAACCAAAACATAAATGAGCACATGCAATAAAAAGGTTATAGAACAGGTCTGGTGTGCCTTAATGCGATATGGGTCTACAAGATCGGTATTAGCCCTCGGGCTCTTTTAGTGGGCCAAAATCGAATAAAGGCACATCAGACCTCTGTAATAACCTATAAATATATCCCGCCTCTAAACCAATGAAAATTCGTGAACTTTATTAGCAGTATTATAATTGCGGCTAGTATTGTGCAATGTGAGTTTGCTTTTAGTCTTCTTGGAATCCATGTTGTTATTCATTACTTTATATTCTAGCATAAAACTGCCGTTATAACCATGATTTCGGGGTGTTTTAACAGGACCAAAAAGGTCTTTTAACAAGGAGATTCTAGCGCTCATGCGCTGTTAAAACACCTTTTTGATATACGTTTTCCGTGGCACAGCGTCAATACATTGTGGCCCGGACGCTGCTTAACTAAAACGGAAATGACGTCACGGTCACATACAACGCTGACGTTCCCGTGCAATCCGAGGAAAATCAGTGATGTTGCTTGATTGTGTATGGATTGTGTTAGATTTATGCATGCTTTATGCTAGAATAGCGTTAACGAATGATTGTTCCGTGTCATAACAACTGCTGAAACCCTCGGGATACGTTGGGTCGGGTACCAACTAATCCCTTGGGTTTCTACAGATATTTTAACACGAAAAAAGAAACATGCGTTATTCCTATATTATATCAGAGTTCTTTAGTACTGACGGCTCATCTAGGGTTCAATATGGCGCGGTTCATATAGTTATTTTACCAGTAATATCTATAAAGGAAAGGGTTAAATGAGAATCATGAAGGAAGTTGAATAAATAAACTTAAAGAAAACTTAACATTTCTTGTAGAATATGATTGGTCTTGCGAAGCTATAATTACACGAGGTCATTCAAATATCTTGCAAGCAAATTCGCTGAATTAATGTTTACCGCCGACAGCATCATATACTGATTGAAAATTAAACAATTGCAGGATACATTTCGAATAAAGACTCCGGGGAAATAGTCGGTTAAAGCATAAATTATCAGGGCCCATATCACTCAAGGTCACGGCGATAATGCACATGCCCTTTTTGTATTGAAGGTTCCCACACAATTAAAATTAGATATATTTAACATTTGAAGACATGAAATACTTAAGTTATCTGACTGAATATTAAGCAACCAGGGGTCTTAACTTCGGGTAAGTGCCGTCAATATACACATCTCCGCTTGGTATTAGATGTACCCACATAGTTTTGTTTAAATTATTCAGCAGATTTGTTGAAGAATAGGGTTGAATTAATGCTTTTCTATGAACAATAAATGATAATAAATTATGGATCATAACTCTGTATTAAACGGCCAAACGGGAAATACTGATGATGATGATGATGATGATGATGATATGCACATCTTGTTTGTTTGTTTATGTGTTTATCTAAAGTCGCCGCCGGAAAGCCCATATAAGCGACCGTACCCTCAAGTCGGACCAAATCCTTTAGTGTCCCGTCGAGATTTTTCGAGATGCGCATCTCCTCTTTATATTAAACTAAATTTCGTTGAAATTCCTAGAGCGCAGAAAAGCAATAGTTCTATATACAGTGTTTTATAAATAACAACAACAACAAGGGGCAATAAGTCTGTTTTTAAAAAGAAATGGAGATATGCTGGTTATATGTGCAACTGGTTTGTGAATGAAGGTTCCTACAAAGTTGCAGCATCGATATCCATCCAGAAGTTGCTGAAAAATAGCGTGGAAACGAAATGATTCCATATACAGTGTATAATAACTAATCAATGGCCGGATAGTGCGGAAACTAAATCTGGACTGACAGGCGGACGAACACGCTAAAACAGTCCCATCACTCCCGATTTCATCAGCGGGGGAGGGGATAAAAATGTCTGTAGTTTTAGTTCCAATAATTGATTTCAGTCCTAAAAATTTGTGACGTTTGTGACTCAGTGAAAAGCATTGAAGAAAACAATATTTATCTCAAATTTGTGACATTTGTGATTTTAAACTCGTGACGAATGTGATTGTCTAAAACATTGGATCACATGCATCACAAAATTTGTGACGAATGTGATCTCATTCTTCACAATTGTGACGAATGTGATTTGTGACACATGTGGCCTTACAGTGCTTACTTATAAACTATATAGACACACTGACTGTCTGATTTGACCAGACTTGTCGTTGGACTTATTATTAGTTTTACAATTCTGATAGTTGGACCTCTCAATTCATGAAATTGTGTATAGTACAAAACAAAATCAAACACTCTCAACAACCAGTCGAATGGCTTACATAACACTATAGTGACCCAACACTTGAATAATCCGGGTTCTGACTTTTATCAAATCTAATATACTGTTTACAGATGATTGTCAATGCATTATATCACATATTGATTCTTTTTTTCTTTTTTCTTTTTTTTGAGTATTAAGTAAAAAAAACCAGCACAAAGTATGCCTTCAATGAATAACATACTTAAACATTTATTATTATGAATTTATGATACCTTTACAGTGTCAGGTATGAAGAAAAGAACAGGACGGTTTTTCTATTACAAAAGTCTTCTTCATTTCGGCATAGTTGTTGTCCTGGATGGACTAAAGGGAGCAAAAGAACCAAGGGGTGCATGGCACGTAAGTGTTTTCTGTTGTTGTTGTTGTTGTTTTGTTGTTGTTTTTTTTTGCGAATTCAGTTTGACTTTCTGTAAAATTAACAGGGAAAGACTAAACATAAGAAGAATTTCCATTGGTCGTTTTAAAAGTACAACCTGAAATCGGAGAATCTCATTGTCATTCTAAAATAAAATGCAAAGGATAGTTCTCCCCAATCTTAATTAGATTGTTAAGGATAGTTCTCACCATTCTAAAATAAAATTTTCAGGATAGTTGTTACCATTCTTAACTTAGAAGTAACCAGTTTTACATTGGACGAGTATCCTTTTAAAGATACTTCTCTTAGTTTAACAAAACCTACAGCAATAATACCAAATTCTGTTTTGGAATAAGTGAGCTTTACTAATGTCAAACCAAGATGGTGGACATGGTGCCTTAAGCTCATGTCACGGTTCAGAACTGTTTACTATTTAGGGGAGATGATGCGTAAGCGGCCGGATAGCTCAGTCGGTAGCGCAGTGTTACGGTATTCCGAGGGTCCCGGGTTCGAGTCTCGTCAGGCTGCACATTTTTCTCATCCTGTGAACAGAAAGCTTTGCATTCTATCCAATAAATGATTTTAGTATCTAACAATCTTGGTACATTAATTTTAGCATTAACACAGCTGACAGAGTATGTATTTACTCATAGCTGTTGCGAAAGTTTGTCAACGACTGGCACCACTTACATTACATTCTTCAGTCTGTATCCAAGAATGACATAAGCTTAATTGGCGCCATTTATTAACACATGGTGTGATATTCTTGTAAACCTAAAACTCAAGGACAATTCCCATGACCGATCGTTATGTAAGTTATTTAAAAGCAAAAGACGATTATATCTGGTTTTTTTATCCTTGAAATTCATTGAAATCTGTTAACATGTGCTAGTCGCTAATCTGTTGCGTGTTGAAAATATAGTCAGCTATTATCATCAGACTTTGTCACTTGTTTATTGAAAGATTTCATTTTTGTACAGATGCGTTGATACCATAATGTATCCTTACTTCTTGCAGAAGTTCTCTCACGAAATGTCGGCAAATAGTAAAAGTGAATTGAAAGAATTCACATCGACTCAAATGAATTGGTTGTTTTGCTAGTGAAGCATTATTTCTATAGCAGACCTCATGATTAAGTTTCTTTTCTCATTCACATTTGGAAGTTTTCAAAGCTTGATTTGCATAGAGTCATGAATAGTTAATAAAATACTTTAACAAATATCATTTTCTATTTCAGCCATTTGCACCAGCGGTTGCGGAGACTTCGGAGTTTGTGTTAAACCAGAAACATGTCAATGTCCTCGTGGTTTCGAAGGGGAGATGTGTGATACCGGTAATAGATATGTATTTCCAGTCCAAACAAACAATAAATAGAAATAGAACCATACAAAAATTGGTATAAATTAATTCTGAATACGTAATAAGAGGCTAACTAGCTTTCTCTTTACTGTTTTAGATGCAATCACTAATATTTAAGCGCAATATAATAAAGTTTGTTCCAAAACAACCATTCTGAGTTTTATCAGTATATTCAGCAATATTGCTTGGAAAGATAAACAATGCTTGAAAAAATAGTTATCAGTTTCATTGGGAGTATTTAATCACCTTATTGCTTTACAGTCGATCTTTATTTGGTGTATCAACCAGAACTGACTGAGCGCATCTCATATTTGAGGCACATTTACAAAATTATAAGTTTTACTTCGCATTAATCGCATCTTACCATTTACTATTGTTCGATTATGTTTTAATTACGTAGCGCAATATCAGGTACTTAAAATTTTAAAATCTCAAATTTATTATTTTGTTTTTAAGAATTATTTTGATATATATTACGAAATGTGCTTTTGGAAGACAAACGGTGAAGTCATCCGAAGCTAAGAAGCATATGTTATAATATAAATGAAAACTATTGTACTAAATACGTATGACCTTTTAGATTTAAAGCATTGAATTTCAATCAAACCAGTTTTCTTTTCCTCAAGACATCGACGAATGTAGAAATACTGAACATGGTTGTCAACAGATGTGCAAGAATACCGCCGGAAGTTATATGTGCGCATGTCATACCGGATTTACTTTAGCAGAGGACGGTAAAACGTGCGTTTGTAAGTACATCATTCAGTCAATCTTATTAAAATCAGCTCTTAAATAACGTTACGCATTAGGAAGAAATAAGTAGTTCTGAACTTGAATTAGATTGGTCATTCAGTATAATATTAGCAAAGATATATATTGTCCAGATTTAACAAAAAATGATGAAAAACTTTGGAATTACCCAAAATCTAGTTTATCCATGTTAACATGCGGTCTTTCATTAAATTTTGGTGAAAAATTGTTGTTTTGTAACATTTTTCATTTTTTTTTAGTTAATATACATTCATATTTATAATATTAAAATTTGAAGAGAATGACAAAGATTTCAAACAACTTACAATTAATTGTATACCTTACTTGTTTATATAACTTAAAACACAGTCTGTGACATAGATCCAACCATAACGCATTTTGCATCTGTAGCGTTTCGGGGGCATATAGCGTTTTGAGTGCATAGAGCGTTTCGAGGGCATATAGCGTTTTGAGTGCATAGAGCGTTTCAAGGGCATATACTTCTGAAACAGAAGTGTCTCACAAGCCACAAATCACAATAGAATTTTGCATTTTATTTTGAAATTAAAATAATAACGTTGGTTATAGAAGACAGCTTTTGCTGCTCTTTGAAGAAAAAAGGTATTATCCCTCAAAACCGTAAAGACAAACAAGGGTAATAATAAAATGGGTTTTTTTCCCTTCTTGTATTATTTGAATAATTCATATCATCAATAATCATATACAATTGAATCATGTACTTATTTCAGATTGCTACCCTTGTCAGAAGGAGTACACGGACATGGTTCTTTCTGTAGAGAACGTGAAAAAACAATTGTCAGAAAGTATTTCTTTACAGGTTAACATTCCACATTATCATCATTGTTCTTAATTTTCGTCATTGAAAACCAAAACAATTTAAGGAATGCACTTCTTTTCTTTCAATATATATATATATAAGAATTATAGTGTGCATGTGTAAAAATGAATTTGAAAGAACTACGTTTTTCATTTCAAATGGTGAACAGGTCATTTCCTTTCCTGAATATTCATTATGAAATGTTTAGAATTAATTTGAAATAGCATTACATGAAATGCTGGTGTCTTTTGAAACCAAATAAAATACAATGATTAATATTAAACCATTAAAGGGATATCACTCCTAAGGTTCCGGGTTCGATCCTGGGTAACACCCTTGGGATTTTTCAGAGACACTTTCAGTGTTTCCCACCTACCTAGAGGTTTACTGGTAAGAAACCCAGGTAATCCTCGCATGTATCAGTGCTATACACTGGGCATGTACAAGAACCAAGGGGTATTTTCAATAAGAGCTAGGGACTGGTTCCCGGACTCCCTTGTATCTCATAGCTGTCTCTAGAGTCTGGTGAGGAAAGGACCCTACTGAAAATAAGTGCTTGCACATTCGTAGGTTATCCTTGACCGCCAGGTCTAAAGAAAATCAATCAATCAATTCATGCCAATTATCTTTTACAGTCACAGCATACGCAGTTACTCAAAACAGAAGAAAATGTTTTAACAAATAGGATAAAATCTTTGGAAGAGAACATTCGTAATTTAACAGACAAAAATGTAAGTACATGTAAAAACGTAATTATCATTAGAAAAAAATAGTTCTAGAAGCGGACCAAAAACAGAATGTTATTTTTGTATCCCAATCTCATATCTGAAAATAACTCAGTTATCAGACTGAGTGAACTTGAGGTCATTTTAGAGATGATAATATGTTCAACGATTGAATATTTGAATATATCAGGTGCACTAAAGTTCTATTCGTTCGCATAGCAAAGGTGAAGATTGTTTATTTTATTCTAATCAATTTGAAAACTGTTTGTAGATCAGTGGTTGATGTTTCCGATAAATTCTACATTCAAATGTCTCAACAATTACAGAATTACAGTGATAGTGAAAGATACGTTCAAAGGAAATCTTGATATACTTTTTCATCAGAAGATTTTTGTAATCCTGCATTTGAAGATAAAGTTAACGGATTGGTAGTCTCCAAGCATGATATCTTGTTGGGAAAAGTTGAAAAAAACTGATATTTAGAATGACTAATTTGATTTTTTTTCTTCATAGATTTTATAAATGCAGCTGTCTGTGTAGTATGAGTGTTGTTGTTGTTGTTGTTGTTGGGTTTTCATATGATTATAAAACAGGCTTAATCTATTCGAATATTAAAAAAAAACCTTGAAATTCATCAGGTTAATTGAGAGAGGGAGATAAAGATAATTTTGCTGTTATGTTATTATATTTTATAGACGGAACAAGAGCTGTTAAACAAATCGGAGGAAAATGCCTTGACAGAAAGATTAAACACATTAGAAGAGGCCATTCGTGATCTAACTGATAGAAATGTAAGTATAATTGAGAATGAATTTTTACAAGGGTATTAAAACAGATGAGTTGTTTGTCTTTAGCAGCATACTCTAATGCTCAAGCGCCTTGTCCAGTATAGACCGGAATTTGGTACGTGGTGCTCCAATCCTGTATTTAGTCTCACTCATGATCATTTGAAGGTAAAGAAAACGTATTATCTTTCAGCGATTGAATTATCTGAATTTCTGCGGTAAAAATTCAGGTTCTCTTTTTTGTCTGAAAGTACATATTGTGACTTTTTCTTCAAATTTGTTTGAAAACTGTTTGTAGTTGTTTCCGATAAATTCAGCATTCAAATATCTTAGCAATCACAGAAATACAATGATAGAGAAGATAAGTTCAAAGTAGCGTCTGATATACATTTTTATCAGGAAATTTTGAATCCTGCAGTCGAAGATAACAAGATAGGTGACTCCTAGTATATAGCATAGCTGATTTATCGGATCTCTCTGTTTTTTTATTTTAATTTGTTTTTTTTACTTTTTGCATTGATAATGTAATCGACCTGTATATGCTGTAAAGTAATAGGAAATTTTACGGGTATATTTTGAAAAACTATTAATAATATAACGCCTTATATATTCTATAAATTCTTTTTCAGAATAAATGTCTTCTATTTTTCTTACTAACGCGGAAAGTCGATGGTTCTAATAAGGGTTTCGAGTCTGATAACTAAAATAATGCACGGAGATCTTCCTACATCAGGAAAACGTGTAGTCTCAATATTTCGACCGACCGATTTTATAATCTGATATTTCATAGAAGGGCGACTATCGTCTATATAATCAAAAGCCCTAAAGCGCACATTTTTTAGGCTAGAAAAGGTGGAATGCCAGCAAAAATCCCTAACAGGGTCAGCATTGTAACTTTAATGCCAATCAATATAAAATTATTTACAAAACAATGTTATTGCGTAGTTTTTTAGCTCACCTGTCACAAAGTGACAGGGTGAGCTTTTGTGATCGCTTTTCGTCCGGCGTCCGTCCGTCGTCCGTCGTCCGTCGTCCGTAAACTTTTACTTTAAATGACATCTCCTCATAAACTACTGAGCCAATTTCATCCAAACTTCACAGGAATGTTCCTTTGGTGGTCACCTTTGGAAATTGTTCAAAGAATTTAATTCCATGCAGAACTCTGGTTGTCATGGCAACCAAAAGAAAAAACTTTAAATATCTTCTTCTAGAAAACCCAAAGAGCTAGAGCTTAGATATTTGGCATGAAACATCTTCTAGTGAGTGTCTACCAAGTTTGTTCAAATAAAAGCCCTGGGGTCAAAATTGGCCCCGCCCCACGGGGTCATTGATTTTCCCTATATGCATATAGTAAAAACTTTAAAAAATCTTCTTTTGAAGAACCAAAAGAGCTAGAGCTAAGATATTTAGCATGAAACATGTTCTAATGGATGTCTACCAAGTTTGTTCAAATAAAAGCTCTGGGGTCAAAATTGACCCCGCCCCAGGGGGTCATTGATTTTCCCTATATGCATATAGTAAAAACTTAAAAAATCTTCTTTTAAAGAACCCAAAGAGCTAGAGCTAAGATATTTAGCATGAAACATGTTCTAATGGATTTCTACCAAGTTTGATCAAATGAGAGCCCTGGGGTCAAAATTGGCCCCGCCCCGGGGGTCATTGATTTTCCTTATATGTGTATAGCAAAAACTTAAAAAAACTTTTTGAAAAAAACCAAATAGCTAGAGTTTAAATACTAAGCATGAAACATCTTCTAGTGAGTGTCTACCAAGTTTGTTCAAATAAAAGCCCTGCGGTCAAAATTGGCCCTGCCCTGGGGGTCATTCATTTTCCTTATATGTGTATAACAAAAACATAAAAAATCTTCTTTGAAAAAACTCAAATAGCTAGATTTTAGATATTAAGCACGAAGCATCTTCTAGTGAGTGTCTACAAAGTTTGTTCAAATAAAAGCCCTGGGGTCAAAATTGGCCGGCTTCGGGGGACATTGAATTTCCTTATATGTGTATAGCAGAAACTTAAAAATCTTCTTTGAAAAAAACCCGAATAGCTAGAGTTTAGATATTAAGCATGAGACGATTTATAGTAAGTGTCTACAAAGATTGTTCAAATAAAAGCCCTGTGGTCAAAACTGGCCCTGCCCCAGTTGTGTCATTGTTTTTAACTATATGTGTAAAGAAAAAACTTGAAAAAATCTTCTTTTAAAAAACCCAAGGAGCTAGACCTTAGATGTTAAGCATGAAACATATTCTAATGGGTGTCTACCAAGTTTGTTCAAATAAAAGCCCTTGGGTTTAAACTTGCCCTGTTCCGGGGGCCTATATACAGGTAAGCGACTTCAGGGCCATCATGGCCCTCTTGTTTTTATTTCTGTTATTTTTCATTCATATATTTTTTGATTATTTTCAGTGGATTCTGATTTGGATTGTAATAGTTTTCTAAATGTTTTATTCTATTTCTGTGATATCGGGTTTTTGCTGCATTATTAGTATTTAGTTTATTTTCCGTCCGGTTGGTTTTGCAAGTAAAATGATGTGTCTTCTTATAATGTATATCTTTCCACAGTTCTACTTTTCCATCAAATGAGCGTTCAATCTTTGAAGATTGTTTACTTGTTTCATTTGTATCTTGTATAACTCTCATTAATATTATCATATGCATTCAACTCTTAGAAAATTCAAGTTTTGTTGTTTCTGTCTTTTAATTCACAAATTACCGTTCGATAATTTCAGCACACTTTTCCGATATTGCCAAACATGTTTAATGCATTGACATCTAAAAGATTATTTCCTTTCTTTCATGATCACTCCTTTAATTGAAATTTAAAAAAATAACTATAAACAGGATTCGATCTCGACAAAATCAACATCGATATTCGTATTCAGTAGTACTTTTTATTTTTCATTAGAGTCGATTAGAAGAAGATATGATAGAAATTCGTGAAAAATACGAAAAAGCCAATCAGGAAATAGAACGGCTGCAGAATTTATCCATGGCGACACAAGCGCCGCCTATTATTCAAATGCCTAGCCAGTCAACTACTACAAGGCCCACAACCACGGAGAGTACAACGACAGCAACAACGTCATCGCAAGGGGGCAATTATGGCGGCGGATTGCAATTTAGTACAGACGATATGCTTTATTCCCTAAGTAACCAAATTGGGATGATGGAAGAGAAACTAGAACTTTGTGAGAAACGATTTTATGAACACTAACTACACTTTGTTTTAAAGCTGTGACTGATAGAATCCGTTTTAAATGAACATGGTGCTTTAAAAGTAAATGATTTGGCAAGATGCTGCAAGACTATCGTAATTGCACATGTTCTCATTTTATAACGTATGAATAAGTAATCAAATTCAATTAAGTAATTAGCTACTAATTTTATTATGTTGAAATATGAAATTAAATCATTTTATGTTGATATTTCAGGTAATTGCCATGCTCGAAGAAGACCTTGAATTACTAGAGTGAAGTTTTCGAGCTTTAGAAAGTGATGCTGAATGTTAACTATGGTGTTGGGCCAACTTCAAAGAATAAAAGCTATACTTACATTATCTTCAAGGTGTATACATGTATATGATTTATATGAACATTCAGTGGTGTTATATATTTTTGTTAGTCCTTCGGGATAATTGATTCCAGCACTCTAGTGTTGAAGATTGAATACCGCTTAAGCCGGTGCTAGGGGGGGGGGGGGCGTGAGAGATACTGCACTTTTTCATTATCCCTCATGAACAGATTCAATTAAAGACAGACTGCAATTTTCATATTATATTTTTGCTTCTGAGGGATCATCCTCTTTTCCAGAATTATTGGGTTTTTTTATATTATGAAAATCACGTAAATTTGCCAATATAATTAGTATTGCATCATATAAAATCTGCCCGAGCAGTAAAGCTGATATCAGACATCTTATTTTAAAATTTTGATAAGAAAAAAACAAGTTTAAATAATATGTCGTTTAAGTAACAATTTGTCTAGTTTTTTTTTCAGTTTGAAGAAATTTGTTTATGAGTTTTTATAGAAACTGTGAACAGCTTTTAGTTTAATTCGTCACAGGCGACATACCATTTCAGAATGTATTCTCATTTTATGTACATAGCTGCGAAAAACACTAGGGCGTATAACCATACCAATTTTCTGCTGTTGAAATAATCTGAATAATAACTTTTTTTCATCAGAATGCACATATCTTATGACTGTGTTGACCCAAAATGTATTTGTACTTAAATACCAGTGACAATTAAGTTTTCTTATTTATTTATGAGCGATGCTGGAACATATGTCATAGTTTTGTCAATAGCCATTTTTATTTTCATGCTTGAGCTATGATCACACATACAACGTCATGCCGCTAACATATTTTGAGAAGTAAAGAATATAATCATGACAACGGACATTCCTTGTCCATCTTCCATGTTTGTGATACGTTCCAAACATTTTCTCACGTGCCAATATACGTGTACTATATGTATATATGTTGACAGTAAGCTTCGTTGTTTTTTAAGTTTATAAAAACATAGCTTGCAGTTAATAGGTACATTTGTAATTAATAGAAACGTATTTGTTTGAGCTTTTTGAATGAGATATTGCTTTTTGTTTATTTTTGTATAATAATCTCATGGCGGACTATGCTTCATGCAAACGGTCCTGCTATGGTCGCCGGGAACATAGCATAAGAGAAAAAGACTGTGTTTTGTTTTAGTTAATAATTATGAACTTTTTTGTATACATGTACATGTATATGTGAATATTCTCCGTTTTTTCATGCAGTTAAAACTTGAAATTTATTTCACGTTGTATGTGAAAACTACTGCAACCAGACTAATATAAATCCATGCTTAATTTCGTTTTTGTCTTATATGCATTAGTGAATATGTATCACGTGTAAATATTTTTAGCATTATTTTGTTAATAAACTACATGCATTTACTTGCAAACAAAAATTTGGAGTTCACTTTCTTCTTCCTTAAGTATTACATGACTTTCATCATCAATTGCATTTTGTTGTTTTGTGACTTCTACGTTTCTGCTAAGAGCTTTTACCTTTAATAACAGCTCCTACCTTTGATATGACTTTCTACCTTTATTTAAAGCTTCAGTCTACCTTTATTTAAAGCTTCTGTCTTTACTTAAAACTTTTACCTTTAATAAAATCTTCTACCTGTATTACCACCTTCTACCTTTATTAAGTCTTTCTACCTTTAATAAGACATTTTACCTTTAATAAGACCTTCTACCTTAAGGATAAGAGCTTCTATCATTAATAAGACCTTCTACCTTTAATAAGACCTTTTACCTTAATGGTAAGAGCTTCTACCTGTATTAACACCTTCTACTTTTATTAAGAGCTTCTACCTTTAATAAGAGCTTCTATCTTTAATAAGGCCTTCTACTTTTAATAAGATCTTCTACCTGTATTAACACCTACGTTTATTAAGAGTTCCTTCCTTTAATAAGACTTTCTACCTTTAATAAGACATTTGACCTTTAATCAGACCTTCCACCTTAATTATATGAGCTACTACCTTAAATAAAACCTTCTTCCTTCAATAAGAACTTCTTCCTTTATTAAGAGATTCTACTTGAATGTGTGTGTATATGTGCGTGCATGCGTGCGTTTGTGTGTCAATATTCCAACTTTTTGGCAGAGGAAAGACCATACCTATATTACACTGTTTTGTATTATTTTGATGTAATTTTTAAACATTAAATGGACTCCATTGAGGTTTGTTGGCATGAAGGGACTGAAAATATTGTTAAGAGATGTGTAGAGATTTGATTTGCTGTGTTTTCTAAGAATAATTATTTTTATTATGCAAAGTGACCAAAAATTAAAAATCGTTGTAACTCTTGTCACTCAAATTAGGGTAAAAATCGTGCAAAATAAACGATTCTAAATTGATTATTAGTATATATCTTTACCATCTTTTATACATGTTTCCTTATTAAGTACATCACTTGATATGAGCAACAATTTCAAATTTTATACATTAAGGCTCTTTGACCTCCGTGTAGCTTCTTCAATTCTGTTAGTACACATTTTCTTACTCTGTAAAAAGTAAATATTGTATGCATACATCTACTAACACTTGGACTGCTGAATTTATGGAATAGGCTTGCCATGCTTGTAATTTGAAACAGTCCGTTTGAAGTCTAAAGAATTTCAATATCGAAATACCAATAAGGTACCACCAGCTTGGACCCTGATAAGACCGCACAAATGTACAGGCTGGCATGGATCTTTACTGGTGCCAGAAGCTAATCACTTATGGTTTCAAAGGGTTAGCGGCTTTTTAATACTTCAGATGGTTTTAGTTTTTACTGAGTGCTTAATTAAAACAAATTTTTATTCAAGTTTTAAGAAACTATTAATGTATATTGTAATAAGAGGCGACATATTGTTAAACTTGTTGATTTTGCATTTTATTTAGTTTAACCTTAATTCTGCATGCTATTAGCAAATATTTTAAGTGTTAATAGTAACTTTTGATATGATTAATAACAATCAATAGAGATACATATTTGTATTATTATTTTACATAAAAAAAATAAAATGTATCTTACACTGGATATGAGCATTCACTATTGTTATATGACTGTAGTAAGTCAGTAAATGATCCACTATTGTCCCGCAAGAATAAAATGGCTGCCATTCAACACAAATTGTCTTTTTGGCAATCATTTTCCTCTTCAAAATTACAAATTTACAAGTTTATAACCTATTGTTTGGGAATGTTGTACTGAGACATTTGAATATTCGATGACCTTTTGTCGGTAATTATCGGATCCCGAAGTTAATGATACGGATTTTAATGTATGGTATTAGTGGTATAACTTGCCACACTTGTCTCGGTGAAAAGGTGTTAGACCTTCAGTTAGTTTCAAATTGAAGATTGTATGTTCGAATCAAATGAGTTTTTAAGTTTTCTTACACTAATTTTATTATATTTTGTAAAACTTGACCATTATATGTATTAATGCATGAGAACCACTATGTTAAGTCGTACATATTTGAATTAATTAATGAAAGGAAAAAACATGTATTGACCAAAATTACGAAAGTAAAAAAAGTAAATAAAAACAACCAAAAAACACTATCAATGAAACACACAATTGATCAACTCAAGCTTCAAAGAATTTACAAACAATGTATCATTGACTTCGGCCTTAAAAGGTTAATTTTGAAGCATTAGTGGTGATAATTTACCTCCATGCAACTTCCACGGAGCATTAGCCAAAGATAAGTATGATAGATACAGTAACCTGGGACAATATGAAAAAGGTACCCGTAAAAAGGGCTGGTATGCCAACAAAGGGCTTTCCTTTCAAGCCGTCATCACTGTCTGTGATATGGGCTTACTCTAGCACACTTTCCTCGTCGCCCCTGCCCACTCCCATCGGCATTAGTCAACAGTGTGGCAATACCACGTGACATTGACGTCATTTTCGGCATCATTTCCAAGACAAATGTTGCTCGATTCGGAAAAGAAAATAGCCGTAAATATTTTATTTCTGTACCAATTTCTTTGGGATATGCACCAGTCTACGGGGGAAAATATAAGCTTTCCACAGAATATTGGATCTTCGTCAGTTTATAAGCCGTTTTATCAAACACTTTGCATAACCTTGGAAGTTGCTTGTATTAGAGCGGGCTTCAGCTGCAAGCTCTTTCGTTTTCTGGCGTTATCTGGTCTACGTCATGATTAAAAAGTCAGGTTTACATCAACCGGGAGTACGGAAGGCAAAACTCTACCTAAATATGTTCATATTTTTATTATGAATGACATAAATCTTACATTTTTCTTCAATTGTCAATTCTGGCACCAGTTCCAAGTCGAAAAAAAGGACTACAGTTTAAAGCAGATTTTAGAATCCGTTGCAAATGCAAAGCAATATGCCTACTGTTCTCTTTCTACAATTTAGTTTTTAATTGTTGATCTTTCACAGAGAGATTGTGAAAAAAATGATTGTTCCTTAAAGCAATAACACATACTTGTATCGCAATAGTGCACGTCAAATCACGTAGATTTAGTCCTGTCGGAAAATAATATGTTGGTTTCGTTTTGAAGATGTTTAAAGTATTGCTCATTTTATCCTATGTTGTAAAATGTGTTTTATTCTATTTCACAATGGCGAAATTGATAAGAAATATATGTGCTCTCAGTGAGAGAAAGAGTTAAAATTAAAAAAAAAACACTTTTGTATGCTATGGAAAGGGTTACACTTTAACGCGAGTTTTAACACAGTGGCACTCGTTGATAAAAAATATTTTTACATCCTGTTTTCATACCCACGGTAACCGTTTTTCTTGAACTGGATATAACTTCGTTCACTTAAGAACACTATTAAACACTATCTATTTTATAATTGCATTTATTTCTGTTGATAAACTGCATATCTGACAAATTTAGTTAAGAGAATGGGTAGTTTATTATAACGGTTTCACTCCGCCAAGCCGCAAATAAATCTCCTGCTGACACCCTGAGCCTTCTCTGTGACGTGCATGCGCCGAGGGGAAGAGAGACGTGATTTTCACAGATTTGTCTAAAATGGTATGTATACAACTATAGTTTAGCAAAACAAGCAGAAATCAGTTTCCTTCCTTTTTGAGTTCGATATGAAACACAGGCGTTCGGCACATTTGCCGTGACAATAATGGTCAAATTATCAGAAAATAATCACTTCTTGATCACCAAGAATAAATTACTATCCAGCATCCGTTTACTATATAAAATATATACAATATATATCGCCGTAGCGTATTCCCAAGACACGGTCAACATTTTTAAATAAAACATATTTTCATTTTCATTCATAAAATATATTCTATATTGGGACCGAATTTAACAATTTTGGGGCCGTATTGATCGACTTTGGTCAGCTCGAAATAATGTAGGACCGGATTGTCTAATTTTGAAGCCGAAAACCAAGCCCAATTCTAGCCTCAGGGACCAAACCCACGGCGATAGTCCTACTTAGATTTTCTTATCAAAAATCCAAGCCAGGTTCGATCCTCAGGGAATACAGTCGAGCTGACCAAACTCACAGTGATGGGCTTTTTTATGTGTTCTAAATGGAAAACCATTCCCGATTCTAGCCTGAGGGAATACAGTGACCAAACCCACGGTTATAGGCCTTTTTAGATGTTCTATAAAAAAAACCAGGCCCGGTTCTAGCCTAAGGGAGTACAGTCAAGTTGACCAAACCCACGATGAAAGGCCATTTTAGAGGTTCTAAATGGAAAACACGCAGCCTTCTAGTCTCAGGGAATACAGTCAAACTGACCAAATTCACGGTGATAGGTCATTTTAGATGATCTCAATGGAAAAACAAGCAACATTCTAGTATCATGGTATACAGTCAAACTGACCAAACCCACGATGAAAGGTCATTTTAGATGTTCTTAATGGAAAACAAGCAGCCTTCTAGTCTCAGGGAATACAGTCAAACTGACCAAATCCATGGTGATACACCTTTTTAGATGTTCTTAACAGAAAACAAAGCACGGTTCTACCCTAAGGGAATACAGTCAAGATGACCAAACCCACGGTGATAGGTCATTTTAGATGTTCTTAATGAAAAAACAAGCAACATTCTAGTCTCATGGTATACAGTCAAGATGACCAAACCCACGGTGATAGACCTTTTTAGATGTTCTTAACGGAAAACCATTCCCGGTTCTAGCCTCAAGGAATACAGTCAAGATTACCACACCCACGGTGATAGGCCTTTTTAGATGCTCTTTACAGAAAACCCGGCCCAGTTCAAGCCTCAGGTTAAACAGTTGTGACCCCGATGTCTTTCTGCCTTGTATAAATAAAGAACAAAACTGAGGGTAATACTGGTTCGTCGATTAAATAGGTAGTGGACACTATATATAACAGGTTACACAGTACATCTCCACATCAAACATCATATGTCATACATCATACAACATACACATCACATCACATTTACATCACATCTACCAAGCCCTGAAAGTATAGATACCAAACATCCCATACTATCATGAAATATATAGTTTTATACATTTGTATACACTACAGTACCTTAAATATACTTAATCTAATATTCTATCAACAGATCAGTCTATATGAATAGTCCATTAATTGTATCTCATCAAAATAAATCATGTACACATAAAATACATCTTTAAATGTATTACATCATATTGTACCTGCATCTAGTGACCACTTAATCATTTACCTATAAAACAATATACAATTATGCTCAACTTAAAAATATACACATAGCTCCAAAAATATATAAACAATGACATATAAATATAATATAACATACCAATTGTGGATCAGACTCTGTAACTTATACATGTACCTCTGTCACTCACACCTGTCTCACTGTGCTGTTAATTATGCTGTGAACTGTAATTTACAATATCAGTGCAATACAAATAGAAACAGTGATTTCTATGAATAACTATAAGATAAGAACATATGCTGCCATCTTGAATTCTAACACTCAAGAACAATACAAATTTATCAAAATAACTTTTATCAAATCCACAACTGTATTTAATTACTATAAGTCTTCATTTAGTTGACATTAGAATACCAATTGACACAATGTTTGAAAATGCCAGAGAACAGACGTCTTCAAATAAGAATGCAAAAGAATACATAGATGATTTAAAAGAGAGAATTGAACGAACAAGACAAATAGTACAAGAACAACACTGATAAAGCTAAGAACAAACAAAAGCAATATGATAAGAAGATAAGAGGTGCAAAAATAGAAATAGGAGATAAAGTTTTAGTTAAGATATTGGCTCATGGTGAAGGAAAGCATAAGTTATCTGACAAATTTGAAGAACCAGTATTACCCTCAGTTTTGTTCTTTATTTATACAAGACAAAAAGACATCGGGGTCACACAGTCAAGCCGATGAAACCCACAGTTATAGTCTTTTTTCTTCATGTTCTTAACAGAAAAAACGAGCATGGTTCTAGCCTCAGGGAATATAGTCTAACTGCCTTAGCCCACGGCATTTTTTTAGATGTTCTTAACGGAAAACTAAGCCCGGCTCCAGTCTCGGGATAGGCAGGATGATTAAACCACGGTAATATAGGGCCTTTTAGATGTTCTTTACGGAAAACCAAACCCGATTCTAGCCTCGGCGAATACAGTCAAGCTGACCAAACCCATGGTTATAGGTATTTTTAGATGTTCTTAACGGAAAACCAAACCCGGTTCTAACCTAAGGGAATACAGTCGAACTGACCCAACCCACGGTGATGTGCCTTTTAAGATGTTCTTAATGGAAAACCAAGCAGCCTTCTAGTCTCAGGGAAAACAGTCAAGCTGACCAATCCCACGGTGATCGGCTGTGTCTTTCCTCCGGGAATACAGTCAAGCTGACTATATCCGGGGTGATGGGCCTTTCTAGTTGTTCTTATTGGATAACTATGCCCGGTTCTTACCTCATGAAATACAGTCATGCTGACCAAACCAACGGTGATAAGCCTTTTAAGATGTTTTCAACGGAAAACCAAACCCGGTTTTAGTCTCAGGGAATACAGTAGAGCTCATCAAACCCATGGTGATAAGCCTTTTTAGATGTTCTTAAAAGTAAACGAAGCCCGTTTCTAGCCTCAGAGAATACAGTCAAGTTGACCAAATCCGCGGTGATAGGCCTTTTTAGATGTTCTTTACAGTAAACCAAGACCAGGTCTAGCTACGGGGAATACAGTCAAGATGACAACACCCACGTTGATAGGCTTTTCTAGCAGTTCTTTACGGAAAACCAAGCCCGGTTCTAGCCTCAGGGAATACAGTCAAGCTGGTCAAGACCACGGTGATATGCCTTTTAGATGTTCTTTACAGTAAAACAAGACTAGGTCTAGCTTTAGGAAATATTGCCAAGATGACCAAACCCTCGGTGATAGGTTTTTCTAGTAGTTCTTAACGGATCTCTAGCGTCAGGTAAAACAGTCAAGCTGATGAAAACCACGGTTATAAGCTTTTTTCATGTTCTTAACAGAAAGCCAAGAACGCTTCCATCCTCGGGGAATTCAATCAAACTGACCCCGCATTCGGTGATAGACATTTATATATGTTCTAAACGGAAAACGAAGCCCGGTTCTAGTCTAAAGGTATACCGTGAAGCTGACAAAACGCACTGTGAAAGTCCTTTTTATATGTTCTTAACAGAAAACGAAGGCCGTTTCTAGCCTCGGAGAAGAGAGTTAAGCTGACCAAACCTAAGACCTTTTAAGATGTTCTTAACGGAAAACCAAGCCTAGTTTTATCCTCAGGGAATACAGTCAAGCTGACCATATCCGGGCTGAAAGGCCTTTTTAGCTGTTCTAAATGGAAAATTATGCCCGTTTCTAACTTCAAGAAATACAATCATTCTGACCAATTTACGGAAAACCAAACCCGGGTTTAGCATGAGGGAATACAGTCAGGATGACCAAACACACGGTGAGAGGCTTTTTTAAATGTTCTAAACGGAAAACCAAGCATAATTGTAATCTTAGGAATACAGTCAAGCTGACAATTCTCGCGGTGATTGGCCTTTAAGATGTTCTTAAAAGAAAACCAAGCCCGGTTTAGCCTCAGGTAATACAGTCAAGCTGACCAAATCCACGTTGATAGACATTTTTAGATGTTTTAACAGAAATAATGTCAAGATGACGAGACGCACGGACTGTAATTCAGTACGGATTACGGTACAGTGCGTTACGTTACGGTATTTATCAAAACGAAAGTAACAAAATGGCGGCCCCCATCGATTTAAACGCAGCAAAAAATAATTTATCTGATGCTCTTGGCAGTGACATGAAAAGGTAAACTACTTTGTGTGGATCAGTATGTTCTATTGTTATTTGCACTACCCGTAAGCGTATTTTTTTAATTGTGAAATGTATCCTGTTTGTTAAATACTCTTTTCTATCTTGAATAATTTTGAATCTGTTGAAGTTGAATCTGAATGATTTACAGGCAGTTCACTCCTCAGACACTTCACTCCGGCCATTTTTTTTTGCAGACACTTTAACCCTCAGACACTTCACCACACTTTTGGTTAAATCTGATTGAGACACTTCAGCGCTGATTTTTTTAGTGTTTCAACTTTCACATACATGAATTACCTAGTCAAAATATATTTGTGTGCCAAAGCTAGATAATTTCTGAGATATGTTTTGTTCTGGGTCTGAATCTCGCTTCTACTGGGGAGATATTGCCCATACTCAAAATACCATAATATCTTATCGTTCAGTATAATTAATTGGACTAATAAATGAAGTTGAGATAGGCAAGATGTAATCATTGATGTTGAAATTCAGGGATCGGAAATATCCAATCATCCGCTCGTATTTATGAGTAGAAATAGATGCAGGACGAGTACGAAATTGTAGTGCCAAGCAAGCTGAAATATGTGTGTAATTAATGAAACCTAGCTAAATGCTGTTTTCCGATACTTTCTGTACATGTACATAGGTCTGAGGAATTCTCTAGTCCAACTAATTGTACTCCGCGAGGAGATATTGTGCTATTTTCGTGTCTGGGCAATATCTCGCCTTTAAAGCGAGATTCTGCCCCAGAACGAAAATATCTCAGAATCAAGCTTTGGCACGTCAATATATTTTGACTAAGGAATTCTCCTAATGGAGTTTAATAATGAACTCTATGTTTTTGGTCTTTTTTTTAATTAAAGTGAAATAAAACAGTTATTACATTGTAAGAAAATAATTGAGTATCTATCTATCTATCTCTGGATACTGCCAACCCCTCTTACGAGTGTTACAGGCAGGTATACATTGTATACATTTAAGAAACAGCTTTAAGATACAAGGGAATCCGGGAACCAGTCCCTAGCTCTTATTGAATAGACCCCTTGGTTCTTTTACATGCCCAGTGTATAGCACTGATACATGCGAGGATTTCCTGGATTTCTTACCAGTACACCTCTATGTAGGTGGGAAACACTGAAAGTGTCTCTGAAAAATCCCAAGGGTGTAACCCAGGATCGAACCCGGGACCTCAGGAGTGATAGTCAGTGGTTTAACCAACTGAGCTATCGCGCCACCTCAATATATGAATAATTCCATACAAAAAATAAAGTAAATACACAAGTTAACGCCGAAAATATCTCTCAATTATTATGGAAGATGCCTCTACGACTGTTTTAATTTTATTGATTTTCATTATAAACAATTTTATTCCTGTTTGTTTTCAGTTACCTGCATCATCTTAAGTCCTGGTTTAGACAAAAGGTAATTCTGTTATATGTTTTGTTTATATATTTATTATAAATAATATTAAAATGTATTTCATGAGCTATCACAAAACTTTTATGATGTTGGTGTGATATACTAGGTCTTAATTTAAATTTCAACTTTAATGTTGATAAGCTAATAAGGAAATTATAAATGCCTTTATTTAAAAGGTAGATAAAGATGAAGAAAAATATATGCATGTGTATATAAATCATTTATAGCAGGACACATCTAAAGCCAGAGTCTGCAGGGCAATGGTTTTAAAAAAAAGTCTGATGGCATCTGCAGATGTTAATGCATGAAAAAAGTTGCATTAGCACTAATTGTACATAGAATGCATCTGATTTAGTAATATGACTATTTGTGTAAAAGTACTGGTTACATAATGTTTTTATTTCGCAAGTGTGATGTCATTTAATAGTTATTTTACTGTACTGAGTCATCATTGCAGTCAGCATTTTTAAATGACCCTTAGTCATGCTTATAAGAAATATGCCACAGTGGCACATGCTTGTATGACTTTATCCATTTAATACATGTTTTCTTCTCTGTTGATACAAACCTATTTGTGAAGTTTTTACACAAGAATATTCTTGAAAGACTGCATAATTTCACAACATTTTAATATGGCAGCTCAGAGGCATTGTAAGTCACATACACTGTATATATATTTAATCGAAATGTAAACAATATGCAGTTTTCTGGGATCTTTCTTTCTTTTTTAGATTGCTAAAGAAGAGTTTGATATGGAGGCAAGGAAGCTTCTTAAATCTGAAACAGGTTGGTTGGTGGTTTTTGTTGTTTGAGGCATATAAAAGTGAAATGGAAAAAAGTGGTTGTTTACCAAATTGCATTAACATTAAAACCTTTAATTGTTCTGTTGCCAAAAAATGATTTAAGATTTTTGCTCTATACCACTACATCTTATCGACGTGTTTTAATACCCAGATTATTTGATGTTTTTCAAATTTAACTTTACATTTTTAAGTACATCAAGCTGTATGTTTTAATATTGAAAAATATATGACATGAGTTAAGTATATCTTTTTTTTTTTCAGTACATCTACACAATGAGTTCCTACTAGCAATATTTTCCAAGTGCCATACATTTACATCTTCAATAGGTAAGATACAGAACTATTTTAATGATTGTGTACATGTAAATAATTATATACTGTACAACCTCTGTAATGCAACACCCTTTGGAAGATTTCAGATGTTGCTGAGAGATGTTGCTCAAGAAAGGTTTTGTTTATGAAATCTTACTTTGGGAAATTAAAGTCTTATCTAAAAGACTATGAGTAATTATACCCCCACAAACAAAGTTTAGCAGGGGTTATAGAGGAGTCAGTTTGTCGATCGGTCCATCTGTCGGTCTCCTTGGTTTCTGGGCAGGCAATAACATGAGTTATTGTAAATCAAGTTTAGTATATAGCAACCTCATGAAAAATCTGGTTGGGATTGCTTTTGGACCCCCTTTGGTCAAAGTCACTGTTACTAAAAATAGAAAAATGGATTGAACTTTCCAAACAATAACTAGAGTTATGAATGAGATATTGTAATCCAACTTGGTACATGTATACAGCAAGCTTAAATGAAGACCCAAGTTGGGATTGCTTTTGGACCCCCTTTGGTCAAGGTCACTGTTACTAAAATAGGAAAATGGTTTCCGGACAGTAACCAGAGTTAGGAATGAGATATTGTACATGTATAGCAAGCTTATATGAAGACCCGGTTGGAATTGTATTTGGACCTCCTGGGATCAAGGTCACTGTTACTAAAAACAGAAAAATGGTTTCTGGAAGATAGACTATCAATTGTAATAATAACAGAATGATGAATCATCATAAATTGTAGGTAGAGTCCAATTTTTGCTTTAGACCACTCATTTTTAAAAAAAGTTACGGTGGCTTGTGGTGGTATTAATCAGCGATAGCCGTAGTTTTAAAAGATTATTAGTGGTTTTAGTTGAAGAAGACAGAGATCTCCCTAAAATAATTCTTTTCATTAGATTTAGATACATGAACTTTTAAGTGTACTTAAATATATATGCATTTCTACTGTAACAGGACCAAAGTCACCTCCTGGTCGAAGTCACTCAGGGCATGGAAAATTGCTCAAGAAAGGCAAATTAAAAAGAAGGCCTCCCACTACCAGAAGTTCATTCCAGGTAGCTTAGAGATATTTTTCTTCAATTAGATCATAAGAAAAACTTGATGTAATCTAACAGAATGTTGATTCCATCTAAATTCTATCATTTTCTTAATATTAATAAGTTCAATATTTTGATGCCATCTTAAATGTAGATATTATAATGAGATTGGCTGTGTTTGCATATTGTGCTTATCAAGAACATAAAATGCTACTTCATGATATTTTTTAAATGTGGGATTACTTGTGTATCTACAGTAGACATTCTAGATGGCATATACCATACTTATAAAGATCCTGTAACTCTATTTTTTTATGGTTTTATATCATAAATATGATGCTCAAATGAAGATTCATCAATATTGTAAGTTTCCAAAAGCAATATTTGTAAAGATATTACCAAATTTACATTTCATGTAAATAAAGGGAGGTAATTAGAAATTTATTTTCTATAAAATCTAAGTCATACTTAAGTGTGGTTACTTCTAAAATTATAACATACAGGATCTTTAAAATAGTTTGATTTCTGTTACTTGATATACATGTTTACTAATACTTGTAAATTTGGTACTAGATCTGTATAGCACTCTGGTACTACACCATGTCATGTTTGTAATGTATATGTTTGTTTTATTGATATGGGCCGTAGGCCAAAATCAAATAAATCTTTTTTGTCATTGTCATTTCTTACATAATAATATTAATAATTTCATCTAATGATGAACATTTGTATATACCACAAGTCCGCAAGCCAGATGTTCACAATGGAAAATTTAAGTTAATGCAACATGCCTAACATCTTCAGTCCTCCATTGTCTTCTCAAGTAGTTTAGACAGAATTGGGACAGAGACATGAGGTTCGTACATGAGGCATGGACTTTGGACATACTTATGAAGAATGGACTAGGGATATAGACAAGAGGAATGAACTTTGGACTTGGACATTAGTTTTGAACTTGTGACATAGACATGAGGCTTGGCTTTTGGACAGTGACTTTAGATGTGGACTTGGACATAGGCATGAGGTGCAGACATAGACTGTGACATGAGGTATGGACTTTGGACATCAACATTAGGTGTGGATTTTGAGTATAGAAGTCATTATTGCTGCAAGGTACTCTTAGATTTGTTTGCTTTTGTTAAAATTACAGCAAAGATTTGTGCCAGTCAATCCAATGTCTTGTGCAGTGCAGGCCACTTACAAAGGTACAGAGGAATCTAGTAAGTAGTTATCATTAATTGATCTTAATTCTATGATGAGGTTATAAAAAATTATATTGAAACAAAAACTTCAGCTCAGTTGTTATTGGTATTTAAAATGATCACTTTACTGTTCATTGTTGAAAGTCAACTGTAGGTCAAAATCACAGGGACCTGTAATAACAAAAAAGATACACTGGCCATTAAGTCAAAGTTCATTGGCATAAGGAAATAAAATGTAAATTATAACTTTTATCTTGAATCTCTTTACTTTCCTTAGAATCTCAGTATTTATTTCTTGAAATATTTTGGCTCATCTGGAGGCATGCAGCTTTAAAGCTTAATGTCATAGTGACCTTTTATAAAGTTTTTGATATGGTTGATACTTTTAATCATGACTTAGAAACTTGATATGTGGGTGCACAAGTTCTGCTTGTCACACCCATTAGTGGATCCAAAGGTCAAGGTCGGTCTCTGTGATCTTTATTTCAAATTATCTTTTTACTTAGAAAATGTGCAGTTTACTATCCAGCACTGAGAAAAGTAGAGCGGGCTGCTTTTTGGACAGCTCTTGTTTTACCAGATTTAGTAGAAAGCTTGTCAAAATTAATATCATCTTAACCCTGGAGTCAAAACTAATTCAATCTTGAGGGTGACTTTAAATTTACCAAACAAAACCAGATTTTTTATCATTCAACCTTGTTTATTCATTTCATAACATTTTAAAGTTGATTTCCATTTGGGATGGAAAAGACTTTAGGCTACATGGGTTGCAATCTTTATCATATGTTGTTCATGGTCTGTTTCAATAATTGTAGGCTAATAGTTTTGGAAATATCTAGGCTGCCTTGGTTTCTTTTATTAACAACTATGGTCTGTTTCAATTATTGAAGGAACAAGATTTTCTGAAAATATCTAGACAGCACATTAACTATGGTATGTTTTAATAATGGCAGGAATAACATTTTCTGAAAATATCAAGGCTACATGTCTTTCTTTTGTGATATCACCATCTATGGTCTGTTTCAGTATTTGCTGGTCGAGAATTAACATTACCTGACATATCAATGATACATGGTCGTCTGTTAGTATGTGCCTGGGAAATAGGCCTAGTCAGTGTAGATGATGCTGTCGTTAAATTTCTGATGCAGGCACTGGAGGTACATGTATTTTATTTCTTTTCCTTTTACTTTCATAATAGTCCTATTTTTATTTTTATTATTATTTTTACATTGCTGTATATTTAGATAACAATTTGTTCAAGTTTTATTTGTTATGTGGTCCACTCACTTAGCACAATACAGACAGCATCGTATAAGTCTAAATCAATCTTCTCAATAACATTGAAGGTGTTCTCTTGAAACATGTAATTTGATGGTATTGATTTGATAAGAAACAAACTGTTAAAAATCACAAAAAAAACTATTTTAAAAAGTACAGTAAATTCTGCTTATAACAATATTCAGGGGACAACCAAATTTATATATTTATATTGATAATCATAAAGGCAACCAATTTAAAAACAAGAGTCGGACAACAGCAACTGCATCGTTATAAGAGATATCGTTATAAGTGGAGTTTACTGTATTCCCAATAGAAATACATATATGTAATTATAGACATATGTCAACTTGTCCAGAAAATACAACTGTTTTAACTAATCTCTAAGGTGTTATTTAAAATATTAAAAATGTAAATCTTAAACTCACTTGACAATGAAATATTTCAATTGCTATGCAGATACAATTAAAGAATATCATCACACAAGTGTTATGCCGTCGAAATGGTTACAAAGTAAGAGAAGGGAAGTTTAGATATGCAATAGGAACTCAAGTACCAAATCCATACACTCGCCATAGCTTGATGCTCCATGACAGAACACTGGAAAGGTATATTTTATATTATGATAAATTTAATTGTCTTCTCCACATTTTATTTTGTACATCCTGTGTATCGGAATGTCACAAGTCGTATTCCTGCCATATCTTTGTCTTTTGTTAATAGATATGACATAATTTGGTGCAAATTTTCAATGTTATTTAAGAAATAATATATCTCAAACTGTGATTTTATCGCTCAATAACATCACTGTTTGGAGTTAGGATGCGAGGAATTATATCACAAGGGCGTAGCCCGAGTGATATAATGATGCGCATCCGAATGACAGTCTTGTTATCCAGCGATAAAATCACTGATTTGGACATATTATTTCGATTCTAACACCAAATAAACAAATAAATGCTGCCGTACCAGCTATTAAGCAAAATTGCGCCTGATTTGTTTCCGTACTTATTGTCAGCACGTCGGATTTTATAGTGGTTACTTCACATGTATAATGATTACGTCACATGTCTAAATATAGGACGTCAAACAGTGATTTTATAGCATAATAACACACACTTGCGGTTCTTCTATGTTCAATAGGAAAAAGTGCGGGTCGTGTTAGAATATACTTTTTGTTGAACAAGACCCACTTCTTGTTCGAATGTCAAGGTCACATTAAAGTGTCAAAGGTCAAAACTGGCCTATTATTTGTTCTGTTACCTTCTGTTAACTTCTTTATTATGGATTGTAAAGTAACTTGGTAAATATTTTCGCCATGATAACATGATGTGTTATATGATAGAGACAGCTTGGGGTCAAGGATATACTTTACCCTTTGCCTGCCGACAGCATCTGATTCCACCTTGGAATCTGATCATGATCTGCATTATCTGTCGGTACATATTTTGAAATTTTCCCCTGATAAATGATGACTTGTTTTGTCGTGAATAGGAGGTTAATTGACATGTCCATTTTTGATATTTAGTGATAAAATGGGTCAGTAGGTCAAATGTTATCTCAGCTTGTAATTTTCAGTGAAGCAACAATAATCTCAGATGGTCAGCATGTACCAAACAAGCGTCTGCCACAGGATTGTAACGAGGGCTACATGGCACAAATACTCTCAGCAAATACACAGGAACCTGTAGACAGGGAGCCAGTCACATTATATAACCTTCTAGAAACACTTCAGGTAATTTATGGCACTGTGCAATAATACAACTCTTGTCACATACCCATTTGCAACAATGTTGGATGAAATTTTTGCTCAAAGAAATGACATACAATGGGTTTTTATACTCCTCGGTAATATTTGGGGAGGGAACAGTTGCTGATTTGATCATTGGTAGTTTTGTGTATAGGTTATTAGGGTCAAGGTCATAATACATTGGTACTGAAACTTACTTTTTACACTTGCTGATACATTGACAAACTTACAGATTCAGGGAGTATCCATTGCCATTTGCAATATGTCTTGTTTTTCACTTTCTGGGGATGGGTTCGACCCCATTGGAGGGGATAAAAGGACTTGAACAAGATGAAAGGGCAAATTTTGACTTCTTTACATAATATAGGTTGTTTTAAATTGTATTATACTCTTAACTTCAATTAAATGATAATCTATTGCATAAAAGAATATATAACAATAAGATTATATGCTTTAAGTTTTATTTACAATTTAAAGATAAGTGAAAATTAATGTTGTCATATAGGGGAACAAATGAGTGGGGGAAAAGGCGGGAAAACAGCCTAAAGTTGCCCAATATTTTGACAAACAGAAAAACACTGAATTAGTAGTGTCCTCAAACCTGCAACTTTTTTATTCTAAAGTTTATGTCCTGCCAATGTAAAAATGCTTCATATTGACCCACTACTACTGTTTATGTCATCAATTTAATACCAGACAAAACAAAAACCAGGTATTTTCCTCGATGATTTGCACAAAAAAAAATCCAAGGCCTCATACAAATACAAGATATTTTCCTTGATAATTGCAAAAAAAATAATCCAAGGTCTCTTGTACCATATTTCTTTGCGTTTATTTAATTCCAGTAACTTTGTAATAAATAGCTGTTAATACTGAAATATCGTTTCAAATAGGCACTATCTGATAAACAAAACAAATTGACAATGTCATTTCTCTATTATTTCAGACATACAAGAACACTATACCTTCTCATTCAGTATATGCTCCAGCCATTGAGAGAATAATACATAAATTATGGCATCCAAGTCACGAAGAGCTTGGTTATTCAGTTACACAGGAAGTCTCCTCAGTGAACCAGAGTACTTCTTCAAGTCAACCAGTCAGATAGTCTAGGTCACTAGATACACTTTTTGATTGTTGAAGAAAAAATGGAATAAATGGGGGAAAGAATTTCACATCCTTGACTTCTGTTCAGAGGATTTTTTATCAAAAATGCAAAGCTGTGGATGTCATGTTGAAAAAAAATGAATAAAATATATGGCAACCTTGATTTACTCATTTGGAATAGCATTTGGCACAAAAGCATTAACTTTTGATAATAGCATGGTTCAAACCTTTTTGTGTGAAAGTCCCCTACCACCAAAAACAAGTGATATTAAACATTGCCAATTCACTTACATGGATGGATCAAGCTCTTTTAAATGTGAAGAAGCTTTTCAGCTAGCTTGCGGAATGTTGGTGGTTCTACCCAGGTGTCTGTTTGTGCCTGAAATGATGCACGGAAGGGCACCAGAGGTCTTCCTCCACCATTAAAGCTGGAAAGTTGCCATATGACCAACACCCTGTTTGTGTGACGTAATACAAAACCAAAAGAATTAAAGTAAACAATCAAACAACTCAAGTAGCTTTATTTTTAGAACTTGTGGTATAAGCATAGATCCTTGACCTGTCTTATTCTAATTATCAGATTAGTGAATACAATTTAAAATTTTCACATCATATTTGTTAACAGAATGGCACATGTCAATGTTTGTAGTTAAATCTATCGTTATTCAAATTAAAGGTCAGAGTAGGGATCTATCAGTCCTGTGAAAAGTGTTTAAGCCTGAAAACAAATAGTTTTGGCAGTTCATGAGGACTTCAGGCCATGCTAAGAGTGTTAATGATAAAATATGTTGTTATTTCTTTAGAAAAGTAAAGTTGTTTGCTGATTACTGTTGATATAATTACACACAGGTTTTGAAGGAAGTGTTTCAACAGTAAAATATTTACAGTGAATTGTATTAAAAGTACTTATTTACAAGTATATACATTTATATATGTGTTGCATGTTATTGATGGAAGAATATTGGAATAAGTTTTATAATAAAGTATGCATAAAGATTAAAATGTTTGAAATCTTCTGTTTCAGAGAAGATGATAATTAATTTGATATCATTGTATTGAATTTTTAAAGATACTAGTTGGAAAAAAGCTAGAATCTGTTTGTTGCAAGGTGTAACACTTCTATTGTATAAACCCGTTTGGTGCATGAATGACAGGTATACGTGTTTCACTCATAACACCACCTAAAGAATGAGCAGGCTGGTCTGGCTCTAGACTGATGAAAATCCTAATATAGCTTTCAAATTCTGCAGAGCTCCAGATAGCATGCGTATAAGCGTAAAATACGCATAGAAAATCTAAAATACGCATCACTTTCAAAATTCGTGCGTCAAAGTTACGCACAACAAAATGAAAATACGCGTGTATGTCAAAATTTAAGCGTAAAAGAATAGAAGTGTAAACATTTGATATTCAGATAGGGGATGTTTTGAGCATAACAATACAATATATTTCCATTTTATTGCATTGAAAACTAAAAGTTCTGTTGTCAACAACGCATGTTAAAAACGAAAGTAGAAGGAAGTACAGAAGGGAGGTAACTCCCGTAGATCAACCTGTGAAATTATTGATATAATTTTTTGCCAGATAATCATCGTAGGAGTTAACATAGTATTAAGTTTGTTTAGGCATCTATTGACATGCTTATGTCTCAATATAAACAAAAATATATTTTAATTTCTTTCACTTTTGTTATTGGAACAAAATAACATGTTTTTCACCTGCAGTTTTGTACTCAATATTTTCGTACCCAGTCTACAGTTACGGACAATTTTCTCTCAGACCAATACTTTTTTTAAGGAAAGATAAAAAAATCTTGTTTATTTTTCTTTAATTCTAATTTCAACTATAATTGTTCAAACTGGAGCACATGATAAGCTACATGCCAACATAAATAAAGAAAGAAAAATATTGACTCCTAGAAAATATATTAATTTCAGGGCTTCCACTAGTGGAAGTTTGGGAGTCATTTACTCCTTCATTTTGGCATGTGACTTCCGAAAATCTAATACCTTTCCTTCTTTACCAATATAATGTGACTTTCAATATCAGAGAAATTGGAAGCCCTAATAATTTTGCTGTGTATCCTAAACTTGAGTTCCAGTATACTCTGGAAGTCTGACTTTACAGGGCACGTTTTGTATTGCTTCACATTGAATCAGTATTTTATTTTTAAAGGTTTTTCTAAAAAAAAGAAAAAATAAACAAACAAACAAAAACAATAAGTTTAAAAATGCAAACTGCTTTTTTGACAGATTTTACCCCTTAAGTTTTTCAGATTTTACATTTTACCCCTCACTCTAAATTTTGAGGGGTAAAAACCCCTTGGCCAAAAAAATTATCTGGAGCTCTGATTATTCTGTAGGTTTAGAGTTCAAGTATCAGCAACTTATTGTCTATGCAATCACAAAAGATTGTATTCTTTTTTTTCAAACCGAGATATGTTTTCTAGGTCATGTACCTACAATTCAATTTGTGTATCAAAAACCATCAAGTCAAAATTGCAGTTTAAAGTTTATTGTTATCTAGATAAAAGGGTTGACATCTACATCATGTAGTAAAAAAATATGCACAGCCCAAAATGAAAAATGAGAATCATGTACAAATGTCATTTTATGTTTATTATTTTATTACAAAAATGATTTACAGTAAACAAAATTGTTCAACATTCAACAACAAAACATACATCGAAGAAATAAAAGAAGAGAAAATCTCGAGTCTTTAACAAACCTTCTATCATTTCAACAAAAAATGAGTTTAAAATATTTATTTCTGTTTAAATCACTTGGTAGTCCACAACACACTTGACTTAATAAATATACCATAACTCGGAATGAAAATATTAATCATGATTCTGGTTCCGTACAAATATATATCAAATGCGATTGACAGTTACCATTTAAATTGAATATATATATTACAATGAATAATAAAGGAAATTACATAAAATAAGAAATATCTGATTTAATAAATTTGGCTGTATTTAAAATCTGGAATTAATTTTTTCAACATGATTTGTTCCGTCACATTTTTCAAAGTACATACATGTGTATATCAGACACTTATTCTTAACTATTTTTATTTTTTTTGCATTGATAACCTTTACGAAATTTTATTACTAGTATTTAAAGGTTATTATGATGTAAGTAAATCTGGCCTATAATTTATTCTATGAATCTCAATTTTACAAATTATCCTGCAAATTCACAATCTTTTAACCGATTGAGGGGAGATAATTCATGAGGAAAATATCAATATAACGAACAATTATTGGCCAAATAAGCCCCCAAAACATCTTTTGCTTCTTTCAAATTTTTGAATTCACACTTGAAGTAATTTCGTATGAAAGTCTTAACCTTACAAATGTGAGGTCAGGAACAATATAAGGACAATTTGAATACTTCCACTTTTTTTTAACAGTCATTACTCAACAAAAGAAAGTTTACGAAAACAGACATTTAAACAGAAACATGTATGACTAATACTACAAAATTATAGAAGTGTAGACATAACATAATGTAAGTAATGACTAATGAGTAAAGTCTTACAAGCTTGTATCGCCTTGTAAAAAATGTGTATTTTCTTCGTCTCCTTGTCACAAGAAAATGATCTGTACAAAATAATACTATTACACAACATTTAACCTACTTATCTTGTCAATCACTGTATCTATCATACGTAATGACCTATGACCTTAATAAATGAATACATTACAGAAAGTTCTAAAGTAATCTGGTGTTTTTCAAAATATTTGCCACACAGCAGACATAAGGTTGATTACTTCTAAATCATAAAATGTAATCAATTACATTACGATTACACCATGAAAATTTTAATTTGATTACAATTACTTTAAAACGTTTTTTTTTTTTTTTAAACCAGACTAATACAGTGATAGTTTTCAGTAACTAACTATAGAGCTTTAACAATGTCAGAACAAAGTAATCTGTAATGGTGACCTGATGCAATCCTTTAGGAAATTTACTTACTACTTTATTTCATTCGCTGTACAAATACATGATTTTATGTAGAAAAACAAAAACTTCAAGAATTCTGAATTTCAATTTAGACTTCATTTCACAAATAAAGTAACTCCAGTTCAGTGAAATTCCATCCTGTATCATAAATATTATTCACAAAAACTGCATTTTTAACAATTAAAGCTACACCATTCACACTCAAGTTACTTTAGACTCTTTTTTGGGGTGATTCTCATGACGATACAAAAAAATTCACGAGTACATCTTGAGGCGTGAACAATTTTGAGCATGTTTAATCCGGTTTGATCGCAGCTTGACATTTATAATTTCACGATGATGCTTTGCCCAGGGCAACAACAATTCCACAATAATGACGATGGTAATGTAACGGGTGCTATGTGAACAGCTGCCCCAGTTATAAGTTATGACACTATGAGATATATGCGTTTGAATGCTATACGTCACTTTTCCACAGTTTTATAGTTTTGTCATTCTCTAGAGCTGCTGATGCGATGATGTTCTCTGTGGGATGGCAGGCACAACATAAAACCACATCTGTATATATATAATATTACAATACTTAAAGGATGCTTACATCAAACTTTTAACAAATATTTATCAGTATAAAAAAGGGACTCCACTGAGGTTTTTTGACGCGGCGGGACAAAGAATAATTTTTCGGGATTTATATTTAATTTCATGTAGATCAAGACAAATAACTTGTGTGCAAAATTTCAGATTGTTCGCTCATTCCGTTCTTCCAGAATAATTATTCTTATTGTGAAAAATGATCCAAAATTGAAAAGCTTTGCAACGCTTCTCAGTCAAAACGGGCTAAGAAGGGCACAAAAATACAATTTTCAATTTATTTCTGGGTATATTTCCTAAAATCTTTGCATGTTTTTCTGTTTTAAGTGTCCCAGTTGGTCTATATAAGAAATGAAAATTTTATGTTTTTGTACCTTTAAAATAAGCCCACAAACATCAATATTTGGTAAACACATTTCTCATGAATCACACACTAACTGTCTGATTAGTGAATATCTACTGTATTAATGATAGTGACTTAACCTTAACTCTGCACTGTTGTTACAAATAAATTTTAAATGGTTTTTTTTTGCTGTTTTTTTTATACTTCCATGAAGATTGAAAACCTTTACTTCATAAAGGTTGAAAACTGTTATTACTGTTATGTCAAAATGAAGATTTAAGTTTGCACGTGAAAACAGACAATAATATGTTGATAAAATCTGGGTTTTTTTTACCTGTATGTCCTTGTAATTTTTGCACAATTTCTTTCGTTTGTAAATTCCAGATATACACCATGTTGTCTTCTGATCCGGATACTATCCACTGTAGGAATGTAAACAGTCGATTACAATTACACCTTAAATCACTACTACCATTACATTACAACAATTACAAATTTACAATTGCTTTCACATTTTAATATTACAATGAAAATTGCACCTTATTCAGATAAGTTATATTACAAAGAATAGAATGATGTTGTGTTTTAATCTTTTGATCTGTAGTAAAGTATTATTTATCAGAATGATTTTAAACAAGTACTGAAACATTTTGCTTTAAGCTTAGAGTATGGTCAATATATCGCCCAACCTTTTTAATTGAATACTCGAGCTTACAAAGTTCGGTTCCTTCAAAGGTATAGGGTAAAGAAGACAGAGAATTACATACCTTTCCACCAGTGACTGAGAAATTGGCGAAAATGCAATACTTTTCATTCTTGTGACCAGTGTAGGTTTTTAAACACTGAAACAGAGTAATGGACACAGATAAGCAGTTATCACATACATGAGGTTGTACATGTATCAAATATATTCTTACATATCAATTTAGTTGGGTTTTAAGTTATACTGTCATGATTTGGCATCTTTCTAGCTTTTCAACAGTTAGAAAGATTTCAGGTGCACTCTATGCTTTATTTCACCTGGTTAGAACCACCGACGCTCTGTATGACAGCTGGACAACTTCCTCACATTAAAGAATCCAAGGTACATGACAGACTGAACTCACAGCGATGAGGGGCATGTTATTTGAAGTCAAGAGACTTTAACCACTTAGCCATGAAAGCACCTCTTACATTTAAATTTCACGACCAAGTACCTCATCACATTCATTAAAACCAGGAAAGCTGAGTAAACTAAGACATTGTGAGAGAATTTCCATACCACTCTTAAAAAATATAAATTATAATATAAATCTTAACTCCTATACTTATTGATATATTTGTGACCGACACATTTTTTAACCGACACATTTTTGTAACTAATTTATCAAAATTCAGTTCTAAAGCCTGCTTTTTATCAATTACTTATAGAATAAAGTTTTTATAATCTCTTCACAAACTCAAATATCATTAATTGAACAAACAATTTTCAATGACATAAAAAAAACAATCCTATACAAACCTTCCCCTTACTGTAATCCCATAACTTTAATGTGCTGAAAATGAAAGAAAAACAGGAGATGCAATATTGCATAAATACAATTGATACACTGCAATTCATACTCCTTCAATACACAAGTAGAACTATCACTAAATGTGATTAATACCCCCCCGCAAGACTGCTTCAGAAATGAGGAAGTTACAAGTAACAGAATACCTTGTAAAAGAATTGAAATTTAAAAGTTATGGTTGTGGGCAATTAAAGATAGTTGTGGTTTTTGTATGTTGCATTTCCTTACAATATGGTTTACCATCAATGAAGTTTTATTGAATTACTCTGTAATAAATCCAGAAAGAATTACGCTTCTTGAGCACTGCACTTCCTCTCATTGCGCTTGACCATTGTATGAAGTTGCATTGAATTCTAAACATTAGTTTAAAGTTATGCACCGGACAAGGGAAAGGAACAAAGGGCAATAACTCTACAAATACTGAAGATGGAGCTATGGTTATTGTACACGGCACTTCCTCTCATTTGGCTTGACCATTGTATGAAGTTGTATTGAATTCCAACTACTAGTTTTCAAGTTATGCACTGGACAAAAAAGTAACAAAGGGCAATAACTGTAATGAGTCAAAATAGAGTTATGCTTCTTCTGCACTGCACTTCATCCCACTGCCCTTGACCATTGTATGAAGTTTCATCAATTCTAAACATTAATTTTCAAGTTATGGCTCCAGACAAGGAAAAATAACAAAGGGCAATAACTCTGTAGTTAGTCAAGATGGAGTTATGATTCTTGTGCACTGGACTTCCTCTCAATGTGCTTGATCATTGTATTGAGTTGTATTGAATTCGAACCATTAATCTTCCAGTTATGCTCCGGACAAAAATAAGCAATGGGAAAGTAACAAAGGGAAATATCTCTGTAATTACTTTAGATAGAGTTATGGTTCTTGTGTTATGCACTTCCTCTTACTGTGCTTGACCATTGTATGAGGTTGATTTGAATTCCAACCAGTAGTTTTCAAGTTATGCCCCGGACAAGGAAAAATAACAAGGGCAATAACTCTATATTGAGTCATGATGGAGTTATGGTTCTTGTGCACTGCACTTCCTCCCATTGTATGAAGTTATATTGAATTCCGACCATTAGTCTTTAAGAGATTGTCCAGACAAAAGAAAGCAATGGAAAAGTAAACAAAGGGCAAGAACTCTGAAATTACTTTAGATAGAGTTATGATTATTGTGCACTGCACTTCCCCTTATTGTGCTTGACCATTGTATGAAGTTGTTTTAAATTCCAACCAGTAGTTTTCAAGTTATGCCCCGGACAAGGAAAAGTAACAAAGGGCAATAACTCTTTATTGAGTCATGATGGAGTTATGGTTCTTGTGCACTGCACTTTCTCTCAATGTGTTTGACCATTGTATGAATTTATATTGAATTCCAACCATTAGTTTCAAGTTATGGTCCGGACAAAAGACAGCAATGGAAAAGTAACAAAGGGCAAGAACTCTGAAATTACTTTAGATAGAGTTATTTCTTGTGCTCTGCACTTTCCCTTATTGTGCTCGACCATTGTATGAAGTTGTATTGAATTCCAACCATTAGTCTTCAAGTTATGCTCCGGACAAGGAAAATGCAACAGACGTCTGGACCGACCCACCACCTAGTGACTCCTATATACCCAAACAAACTTCGTTTTTGGGGGTAAAATGAGGGAGAGGAATGGTAAGTACCAATAACAAGAGCACAGACTTTTCTGATTTTACACTACCGTGTATCCAAGTACCATCTCAACATTAAAATGGTAGCATGCCAAATTTTTTTCTAAAATACTGTAATAATAATTAACAACCAAACACCATTTCTTTTACTTCCTACATAGCTCACTAAAGATAAGACAACTTTAAATAACATATAGCAGGTCTCTAGTAAAACATACTACTTACTTGTCTAGAGTGGCAGCTAATATGTATTTTCCATTAGGAGAAAACTTAACAAATGATACTGGTGGATTATCGTCATCTATCAACGTTTTTAAACACTGACCAGAAGCTGTATCCCATATACGGCTGAAATTGAATTGTATACATGTTGAGGAATATTAAAATCATCAATCATTACTCTAATTTTTTTCAACACAACATTTTGGTTTCTATAATTCGAAAACTTCTACATATTATCTTTGTTAGGCATTCTTCCCTGACAGAAACATACTATCAGTTTTACAAATTGTGTTGTTTTAATTATTTAGTTTAGTTTATACAATTTTATTTCAGTTTGATTGTGTTGAAAGCTATGAGCTTATTTAAACACACTTGAATCTTTTCCTGGAACCAACCAGTGCTAAGCAATGAATGTAAAGTTTCTTGCTAAAGGAAACAACAGCTTGCCCCTGACAGGGTTTGAACCCAAGCGGTCAGCAATCCTTAGATTACTAGTCTGAAGCATTAACTCCTCAGCTACTCCGCCACTCTTAATTATTTAAAGATGGGTCCTACAGCACTGCTATTTTTTTGTGAGGAAAAAGAAAGGAAAATGTAAATTAGTGCAGAGATTTTTCTTAAACTTTGCATGATTAAAATAATTCATAACTATTTACAAAGTGATGGGGAAAAAAGGGAGTCACAAGACTTCTTTTTGAGTTATCTGACCCTTAAGGTGAAGTTACTTTTTTTGCTCTTTTTCTATTTTTAGATTTTCAACTTTGAAAAATCATAACAGAAAGAAGGAAACTTTACCATAAACCATCGTAACTACTAGATACAATAAGGGAACCATCTCTGTTAAAATGAACTGCTGTAACTGGGTCAGAGTGGGCTGGTAGAGTCTTTAAACATTTTCCAGTCTTTACATCCCATATACGTACACTCTCATCAAACTGAAAATGAAACAAATATATGATGAACAGGCTTCGCGAAAGTTGCCGGACCGTCGGACATGTCCGACAAAAATCAGGCCGGTCCGATATTTTTTTCCGAGTTCCAGACCTTATGTCCGGTACGAATACCGGGATATATCCAAGACGATCAAGACCGAGTTTTCTCCCTTGAATAAAAAAATGTAAAACGAGTTTTGATTCGCCGTTTCATTTTTAGTGTCCAATCAAATTCTAGATACATACAACTTTCGATGATCTTGTACTCGGAAGAAAATGTCGGTGTTACTGCATTATTAAATTATTACGTTGGCGCTACGCCAGGCAAAAAACGTAAATTATCTAATGAAGGAAAAAAGCGAAACAAAAGAAATACGAGTCCAGGCGCCTGCCGAGAAAATTTGTGGGTAAATGGAAAAATGGCCGCTCGTGGTTGGTTTTTAACGAGGAAGAAAATAAGATGAAATGTACATTGTGTCATAAATTTTATAAAGATCATATGATGATGATGATTTTGATCATGAATGTTTAAATTTCCAGACAGAGTCCATCAATCTGGATAAACTGATGTTTTATTTAAGAGAATAAAATTGTGTTGCAAACCTTTAAAAGTTCCTATGTCTTTAAAACAAGAGGGCCATGATGGCCCTGAGGTCGCTCACCTGTATATAGGCCCCCCACCCCCCCAACGTTGCAAGGCCAATTTAACCCAAGGGCTTTTATTTGCACAATCTTGGTAGACACCCATAAGAAGATGTTTCATGCTAAACATCTAAGCTCTAGCTCATTGGGCTTTTTAAAAGAAGACTTTTTTTAAGTTTTTACTATACACATATAGCTAAAAACAATGACACCCCTGGGGCCAGCTGGCCAGTTTTGACCCCAGGGCTTTTATTTGAACAAACTTTGTAGACACTTACTAGAAGATGTTTCATGCTTAATATCTAAACTCTAGCTATTTGGGTTTTTTCAAAGAAGATTTTTAGTTTTTGCTCATAATACACATATAAAAAAATCAATGACCCCCGGGGCGGGGCCAATTTTGACCCCAGGTCTTTTATTTGAACAAACTTTGTAGACACTCACTAAAATATGTTTCATGCTTAATATCTTAACTCTAGCTATTTGGGTTTTTTCAAAGAAGATTTTTTAAGTTTTTGCTATACACATATAAGGAAAATCAATGACCCCCGGGGTGGTGCCAATTTTGACCCCAGGGCTTTTATTTGAACAAACTTGGTAGACACCTATTAGAACATGTTTGATGCTAAATATCTTAGCCATAGCTCTTTGATTTCTTTAAAAGAAGATTTTTTAAGTTTTTACTATATGCATATAGGGAAAATCAATGACCCCCCGGGGCGGGGCCAATTTTAACCCCAGGGCTTTTATTTGAACAAACTTGGTAGACACCTATTAGAACATGTTTGATGCTCAATATCTTAGCCATAGCTCTTTGAGTTCTTTAAAAAAAGATTTTTTAAGTTTTTACTATATGCATATAGGGAAAATCAATGACCCCCCGGGGCGGGGCCAATTTTGACCCCAGGACTTTTATTTGAACAAACTTGGTAGACACCCATTAGCACATGTTTCATGCTAAATATCTTAGCTCTAGCTCTTTGGGTTCTTTAAAAGAAGATTTTTTAAGTTTTTACTATATGCATATAGGGAAAATCTATGACCCCCTGGGGCGGGGCCAATTTTGACCCCAGGGCTTTTATTTGAACAAACTTGGTAGACACTCACTAGAAGATGTTTCATGCCAAATATCTAAGCTCTACCTTTTATGGTTTTTGAAAAGAAGATATTTAAAGTTTTTTCTTTCGGTTGCCATGGCAACCAGAGTTCTGCATGGAATTAAATTCTTTGAACAATTTTTAAAGGTGACCACCAAAGGAACATTCCTGTGAAGATTGGATGAAATTGGCTTAGTGGTTTATGAGGAGATGTCATTTAAAGTAAAAGTTTACGGACGGACGACGGACGAACGGACGGACGCCGGACGAAAAGCGATCACAAAAGCTCACCCTGTCACTTTGTGACAGGTGAGCTAAAAACACAAAGGTATTACCATATACATATATTTGGAAAAAAAATTCGGTTAGACAAAAGTTCTTTCGGTCAGACAAGAATTGAAAGTTTGTCTGACCGAATGTCAGGCAAATGTTTCAGCAGTTTCGCGAAGCCTGGATGAAAACAATATCTTGTGTTTGATACAGCCATGTGCCCACCAAAGCAAGTAACAAAATTTAAGCTAAAACATTAAGTCAGAACACACTTTCTCGCCATCAAGGCAATTTCAAAGTTGGCTTAAATGAGAACTTTAACCCTTAACCTAAATGGACTTGTCCGCTTTTCAATTTTGGGACTGTCCATTATCAATTTTAGGGATAACAAATATGAAAATTTAACAATGTAGTTTTGTCGGACTTCACAGATTTAAAGGTAACATAGTATGCATTATGACCTCTGACAAATCTGGAACACAATTTACAAGTATTATTCAAAATTGTTGAAATAAATTATAAATATATAAGTTCTTAAGATGCCATGATTTGATATATTTAAACCAAAATTCAAGGATAAGACAAAAACAAGAGTACCACAGAGTAACCACATGTTTGATAACACTCATCTGTTAAAAAGTCTAAGTTAAAAAGGGCCATAACTCCAAAAATACTGATTTCAGAATTATGTCCCTTGTCTTACAACTGCATCTTGTCAAGATAAACAAGTTTTTCAAATACATGTTTGAATAATAGGCTACACAAGTTTTTGCATGAAAACAACGAAAAGCTGCAGCAATCATAATAGCTTGACTCTTTCTTCGAAACACACAAGCCAAAAATCTATTAAATATTATATATAAAACTTACTGATCCTGAGACAATAAGGTTAGATTGTGGATTGAAGTTACAACAGAACACATAGTTACTATGACCTTTCAGGGTCTTCATACACTTGCCCTGTAAATAATAAGCATGAAAACATGTTTTATACTGGCAAAATAGAAATAAAAACAGTTTAATCCAATATATCAAGGTTTTTATTACTCAGTTATTTGGTAATTTTTCAGTAATTAGACTATTTTTTAGTAATTAGGTAAATTTTCAGTAACAATATAATTTTTTTCAGTAAAAACGTTATTTTCCATTAATTTGGTAATTTTTCAGTAATTCGGTAATTTATCAGTAATTTTGTAATCAGCCATCACATTTTTTAACAATTAACATCTCTGATGAAACTTATTTATTAGGAAAAAAAGATTCTGTTTTCTTTAGGCCTTGTGTTGACTTTTAAGTTGATGTTGCTCCCATCAAGAATATTTCAAAGAAACTCTGCAATGGATGACTTCCCTTTGTTACCCTTAACTTATCAAGAACTAACTCCATATTCAGTGATTTTAGGGCCAAAAGACCTATTTTTTTATACCGATTATGTTTTTAAAATTCTATATATATCAAATCTTTAGAAAGATGATATTGTAACACAATTAACATACAAGGAACATCACAATGCGATGCAACCAGGTTTTCAGCAAAATATTTCACAGAAGCTTTGTCATGAAGGGGCATTTGTTTTTAATTGAACTTTTAGGAGGAATTATGGCTTTTTTAATATTCCTCAAACAAAAATGATTGAGAAATTTTATGTTGTCTATTCGCCTTTTTTTCCCAAATATTTTAGAAAGGTAAACAGTACTTTATTTTTGCTTAATTTTTGCATTTTTGCGTCTCTTGTCATTTTCTTTTGTCAACAATATTGGCGTGTGGTGTTTTGTGCGATATCAAGAAAAGTATGTTCACAATTTTAAAAAAATACTTGAATAATGTCTTGGAAGAAACATGGGAATTTAGTGAGCGCCAAAGCTTCTGTGAAAGTTTGGTCAAAATCCATTGAGAAATGTAGGAGAAGTTGCGCACTGTAGAAATTTTTCACTATATATTCTGTATAAGGAAAAAATATACAAAGGGCCATAATTCGGTCAAATATTATCCAATCACAAAACCCCGACAATATGTGCCAGGCACTTGATAACAAAGCTTCTAAGAAAGTTTGGTCAAAATCCGTTGAGAAATGTAGGAGGAGTTGAGCACAGAAGAAATTGTTCTCTATATATTCTGTATAAGGAAAAAATATACAAAGGGCCATAATTCGGTCAAATATTATCCAATCACAAAACCCCGACAATATGTGCCAGGCACTTGATAACAAAGCTTCTAAGAAAGTTTGGTCAAAATCCGTTGAGAAATGTAGGAGTTGCGCACAGAAGAAATTGTTCACTATATATTCTATATAAGGAAAAAAAACAAAGGGCCATAATTAGGTCAAATATATACAAATTGCAAAACCCTAAAACCCTGGCAATATGTGACAGGGCACTTGATGACAAAGCTTCTGAGAAAGTTTGGTCAAAATCCGTTGAGAAATGTAGGAGGAGTTGCGCACAGAAGAAATTGTTCACTATATATTTTATAAAAGGAAAAAAAACAAAGGGCCATAATTAGGTCAAATATTATCTAATCGCAAAACCCCGACAATATGCGCCAGGGCACTTGATGACAAAGCTTCTGTGAAAGTTTGGTCAAAATCCGTTGAGAAATGTAGGAGGAGTTGCGCACAGAAGAAATTGTTTACGCCCGCCCGTCGGCCCGCCCGCCGACATACCTCAATCTAATAACCAGTTTTTTCCTTCGGAAAACCTGGTTAAAAATGAACTGCTTTCCTCATTTCTCAACTTTATGTTATTATCCCTATGTAATGCAACTTGTTCTCTACATAGGCCTTGCCACCATTCTCCTATAATTTGAAATAAATCACTGATATTCCTATACCTTATCACTTATTTAAACATATTCAAGTTATTTAAAATAGAAATAAAACAATTCTTCATCTTAGTGCAATAACTGATTAACTGCTATCTTATTTATGACTTATTCCGTTATTGCACTAAGGCGACAAATTACTTGTGTTTACATATCCAAACTCTTCATATATGAGCCGCGTCAAGACAAAAACAACGTAATGTGTTTGCGACCAGCATGGATCCAGACAAGCCTGCGCATCCGCGCAGTCTGATCAGGATCCATGCTGTTCGCTTACAAACTCTATTACAAGTAGAAAAACTGATAGCGAACAGCATGAATCCTGATCTGGATCCATGCTGGTCGCAAACCCACTATGTTGATTTTGTCGTGACACGGCTCAAATTTAGAAATTTCTTACTACATCATTGACTTACCGTGGCAAAATCCCAAATTTTTAATGTTTTGTCATCAGAAGCACTACACAATAATTTACTATCAGTGGACCACGCCACATCAGATATACCCTGTAAAAAAAACAAATAAAAGTCAACAATATCTACATGAAATGACTGAATAAAAACCACCAGTCTGACAGCAAACTCAAATACTCTCAATGCTCAACAGTAAAACTCTGGATGTGACCCAACCTCAAGGCTATGACACTTTCTCAGCACTTTCTCTAATCTCTTAAGATTTTCATTGGTCAGTGTACATTCTGTGACAGTTTCTGAACAAATACCCCAAGATTTGAGGAAATTACTTTATAACCTGGAACCCATTGTCCAGCATCATTCATTCAAATAGCATTAATTTCATAACAATTTTAATGTATTTACATTCCTTATCAGTCTGACAATTCCTTGATAATGACATTTCGTTAAAAAAAAATTCAGGTTTGCCCAAGTCAGGCAAAAATAATATTAATTTTACATTAATTTTAAATCCCAGGGCTTTTTTTCTCCTATAGCAGGGGGCCATTAACAAGGGTCTTCCCCCATGAAAACTCTTTAAAATCATGCAGTTTCCACTAAAATTCAACCTAAATCAAGTATTCTCTTCCCATTTTGCAAAAATACTGTGACTGTGTTATTATACCCAAAATTTAGTAGAAAAATGCCTGCCCAGACTTGAAAAAAAGCACTGAAATCCTGCCCCTAAAGCTATTCTAGGAGGGAGGGTTCACTTATATTTTTGACATTTCTCCCCCTATTTTTTCAGAGGCAGGGGAAAAAATTTACATAGAGAAAGAAGAGAAAAAATCTACAAATTTATGTAATAAATTCTCACTTCTCAATAAAAATCCTGTTTTTTCAAATCCTAGGATAGACACTGCTAACCTTCATCAAAATACTCAAAATGTTTCACATTTTTAACAAAACCAGATTAATACTATAGTAGACTTAAGTATTTTGTAAAGTAGACTAAGTATTTTGTAATACTACAGTAAACTAAATATTTTGTTGACACCTATAACTTTGATCCCATTCCAACAATCTCTAAGATGGTTTAGCAGGTAGCATTCATCGAAATTTTAAATCACATAAATAGTTTCTCACCAGTTTATGACCACTGATAGTTTTTTCAAACTTGCCGTCAAATGCACCCCAAATCTTGATCAGTTTGTCAGCAGCTATAAATAGAAAATAAAAATTTGTTTGTCAATAACTCGTCACCTAGATGAATTCTTTAAATGTACTTGTTACACAGATTATATTATTTGAAACTTTCCATTATCAATTCCAGCAGAGTCTTTTCAATAGAATTCTATGTAAAAGACCCTAATATTGGGGACATAAAGATGAGATTTTGATGTTGGTCAGCCAACAGTATATAGCCAGGTCAGACTGCACTGATGTATATGCGTCTCAGGTTACTATACATTTAGGTTCTCATTGGCCGCTGTACAGTGACCTACTTTTAGCACAAAATTATTATCTTTAGCTAATACTTTATTATTATACACCAGAACTTCCATAAGTTTCAAACTTTGGAACAAAATGTCTGACATTTGAAGTCACATTATATAGGTAAAGAAGGAAAAGCATTATATTTTGGAAGTCACAAGCCAGAATCTAGGAGTAAATGCCTCCCAAACTTTCATTAATGGAAGCCCTGATACACTTTATCATCTGCTATATAAATATATATCGGATCATGTATCCCACTTGCGAACAACATACATATATAACTCCTTCATGGTTTATTGTTATTGTTATGTCTGATACTAAATACTATCAATGTAATTATTTATTGTATACCAGACCTTCCATTATTCATGTTAAAATTTATTTCATTATATTGGACTATAAATTGTAAACTTACATGAGCTTGCTAGCCATTCTCCACTAGGACTGAACTTCACAGATGACACTGCTTTTGTATGACCAGCTAATGTGAACTTGAGAGAGTAGTTTGGTTTCTGAAAAAAATAAAAGTATCAATTGAAATTAAACAACAATTATAGTAAATTTACTGAATGTTTAAAATTATTTAATTACATCAATTATGAACATTATAATAATTATAATTAAATTATGACTAATATTAGACATTATTATTTTTATAAACATAATAATAGTAATGATAATTAAAAACTCTAATGACATTATCCTTTATTTACTTTTGAATGAAAATATTTTTCTTTCTTTTCAGTTTTTGCTGCAAATGACTCAAGACGGAGTCAAGTGGCAAATGGCAGACACTAATAAATAAAAGATGCCCCCACATTCCACTGTTTTGTCACAGCCGGCAAAACAACTACAGCATATCTAGCTGCAAATAGAGTGCATAAAAAGCAGGAGTGCTAAATCAATACTCCACAAGATATTAGGCTACATCTAAATATATTACCAGAGGTTGTGACTGAGACTTAGATGCGCTAGATGCTGGTGCTCCAGATGGTAGACTACTTGGTACAGAGCTCACTTCAGATTGAGATGTCAAAGGCGGTTTAATATCCAATGTTTCAGACGTTGGTTTACCTGGGGTCTCAGAAGACATACTGGCTAAATACCTCTCAGATATGTTGAACTAAACTACGATAAGTGATAAAAGCCCCAAATATACTGAAAAATTGAAACATGTAAAATATTAATTTTATGCTGATACATTAAACTGTCAAATAGTGACAAATATACAAATGACGTACCGATATAATAATTTCTGTAAACATCATTCAAAATGACTCGTAACAGTAAATACTACATTAAAAAAGCTATATGTTCTTAATGCTTAATAAGATATTCACAATCATAAGTAAAAAAATTCACAATTTGTTAAGAAACGATGCTTTTTTTCACAATTTTTTAGTACTGGACCCATTCACAATTCAGGGGAAAAAAATCGCTGAAAATATAGTAGAATAAATTCAAATAAATAATTATTCTAGGGACGAATCAATATCGAAACAAAGTAAATATCAATATTATTGTTCCGGTATTGATTCGTCCCTAGAATTTTTGTATTTAAACAGTACGAAAATTTAAAGAGCGATTGCACCGGAAATCATGGTCGGCTAAACGCATTTTAAGATAAACAAAGCTCAACAGCATCATTTTGCAAAGAGAGGAAATAATACGTTATTAAAGGCTCAATTAATCGGAATTGTGAAATTTCATCAGAATCGTGAACGGGTCCATCGGACCCAGTCTGAAAATTGTGAAGGTCCGTTCGTGATTGTGAATTGGTCTGTTATTCAGAACCACTTATATAGGGAAAAAAATCCCTGATTCTTAACTAAATTTTCTTGAAATTTACACTGGCCCTTATTAATTTTCACTGGCCATGGGCCATCAGGCCAGTGCTAAATTTGATGACTGTTTTAAAACGATTAATTTTGTACTGTTTAAGCATTAGTAATATCAATTTTACTTGAAGATAAGAGAAACAACTTGCATTTTTATCACTTCGGTTATTTACGAAGTTCATATAGAGACTGTCAATGGGTGTATAATGTCTGTCTTAATAGTCAACATGTTAAAAAATATACTTGCCTCGAGTTAAATTTTTATAAAAAAAGTTACTAAAACACAGAAAATTAACAAATAAATGGTGTGTTGGTTATCCATTATTTGAATGGAGAGTTAAGGTGTCTTAGTTTAGTACTGTTATTTGAGGGTTGAAGTTTCTTGGATGAGTGAAGCGTCTTAAAAATTTGAGGGATGAAGTGTCTTGTTCCCGTTTAATAACTTTTAAAATGTACCCACCTATTTAAACTTATTTAGAAGTATACATTTGTGGTTGGATGAATAACAGACAATATCAGAGTGAGATAGTTGAAAGGGGCTGATCATAAAAGTAGCCTAAAACATGCTTCAGAAAAAATACCCCACCCACTAAAAAACTTAAGAAATTACGTGATTCTCAACAGCTAAATAACTTGTAGCAGATATGCAGTCAATGAAGAATTTTGTAAAAAAATGGGAAAATTATCAGATGTATCAAAGATCTGTTTCTGTTTTCATGTACTTCACAAAACGAAACTATTTTTGTAAACACAACACAATGCTTCCCGCAAACAATACATGCGGACTGCGCATGCTTACACAGCTAATCGAATCCAAGTCTTTTAATTACGAAAAAGTTTTGAAGCAGATAAGGGATGTGGGTTTTAGGTAAAAATGAGCAGTCATGTATTACTAAAGTAAATTTATTTTTAGCACATAACAATTGTTAGTAAATCTATAATCGGGCTCGGGGCCTACTTAGATGTCTAGCATTGTTGAAGTGATAGAATAAAAATTATATTTGTTTGCTTACTGTATTTGAATTTTTGACAGGCACCAGAATTTTGCCGAGGGTGCTTAAGTTTGAAAAAAAATGTGGGTCTTCCATCAGATTTAAAAGGAAATCTGCATGTTAAATGGCGACCTCTGGTGCATTTATTTGCATATTTTGAAATACACGTGTCTACAATTTTTACGCATAATTTCTGACATAAGACATGCTAGGGTTTTAAAATATAGTTGATCTCTGGAAAAAAAGCTACATATACATGTATATATAAATTGGAGGCTTCTGATGCATTCTCCCGAACTTAACTGAATGCATAGTTCTACATTTTCCAAGAAAATTACACTCTTTAATATATGTGCTTTCATTACTAAATGATGGCTTCTGGTGCATTTTCGTGTGCATATTTTAAAATACACGTCTCTTCATTTCCGAGAAATTTTGATGTGTTAATTAAATACTAATTAACTTACAAATGTAGCATAGTAATCTTTCTTCGGAACATTCACATCATAAATAAGAATAAGGATAAGAATAAGGACTTTTTCCCCTTACAGCGGGGGGGTCCTCTCCCTCTACTTATGAAGAAGAAAAAAACAAGGTATTTTACAAATTGGAAAGCGAAAACTGTATTGTATGTAAAACTGAATTTTTGAGGGGAAAACTGTATGATTTTAACGAATTTTCCAGAGGAGAAGAGACAGAAAGATAACCTCTGTATGGTAAGGAAAAGGCTTTAATAAAGCACTGACCTACATTATCTCAAACAACTTTATGCTGATATGCTACTTTACTTTTTTTCATAAAAATATCAACAGGCCAGTGCGTCAGTGGTGGTGTCAGTCCATTAACCCCCTCCAGGGTTGATTCGTGCCTGATTTGAATTATCAAAGATTCAGAACAATGTCTGCGGTAAATGTGATTGATAGAAAGACAGAAAAGGCCGGGATGCATATGTAAACAAAATATCATGAGCTAGGCTGTGATGTTACTTAAATTTTCTACCACTAACCATTGATGTTGAAAATTTAACTAAGTCGGTAAACCAGAAGTTGATGAGCAACAGACCTGAAATGGAATCCCACATGTCATTGCTGTGAACCACATATCAAGAGGCTGTGGTAAGTATAGTTGCTGAGAAAATTTCAGTGAAGGACTACTATTGATCATAAATTATGTCGAAAATTTAACTAAGTCAGCAAACAGGAAGTGGGTGAGCTACAGATCTGAAATCGAATCCCAAGGTATGGGACCACGTGGTAATGCTGTATACCAAATATCAATAGGTTGTGATAAGTAGTTGCTGAGTAAACTGTTACGATAATTTCCCACCATTAACCATTAATGTCAAAAAATTAACTAAGTCTGCAAACAGGATGTGAATGAGCGACAGACCTGAAATCAAATTCCACGGTACGGGACCATGTGGTGATGCTGTACACCAAATATCAAAAGGCTGTGATAAGTATAGTTGCTAGGAAAACCGTTACGAAAATTTCCTACCATTGACCATTAATGTCGAAAATTTAACTAAGTCGGCAAACAGGAAGTGGATGACAACAGACCTGAAATAAAATCCCACGGTATGGGATCATGTGTTAATGCTGTATACCAAATATCAATAAGTAGTTGCTGAGAAAACTGTTACAAAAATTTCCTACCTTTGACCATTAATGTCGAAAATTTAACTAAGTGGACAAACAGGAAGTGGATGAGCGACAGACCTGTAAAAGAAACTGTGATAAGTAGCTGCTGAGAAAACTGTTACTAAAGTGTTTTCCCCGACCGCCCGCCAACCGCTCGGCCGCCCACCCACCGCCCAACATTCACCATAATCCGGGCTTGCACTTGTGCAACCCGGCCAAAAATATTCAATTGTAGCAGTAAATATATTTTGTAATTGTTATATTGTATGTCATTGTCACTGGGTTGTACCACATACTTTAAGGGAAGTTGCTCTTATTTATTTTCCCTCATGTACAGACTTAATCAAACTGAGTCTGCAAGTATCTTGTAATTTTGTTGTGATTAACTTAATGCTTCCGAGGGATCCCTCTGTTTCCAGATTTTTAATTGTCAATTTAAGTCCGTGGTTGTACATATATAGAAATAAAACGCAAAATCAATATATTTTATTGTATTATAAATAAAAATACATATACCAGAATATATATGGTTAATTTAAAATTTGTTTAAACAGAAAATAAATTGCTCTGTAGTAAAAGCAATATAAGTACCTATATGCATGTTAAGAATGGGCAGTCTGCCCATTATACGGTGCTATGTTGCCGTAGGGTAATCCAGAGGAAATGTCTTGGAGAGAGATATGGTATCTTCATAAGTACTAGTGTTTTTTTCCTTGCAGAAATCATGATCACAAAATAGACAAATATCGATTCTTCGCCGATTATTACATTTTTCATTCATTGTCTCACATAAATCGGTGTAAAAAGATGAATTAGACCTTTTAAAATTCATTCCAGTATGTATAAGGCAAGGATTTAGCATTTTATCATTCAAACTCCTTGTCCGGTATATACCGGAATACGGTATTAAATGTGGTGCTCCAATCTTTTTTTAGTCTCACTCAAACTACTATACCGTATTTTTGGTCAGAGTATTTTCAGATCCAAGAGTCTGCATGTTATGAAGTTAATAAGTCTGGGACAATTTTTCTGTTAAATTATAAATAGCCCCTTGGATGTGCGTAGTCGTACAGTTTGTGCAGTGCCTTACTTTTATTTACATAAAATATAGAAGCATAAATCTACAAAATTAGGGTTTTTTATGTTATGCTTTTCAGTGGATTACTGATTTATCCGTGAAAATTATATTTGATAATTTCACAGTGAAAATTATCAAAATATAATTTTACACTTCAATGACGAAACCTACTTTTTTGTTGTACAAGAAAAAGCATAACAGTTAAGGTAACATTTGGGCATTTTACAGTGTTTAAAGTGCTTAATGTCGAAATGAGAACTTTCTGCTGTGTGTGCGTGCGTGTGTGCTTGCCCACTTTGCTCTAGGGTTTAATAACAGTTAGTTCTATCAAAAATTCTTGAAATCCGAATTCAAATCGAAATATGACTATGTACGATTATCAGTGTCTGAAAAATATTTTGTATTGTAAAAAATGAATAACAACAACAAACAAAACAACTTAAACAATAATTATTCTGATTTACCACCGTAATTAAAATTTCAACTTAAAACTTATTATTCGATGACTTTAACCTGTTGTATTGTTTTCACTTTCTTTTTTATGTTCTTGTAGGTTTCCTACCTTTAACAGATTTTAAGATGTTGTACACCAGTCTTTTAGATATTGTTTATATGTGTAAATTCTGGACCCCAGATAAACACATTTTCTATATTTTTTATGTCTTTGGGTTCATTAAATCGATAACTATTTTTCCAAAAATAATTTATTTTTCCCATAAGTATTTCTTTCCGATCAGTTTTTTAACATGAACTGAAGCTGATTAGTGGAAATTATTTTATTTTGTTATATTTTTTATATTATCATTAAATTTATTTTTAATGCATGTAGGTCATGTGACTAGATCGACCAATGAAATGTTAGTACATTAAAAGAAAGACGCGACATATGCGTCTGTCGACAAAATCATGAAAATAAGATATAACCATCGCGATTTTTGTTATTATTTCACTTCACGAGGATGTATGAATGCTTTTTGAAACATATGGGAAACTTAATTTTGAAAACTGATCGGCCTGTTTATTGAAAATTCTGAAAATTTTGATTTCAATTGATTGTCATGTGACTGTCTCGGCCAATCAAAACGCTCCGTTTCAAAGCATCTTATATAGGGAATAATCGGCTCTGGGCTCTGATTGCTGAGTAGGTGAAGGAAGGCATAGGTGTTCTGACGAATCCGTTCAAAGTTATGGACACAAAGAGCCATCCAACACTTAAACGGTATCAGGAGCATACCCAAGAGAGCAACTAATGGTACTATATGTTCATTTTTTGCCTTAGATGCTTTTTTAGGTCACAATTTGTGATATTGTCACGAAAGTAATGTTTAGAAATCCGCCATTATTTCGGCACGTCGGCGGTCATTTCGGCTCCGTGAAATTTTGCAAATTACATGACAAAATCACAATTTGAACTTTGAATGTATATGACATCTTTTGCAGGAACTGATCTGCTTCATTTTTGATAAGTAAGGGTTTAGTTTCCATGTTTCATTACAGCTAAATACGTGTGAATGTGATTCAATCAATGTCGGTCATTTGCAGACATAATTTGAAAATAAATGAGCAAAAATGAAGCTTGATTTTGTACTTATTGACCATTGTTGTTGTTTACTTGTTGTTCATGTATATTGTAGAATATAATCAAATGTTTTGAATATATTTACAACTGTTAATGTGAAAGTGGAGGTTAATTATGCCGGTGACTCATTGTCATTTGCTTAATTCTTTTTCTGAGGAAGCAATATAACGGGAAGCTGCCTATTTGCATATATATTTTAACCATATGATATTTGTTAGACAGGTCAAATTATATGTCTGGTTAACATTTGTAATGAATGTTCATTTCTGTTGATTTTGTGGATTAATTTTTGAAAAATTGCATAAAAATTTAAGTGCCAGGGAAGGTATAATTTCCATTTAGGGTGGTATTCTGGACCTAAACTACGAGTATATTGTAAGGTTCATTCTGTTTTCTTCAGTCTGTTAGGTATAAGTTTTACTACTGAAATATACACGGGGATCTAATCCAGGGGATTGATTCAAATAGACAAATATTTTTGAAATTCTAGTGGTCAATGAACCTAAGTGAAAATGAATTGTTGTTCAACTGTCAATTTGAAAAATGCGTAAAATATTTTTCTCCAACCTTAAGTCAGTTTAAGGGAAAATTTAAATAATGTACTAACTGAAATGCAAACAGTACTTGCCCTGTGTAGGCTGCTGTTGATCTATGCTGGTCGCATCTATAAGCAAGATTGGTTTTTTTTTTATAATTTCTACTTGTTGTACGAGAGATGTGGTTTAAAAATTAACTAGTTCAAACCAGCACATCTCAACATTTGTATTGGGCTTGCTGCAGTCATTGAATTTAGCACTGGCCTGGTGGCCAATGGCCAGTGACGATTAGTTTGGGCCATTGTTAATTTTAAGAAAATTTAGTTAAATATATTGTAGAAGTTCAAAACTGGAATTCAGGCCAGTAAATTCAAAATTTTAAATCTGCGCTTCCGTTAATGGAAGTCTGTGAGTCATTTACTCCTTGAATTTTGCTTGTGACTTCCAAAATGTCATTCTTATTCTTTTTTATCTATATAGTGTGACTTCCAAATTTAGAGATTTTGTTGTCTCTGACTTCCACATTTTGGAACTTAGTGGAAGCCCTGTTAAATTCAATAACTGCTTGCTGGTGAAAACTGCAAATATGTGCCGTTTCAATTTCTATAATAAATGAAAAGGGCCAGATAACTCTGGTATTATCCCCCTAATATATTAGCTCCGCTTGAATGAGTATTCAAATAGTCTGGCACTACTGTCCACAGCATTGAAACTGAGTATGTGGGTTTCAACCACAGAAGATATATTTTCTTTTAACATTTTTGTATCGCGCCAATCCCTCGTGGAAGGAAATTCTTTCATTTTAAGTAATTAATTAATAAAGTTATAAATTGCCCAAGTAATTACAAATTTAATTATAAATTACTTGATTATAAGTTGATATCTTCAAAGTCTAATAAAAACAAATCTACTTGGTACATTAACTCTGAAAAAAAAATCTTGTGGGAAATAGTATTCTTTTCAATAGGAGCAAAATGTCCATCAGTAAAATGACCTTGTAAAAACAAAACATAGAAAAATTTGAATAATGTGATGTTACTTTTGACCTCATTCAAGTGACATGAACAGAAACCTAACAATGTGCTGCATATATAGCCACTATTCCAACCAAAGGAGAAAAACAATCTGTCTGGCTAGTTACACAACAGAAGTCTAGGCGCGACAAATTCATTTCTGTATTGGTCAAGGTGTCCCAAAGCCTATACTGACAAGTGAAAAGTTTCAATAATTTACATAAATAGATATCATACAGACAAGATGAGAAATGCTTCAGATAAAAATGGACAAGTCAAAATCAGATTTCGTCGACCCAGAGTACTCTTAGATGGGATGTTGTAATTTTTGCAATTTGACTTCTTGCTGTTTAACTGTATCTAAAATATATGTGGTAGGTTCTTCAAGCGGTAGGCCGTTAAAATTTAATAAATCACTAATTCATTAGACGATACAATTAATAACACAAAATTTAACAAATAACACTTAAAGCCCCGTGTTATAAAAAACAACTTTATATATGTTCAATTGGTTAATTTCATTTAGAGTAAAATAATGTTTGTTTCTAAAAATTTGACTTCGAAACTAAGTTATTTGCATAAGAACATTGACCTACAAATGAGTTGAAATGACAGGGCCCTCAATCCAATTTGGGGGAAGCGGGTCGCTACCCTCAGCAGGGGGAATTTTGGTGTATGGGGGGAATTTTCCTCTTTTTCTTTTATGGTCAAATATCAAATAAACTTATTTAAATATCAGCTGTTTTTTATTTACATGCATATTATTTTAAAAAAAAAAATCCCAAATAGGTAACACTAAACTGTTCAGAAGTGATTGATAAGATTTGAAGCAAAATTTTTAACACCTTAAACCATCAGATCTTTATGCTGCTTATCTTTCTTTATGATTCAACCCCCCCCCCCCACCCCCCCCCCCCCCCCCCCCCAAAAAAAATAAAAAAAATAAGCATTTAGAAACACATTCAGACAAATGTCTCCATTTCCAGTAATATGAACAATACATGGACCTAAAGTAAATTCTATTCATAAACTACATTTCTAGTGTTCTAACACCCCTTTTATAAGACAAAGCTTCCTTTTCTTGACTTTGTAAAACATTCGTAAAAATCGGCATCGCGAAAATATGTGACAAATGAAAATTTGTTTGTTTTCTGTTTACACATCCACAATTCTAGTTGTTTCTGATGTAAATTATATAAAATTAAATTGATTGTTTATTATAAGATCATTTTTCATCAGTTATTTAATAAAGTATCATGAAAACAAAACTTACAAGTTTGTAATTTACGGCAAAATTTACCGTGGTTGATGTAACATTTGAAGACAAAAAAAAAAATGATTTCATGAATAAACAAATTGAAATCAAATTGTTGATAGGAATTGTGATTTTTTCTGCATATTTCTGTTGAAATTTTAGCATTTTTACAGGAAAGGCCAATATGTGACGGTAGATTTTGGGGGAAAAAACAAACGGAAACGTGCAGACATGTACTGTACGATATTCCATTTACAAAATAAACGTCAAATAGATGGATTTTTATTTAAAAAACAACATTAGTTTTCATTTTTTCTCTTTAACACTTTATATGTTTTGAGGGGGAATTTTTACCTCTGTTAGGGGGAAAAAAACATACTATTTTGGTGGGGGACTTCGGCCGAATATCGGCCGCAGATTTGGTTGATCGAGGGCCCTGAATGACAAACAGTTTATAAATAGCAGAAAAGAGTTTTTAGTAAAGCTAAAAAATAAAGTGGGGTTATGAATTTATTCGAGATTAAGTAAAAATGTGTGAAAAGAGTGATTTGTTTTTTATAGTCTTTGTTAGAAGTATAAGAATATTTTGTTTTTCTAACTGTTAATCATGAGTAGCACATCACAGGGAATGCAAATCGACTGTGCAAATGTATGTAAACATTTATATGCACACAAAGATTTAGCAGGATTAGTTCTATATTTTTGTTATTGACAGTTGAAGAGATCGCATAAAGATGCCCAGGTCCAGCAAAATCCGATTTGGACTTCATTGTCTGTATGATATTTATATAGTAAATTCTGGAAAATTTTCACTTGTCTGTACAGGCTGTGTGACAACAACCTGGGCAATATGGACAATTGATTTTGCCAACCCAGTATAAAATTTTCTTAAAAAAAGATTAAACATTATATACTTTGTTTCCACAGATTCCTTGTGTTTGATCTAGAATATAGTCTCCTATTCAAGGAGCAACAAGTGCAATAATGTATAAGGCATGATTGTTCAAGCAAGATAATCTTGATGCGGTAAGTTGATTTGATGTAACTGTTTCAGATGCTATGAAACTTGTAGGACGTTCACCGGTCTCGGCTAAATAAATTTGTTGCGTCTTTAATCAGTAAAAGTTAAGCTACAAATGTTGCTCTTCTAGTAAAAATTGCTTCCAAAATAATTGTTTGGTAAAATTTAGTTATCGTTACCATACATTGAAAATTAAGTTTTCCTAGTAATTTTAAATATTGAAGTATGTGAAGAACAAAGAATTGAGTAGAAAGGATTTTTTTAACAGTTTATTTGTGTGTTAGTATGCAGTAATGTTTTGATTTTTCAAGTGGTGACTCGATGACCAGTCCTGTGAGAAGAGACTCGACTAGTGAATACAGCAACATGAGTGAGCCTGGTAAACTAGAGATTGACACCGGGGCAGGGGGACCTGCATCAAAGATGGACTCTGCAAAACTAGATGGTGATAATGAAGTAAGCAATGTATGTATTGTGAAGCAAGATTTTGCCTCTTGTTTTCTGCTTGTATGATTTCTTTTTGATGTTTTCATTTAGTTCATTTTTGTTCCTCCTGATTAATGAATTTAAGTACTTAAATACATTTAATTAAAATGCCTTAAGTTGAAGTGACATAATTATGCAATGTTTTGATGATTTCACAAGTCTTGACAGAACTATTTGGAAGAAAATTTCGAGACCAAAGGTATTTAATTAATGGTATTCTCATGGCTTTTATATTTTCCGATGGTAAAGTTAAATATCAAAATTGCCCATCGTTTAATAGATATAATAGAAAAATTTAAAGACGGCATGGGAGACTGATGATGACTGATTTTCTTGTTATTTTGCAAAGTCTGAGATGCCCAATAAGACTTCTTGTTTTGTTATAGTGCAACTTGGTCAATAAAAAGGAAAGTAATACATTAGATGCATAAATTTGTTAAATAAAGGGACTTTTGTATATTTCAGTCTATGCAGAATCATGTTGATGGTACACCTAGTGGCAAACGAGGTCGTCAGACCAATCAGTTACAGTATCTTCATAAAGTGGTTTTGATGAAAGGTGTTTGGAAGCATCATTTTGCATGGCCATTCCACTGTCCTGTTGATCCTGCTAAGCTTGGCTTGCCGGTATAAATTATTAATTTTCATGACAAGTTGATATTTAGCAGTTCTTGCCAAGTACTTTAACTTGAAAAATTATTAGAGAGATACTGATTGGTCCTTGGAGGACATGTTCTTTTCTTAATTTGATGCAAGTAATTTTAGTGTACATTTATTGCATATAATTTTATTGCATGTTTTTCAAGTTTTACTTTTTGTGATATTTTGTAGGATTACTTTGACATCATAAAGCATCCAATGGATCTAGGGACCATTAAACAACGTCTTGAATCTCAGTACTACACTTCAGCCAAAGAATGTATACAGGACTTTAATCAAATGTTCACAAATTGTTACATCTATAATAAGCCTGGTGAAGATATAGTCCTCATGGCACAGACATTGGAAAAGGTCTTTCTCTCCAAAGTGGCTCAAATGCCAGCTGAGGTGAGCACACCACTGGTATGATTGATTTTCTGTAGATTATAGTAAGTTCTTGATCAGTAAGGTGAATAGAATGCTGTCTCTCCTATGTAATCAGTAATGTTAAATTCCTTTTTATGCTGTTTTAGTTATTTATTACAATGAAAATTTAAGTTTGTTTTTATTATTGGCGCTTTGTGGATCTTCTCAACAGACTACTGAAGTATTTATGTTGCACTTAATATCTGTTTTACCGCCTCCGTGGTCGAGAAGTAAGAGTCGATGACTTCTTATCCAGTTACCTCTCTGGCGTGGGTTCGATCCCCAGGAGATGCTTTGGTAGTTTAGCACGGAGGAAGGTAGTCTAGTACTGGTGTAACTCTCCAGGAATGATGGTTCGGAATCTACCCGCCTATATGACTGAAATACTGTTGGGAAAAGGCGTAAGTTGAAAAAATCTGTTTTTTTCTATTAAGTAATAATACTGTTCTGATGTAAGTCTTTTGTGTTGTATTAACAGGAAGTAGACTTGACCCCTGCCAGTAAAAAGCCTCCACCAAAGAAAAAAATTCTTGGTCCAAGAACCCCATCTGTACCTTCACACACTATGAATTCTGCCGAGTCCTCAATGGTAACTACTACATCTCAGTCAAAAGACACGGCATCAGTTGCCTCGAATGCTTCATCAACCGACACAGTTAATGCATCTACACCAGCTGCTAGCAGCTCTGCAGCATCTGTAAAGACAGAGGTGAACGATTATCCCAGCAGAATAAATTCTGGAGTTCAGTCCTCTGTCATGCCGCCTTCACAACCAACAAAGGTCAGCACAAAGGTGTATTATTTAATAACACTATTTCATTTACCTATTGCACTGCATTTTAAATGATTACATTGAACTACTTAATTTTGAAGGGGAAGATGCAACAATTAGCAAATAAATATTTAATGGCTATTTTTACTTCACTGTTCAGGGTTTATATGTAGCACTTTGAGTCTGACTTGACAATAAGTTGTGGTTCTACATTGATGCACTCCCATTAGCAATAAAAAGTCTTTAGACTCCTAACGTTCTAACGACTTAAACTCCAAAATGATGTTGATTTTTAAATCAGATTGTGACTGTGAAATAGGGCTGGGGCGAGTATCTGATTACTTGGATAATCATGATGCAAAATGAAAAAATGAGTGTCCAGAGATCCTTGATAGTGATTTTATTTGTTTATATACATTCACTGTTTCTCACATTCTAAAAGTCAAAATAAAATTACAATTTGAGTATGAATTATGCAACATTTACTTCAATACAATTTGCCAATTAAAGAAGGAAGTAAACAAATACCATGTTGCTGAGCTAGGAGGTCATTAGTTTCGTAAAAGGAATCACTTTATCTTTATTGATCCCTATGTTTTGACATGAAAATAAATATTTTTAGTTGCTATATATATATTTATAACAACGTGACATGTATCGAAGACGGTTTTATTTTAAATGATCTGAATTTTGCGAAACTCAAGACAAGTTAATAATTTCTATGTGTCATCACACATCCTGTCTGCAACAATAGCTGAAAGGAGTTGCGCCGATTTAAAATTTAGCAAAATTTACTTCCAATGTTTGGAAATACCTTTGTATTTCAACTGAAAATCAGAAAAATGTGAAAATCTGCTGGGCTGTTTTGTTTTATTCAATTTTTGCCAGTAACTTGAACTTTTTATGTCCTACAGACTAAAAAAGGTGTAAAACGAAAGGCTGATACTACAACTCCGATTACACCATTGGCAGCTGATCCATATGAGCCAGATTTTGATGACGGTATAAAGGAAGAAAAACTTCCAAAAATGGGTTCAGTTAAAAAACTTACAAACTCTAGTGTAAAAGTGACTCCAAATAAAATGTTACCAAATAAAGTTGTGACTCCTGTTGGAGGAAGTGTTAATATTGTTTCAACACCTGTTGGATCTGCTGCTAAAATAACACCAGCACGGAGGGAGAGTAATAGACAAATTAAAAAGCCAAAGCGAGATCTACCTGAGGAGACGAGGGTAGAGGGTGAATCTGTAAGTTTGTACTTGTCTTTTTGAATGTTATGTCAAAAACATTAAGGATCAAATAAATATTGAACCATTTATTCATCATGAGGGATTTTAATTGATATATGTTCACTATCATTTGACTGAGCAAGTATTTGGCATATTTTGCGAAAATGACATTCGTATTTATATCCCAGTTGATTGTTACTTTGCAAAGTGAATTAATGTGGCAGTTTTGATAAAGTGTTGCATTGTCATCATATGAAGCTATTTTATGCATTTTTAATTTTCAGTCAAAAAAAAGTAAAATGACGGAACAGCTCAAATTTTGTCTTAATCTGGTGAAAGAATTCTTTACAAAGAAACATTCAGTAAGTACTAAGTAATAAGGTGTTCAAAAGTACTTTTAAAGATTTTGATGCACAGTAGAAAAAGGAACGGTTGGTCCTTTGATAATAAGAGATATATATATATATCTGCATGAACATGTACATTTTGTCTTATCTGTCTTGTAATCTGCAAATATTTTCCTCTTTCCTGGAATTGGAATTTGCTGCAACAATAACAACTTAATAACAAGTGGTTCGTTGAAAGTAAAACAAAATTTCCAAAATCAAATTTAGATATTTTTTCTATGTCTTTGTTAAATTCATATTCATAATATTAACAAATACCTGTTTTTTATAAAGAGAAAAAGCTAGCTTATTATGCATGACAATAGTAAGTTCCTTCTTTCGGTTTCAGAACAAGTTGGAAAACAGACAATATTGTTCAGCGCAAGAGTTTGCAGAGGATATTCGTTTAATATTCACAAACTGTTATAGATATAATCCACCTGATAGTGATGTTGTTATGATGGCTAAAAAATTACAAGATGTGTTTGAAATAAGATTCTCCAGAATGCCAGATGAGCCGACTGGCTTAGAACTGGAAAAGTTAAACGCAAAAGACGATTCGGCTAGTTCTATAGGAGAGTCAGACTCTGATAGTGGTAATGAAAGTGAAGAAGAACGCGAAAAAAAATTAAAGGAATTGCAAGATCAGGTATGAAAAAAATTGGAGTGTTATGTATACAAATAGGGAGGGGAGGTAAAAATGAATTAGGATCATTTTGATGTATATCCATTGTAAAAAAATTTGCAAGAGTCATAGTGTGATAAAATTTCTTTGAATTTGGTGCCAGTGTGCAAGTTTGACTTTTACATGATGTATGGGTTTCTTAGAGGCATGACAGCTTTGAGTAAAATGATGACCACTATCATGCGCTTCATCTGATTTGCCAAGGCCTGCATAACTCATTTGCCTTTCAATGTTTTATTGTAGGTGAATTGTTTTGTGCAATTGCTGAGGCAAAGTATGAACCAAGAATCGCTCTGATTACTCTATACAAGGATTATATAGTTATTATCACAAACAAATCCTTTAAGTTTCAACACTTTAAGAAATGATTTGGTACAGAATTAAGAAGTATAATAACAGGCAGATTTAGTAACTGAAGTTACATTTCATGAGGGCTTGTAGTAATATGATGACCACTATCATGCGCTTCATCTGATTTGCCGAGACTTAAATGAGAATCATTTGCATTGCAATGTTTTATTGTAGGCGAGTTGTTTCTTGCAATTGCCAAGGCAAAGTATGAACCAAGATTCGCTCTGATTACTCTATACATGGATTATATAGTTATTATCACAAACAAATCCTTTAAGTTTCAACACTTTAAGAAATGATTTGGTACAGAATTAAGAAGTATAATAACGGGCAGATTTAGTAACTGAATTTTCATTTCATGAGGGCTAGTAGTAATATGATGACCACTATCATGCGCTTCATCTGATTTGCCGAGACTTAAATGAGAATCATTCGCATTGCAATGTTTTATTGTAGGCGAGTTGTTTCTTGCAATTGCCGAGGCAAAATATGAACCAAGAATCGCTCTGATTACTCTAGTTATAACATGAAGAACAGATCCTTAAGAGAATTATGATAGTAGGTTAGCTCAACTTATATGATGTTAAGGATATCCCCTAATTTCCATGTAAATGTAGACTGATGATCCTATGCGTGTCATCTGACTAGGTATGACTTGCTGGCTGTGTTGTACAGTCGGAATGAATGTCTGCCTAGAATGACTTTGATCTGGGCTGACTGCATTTTGATGTTAAAGTTAGCACTGGTCTTTCTTTTGACTTTAAAGTTCTAACTAGACCGCTAAGTTTTTGAGGAATAATGAAATGTAGTGTTTAAGTAGGTATTAAATATGGTATTTAATATTCAAATATTGATAATATTGATCTATACCTAAAAGTTGCAAGTCTAGTAAGTTCTTGTAAAATTTGATTGCACATGGTGGAAATTTATAGTCTTGTGAATGGTACGTAGGTCTGTTTCATACCTTGCCAAAAATTCATTTGACTGACTTTGTTCCAATCCGACTGGTTGCAACATTCTAATGGAGAATTGACACCCTATTACTAAGATTGCATTTGCAACTGGGAAGTCAAATGCACAGTATGTTAAAGAGAAAGTATTTACCAGTCTGATTTTCACATTATTCAGGGTTCTCGGATGAATCTCTTACACACTGTGTGAAGCTGTACACGATTTTCCTATTCATTCCGCTAAACGCTGCCTATATACATTTACGTTTTTTTTTACAAATATAAACTTTTTGTCTTTAGAGTGGACTTATTTAACCAGAATAAAATTTGGTTTGGTATAAAAGTGAAAAAAACAAAGCGATTTCCATATGTTGATGCATTATAATGAAATAATTTCATAATAAATGCTAACAACAAAACAATAATTATACAATGTAGTTCAGAGTTTCTTTTGAATAACTATAAACTTCGGAAGTCTCTTGAAGATTCAAAATATCAGCAATGCTATTGTGAGCATTGAATGACTAATCTGTAAACATATTAATTGCGACACGCTTTTGGACTCCAACTTTTTCAGGGTTGGGAGTCCATGGACTCCATGTTTTAAAGTCCTAGTGAGAACCCTGATCATTGAATGCTTTGTTAATTTCTCTTTCCGTTTTTGATGTGAAATATACCACCACATGAATTATGATTTTTATACAAATTTCAAAAGGTCTAGTTTGAAACTTATGTTGTGTTTTATTGTCATTGTAATTAAAATATGTTTAAATAAACCTTGCAGGTGAAAGAGCTTCAGGACCAGTTACAAAGACTTACACAAGAACATATGAATAGATTAAAAGAAAAGACTGAACGTAAAAAGAAAAGAAAGAAAAATCGTGAGCGTGATAAAGAAAGAATTGATAAAATAATTGACGTTCCCACTGCTTCTGTTATTCCCGTACCAGTGGCAACCACCACTAGTACAGACTTGAACAGTGCAAAAAAAATTACTAATAAATCCAACAAAAAAGTGACTAAAACTCCGAGTGAGAAAAGAAAACGGGCGGGTAGTAAGGGTAGTGGTGGTAAAAAAGCTCTAAAAACTCCTTCTAGTTATCCTGTTCCATTTGATAGTGACGATGAGGATAATGCAAAACCAATGACTTACGATGAAAAAAGACAATTAAGTTTGGATATAAACAAATTGCCGGGTAAGTTAAGAGTAATGAAGCTTGTGAAGTATGATAGTGATAATTGGATTTTTATATCATTTCATGGATTTAATATTAAATGCAGGTAGGTATTTAGTGGGAGTCATTGATAAAGGTATTCATCATTTTAAAAAGAAATACTTGTACAATGAAAATGTCTACAGTATAGTATATTCTTGCTTTGTGCAAAATAATTTTGTGCTAAACTGGCAAATTCAATGATAAATATACACCAGTTTTTGCACTAACTTGACTAAGCAGTAGAATTAGTTTTGGTTTAAACTATAAAAGAAAGGTGTCAAAGTATTAGTTTCTGTTTTTATATCTGTGAATAGACAAATGTAGGATATTATAAAATTCCCTTTTCGTTTAATTCCTTGAGCATTTCAATGAGGACATAATATCATTGAGTAACTTCAACAAGTTTTGTCTGGTTCTGTAAGCTATTATGAGAAGTAGGATAAACTTGAATGAAAGTGTTAAGCATCTTAGCTATTTGAGATCTAATAACATGTCATTGATATAACCTTAGATAAGATGGAGATTTTGTATTCTGTGAAAGTAATTGCCATATTTTGCATTAAATCTGTGGAGTACAGATTTTTTTTTTCTTCACAATTTTTGGTGACCAGTGTTTACCCTAGAGTGTGATTCTTTATTGAGACATGACACAACGTAAGAAACCTGCATTTTTCAGGTCACAACTTTTACTACTTTCACTTTCAATGGTCGAGTATAAAAGAAGATTCCATACCATTCCATACAATTAGCATAGTACGAATTTCTGATGCTTTAAAGTTGCTAGTAGCTTGAATGTCTGCTATTGCCAACAAGCCAAAGTTAAAGTTGAAAATGGCTTTCAGACTTCCTTTATATCAGAGTCGTAACATTTCAAAAATTGATGGACCTTAAAAATTTGATAACCCCCATAAACTTAAGCTAGCAGAAACACTTCACCGTTTATTTATCAAAATGGCGGGTATCCAATTTATACTCTGTTCTTTAATAATAAAAAAAAATGAACAAATACAGCTTGAGCAATTGAGACTTATCACAAATATATTGAGAATATGACTTACCGACTTAGTCTTTGGACTGAGAAAACCCTTTAAATTGTTACAAAAGCACACCAATGAGGACAAACCTGCAATTAGGAACTATATTGTATTGACTGCTACTATACGCTATTCTGAGATGTGCTTTTACAATATAAATCTGTATTCAAAGATTTTATAACATACCACAAGCTTAACTTGTACAATTATGAGTAAGATAAATGATAAAATCATCATAGAAATTACAATTTGTAAGGGCAATGCTTTTCTTCTCTTTTAGGGTAGTTATGGTATGGCCAATACATAGAGCAAAACTAGTGTTGTTGAGCAATTTTAGAAATTTAGAAAACAGAAATTTAGAAAACAGAAAAACAATAAATAAAGAAAACGGAACCATTTTATGTAAAACTTAAAATATTAGAAGACTATCTAGAGTCTTCTGATAAAATGGAGATATAAGCTGTAGGAGAACTTAATTTTTTGGAGAGAATAAAGTCATTAAAGCACACCAATGAGGACAAACCTGCAATTAGGAACTATATTGTACTGACTGTTACTATACGCTATTCTGAGATGTGCTTTTTCAATCAGTGTTTGTAGATTAATGTTTTCTAAATTATTAATATACCACTGTATTACCACAAGGTTAACTTGTACAATTTCCAGTAAGATAAATTGTCTTAGAAATATGGCAGTTCTTCACTTTTAGTGTATTAGAGGCAAGGCCAATAGATAGGAAAAAATTGCATTGTGGAGAATATTTAGAAATATAGAAAACAGACCATTCTATGTTCATTTGTGATAAAAGTTATTGTTAAAATTGATCACCAATGGGAAAAGTATAAGCTGTATGAGAACTTAATACCTTAATTGTAGTTTGGGAGTCATTTACTCCTTGATGTTGGCTTGTGACTTCCAAAAATTTAATACTTTTTCTTCTTTACCTATATAATTTGACTTCAAAAATCAAAGATTTTAACAGTCTGACTTCCAAATTTTGAAACTTAATGAAGCCCTGACCTTTAAGAGAATAATGATTAAATTGTAACAAAAGCACACCAATGAGGACAAACCTGCAATTAGGAACTATATTGTACTGACTGCTACTATACGCTATTCTGAGATGTGCTTTTTCAATCAGTTTTTCGATTTCATTACTTTACTTACAATAAGGTTAAAGGGTATAAAGCCAGCGATTTTTTCCTTAAATTGTGAATGGGTCAGGTACCGTAACAATTATGAAGAAAATATCCAAATTGTGAATTTGTTTCTTAACCAAAATGACCCTTTTTTCAGATATTTCACAAAGAATTTACCATTTTTTGAGCGGACCCTTCTTTGAGGGCATTTTTCGTCTGTTTCACTATAACCGGATTAACACCTTGTATTTATATCAGATATATTTGCAATGTACAACTTGATTAAAATAAATATGTTCTAAAACTTACTATTTTGCTGAAAAATGTCATCATTCGTTAACCTTACAACTGAAAGACTAAGCTAAATTCATTCAGATTGAAAAATCTTTGTCCACTAAGTTTAGATTCTCAAATTCCCATTAATTCTGGTTTTATCTAAATAAAAGACCCTTGTTTAACATATAGTTTTACCATTTTGTACATTTACTTGATTAAACTGTAATAGAAAAAAATTTGTGACATAAATTGGAAGCAATTCAACTTTCGGTTTCAATATCGGCAATAAGATTGCATTTTAAGTTAAACAATACATCAACACAAAGACGACCGTTCGTGATTGTGAATGGGTTCGTTATTTGGTACATCTTATATAAGGAAAAAAATCGCTTAAAGCTATATCTAATGAAATATTTCTATAAAATTTAAAAATGTTAAAATTATGCCCTTTTCATAATCTTATGTGTCTGGCAATCAGAGATCTATGCTGTTCTTAAATGTGTTTTATACTCAGGGTTGTCATTAAGAGGCGGCAGGAGGCCAAAATGCCTGTCTCAAATGCATTATGGGCCGTCTCAAAATTAAGAAAACACTCTTTGTTATGCATGATAAAGACAGAAATGACCGCCTCAAGTTCAAAACAAACCTTCTGCAAAAAATGTTAATGACAACCCTGTATACTTGACAAAAGTATATTCCCTTACATTTGGGGAAAAATAACAGTAATTTTGTTCAAGGGGAAGAAAAGATTTTATGTAAATTAAATTTTAGGGGATTTGCATGGTTTTAAAAGAACTGAGGGTTTGGGGAATGAGAATGTGATGTTCTTGGGATAACTAATAATTCAAATAGCTATTTTTACATCAATGAGGACAAACCTGCAATTAGGAACAATTATGTGATGACTGATCCTATACGCTATTCTGAGATGTAATCCTGAAAATTGATGACTGGTTATGTCCACATATTGCACCCCCCTGTCAGGTTTATTTGTTTATTCCAAGTTCTGTTGGAAATCTTATATATATGTAGACCTGTATAAGTATGAGAGACAAAAGTAGAAAAATGATTTTTGATCAAAATCAATTAATTTGCATTGTTGGGAATTTGCTATAATCAATTTTTTTCTTTTGATCATTAATTTTTCATTTGATCATTGTGTGTCCCTTTTAAATTTTGTACATTCATGTTTATATTCTTGCAGGTGATAAGCTTGGTAGAGTGGTGCATATTATACAGTCCAGAGAACCGTCCTTGAGAGATTCTAACCCAGACGAGATTGAGATAGACTTTGAAACACTCAAACCATCAACTTTGAGAGAGTTGGAGTCCTATGTTATGTCTTGTTTGAAAAAGAGGCCAAGAAGTTACAGTAAGTAATGGTTTTGTTCAAGTTGTTTTGTTTAACTCTGCTTATTTTTTCTATAAAAATTTTGATAAGCTAGTTATGTGGACTTAGTTTTCAATAGCCTAGTGACTGGCAAGACTCATAGAGGTAATTGACCTCAGACTATCAGTAAAGTAAGATTTTTATCGGTCAATGAGGTCCTTGACGCGAAGTTTGTACACGGAGAGGTATTTGGCAACCATCAATGCAGGATTTTTTTTGACAAAAACCTAGCACTGTATTTGTTTAACTTTTAAGTCGTAATAATCACCAATTAATTTCATATGTAAGTTTATTATCGTCTTGATCCACAGCAATTACTGGGTGTTAAAATTCCATTAATTAATTCATCTAAAATGTCATTATTAATTTTATTTTTGCAGCAAAGCGAACACCTGGAAAATCAAAACAGCAGGTGCAGCAGGAAAAACGGCAAGAGTTAGAAAAACGTTTGCAGGATGTAACGGGTCAACTTGGTGGAAGTGCAGCAAAGAAAAGTTCTAAAAAAGGTACATGTATACCGATGAAAGAAATGTATTGTTGTAACATGAAGGTGCATTGTATTTAGTCACAAAATAGTTGGTATCGGTTTATGAAGAAGCACATTTCAAAGTATAGTTGAGGTTGGTGACTTGAATACAGTTTCAGTTGAGTCTAGGGCTGTGGAAATATACTTGTGATAGGTAGATGGTTCTATGCAGAGAGATTGGATCCAGTATCTCCACAAGGAAAGATCAATGTGTCTGTGACATTAATCCCAACCTAAAAGAAGCCTAGGACTGTATGCAATGGATAATTACATGTATGTTTGCCTTCCCTGGGCAGAGTAGATGTTCTAATTGACATTTGACTCAATCAGGGTTGGCTAGAGAAAAATACATTGATTAATCCCAGTCTGCTAGTTTTTATAACACAGATTGTTTCATGACCTTGTGACATTATCAGAATTTATAAAATTGTTAAATTTTTTTTTATTCTAAATTTAAAGTGCTGTTTAAAGCCTTCCCTGGGCAGAGTAGGTGTTCTAATTGACATTTGACTCAATCAGGGTTGGCTAGAGAAAAATACATTGATTAATCCCAGTCTGCTAGTTTTTATAACACAGATTGTTTCATGACCTTGTGACATTATCAGAATTTATAAAATTTGAAATGCTGTTTAAAGCCTTCCCTGGGCAGAGTAGGTGTTCTTATTGACATTTGACTCAATCAGGGTTGGCTAGAGAAAAAAACATTGATTAATCCCAGTCTGCTAGTTTTTATAACACAGATTGTTTCATGACCTTGTGACATTATCAGAATTTATAAAATTGTTAAATTTTGTTTTTATTATGCTCCCACAATGTGGGAGCATATAGCGTTGCACTTGTCCGTCTGTCAGTCCGTCCGTACGTCCCGAAATCTTGTGAACGCAACTCCTCTTAAACCGGATGGCAGATTTTGCTTAAACTTACAGGGATGAACAACCTTAATATGTAGATGGTAGTAAAGGAAGGAATTTTTGCTGCGACCAAATTTTACAGAATTATGGCCCTTTGTTGATTTTTTCATTATATACTATGTAGAAATTTTGTGAACGCAACTCCTCTTAAACCGGATGGCAGATTTTGCTTAAACTTCCAGGGATTAACAACCTTAATGTGTAGATGGCAGTAAAGGAAGGAATTTTTGCTGCGACCAAATTTAACAGAATTATGGCCCTTTGTTGATTTTTAGTTTTCAACTTGTGGCACATGTAGTCCAAAAAATATTTGACCTAGAGTCATAAGATTGACAGAACAGTGGCGTGTGGGGGCATCCGTGTCCTATGGACACATTTCTAGTTCAAAATATGAAGTGCTGTTTAAAGCCTTCCCTGGGCAGAGTAGATTTCTTATTAACATTTGACTCAATCAGGGTTGGCTAGAGAAAAAAACATTGATTAATCCCAGTCTGCCGGTTTTTATAACACAGATTGTTTCATGACCTTGTGACATTATCTGAATTTATAAAATTTGAAATGCTGTTTAAAGCCTTCCCTGGGCAGAGTAGGTGTTTTAATTAACATTTGACTCAATCAGGGTTGGCTAGAGAAAAATACATTGATTAATCCCAGTCTGCTAGTTTTTATAACACAGATTGTTTCATGACCTTGTGACATTATAAGAATTTATAAAATTGTTAAATTTTGTTTTTATTATGCCCCCACAATGTGGGAGCATATAGCGTTGCACTTGTCCGTCCGTAAGTCCGTCCGTCCGTACGTCCCGAAATCTTGTGAACGCAACTCCTCTTAAACCGGATGGCAGATTTTGCTTAAACTTACAGGGATGAACAACCTTAATGTGTAGATGGTAGTAAAGGAAGGAATTTTTGCTGCGACCAAATTTAACAGAATTATGGCCCTTTGTTGATTTTTTCACTATATACTATGTAGAAATTTTGTGAACGCAACTCCTCTTAAACCGGATGGCAGATTTTGCTTAAACTTCCAGGGATTAACAACCTTAATGTGTAGATGGCAGTAAAGGAAGGAATTTTTGCTGCGACCAAATTTAACAGAATTATGGCCCTTTGTTGATTTTTAGTTTTCAACTTGTGGCACATGTAGTCCAAAAAATATTTGACCTAGAGTCATAAGATTGACAGAACAGTGGCATGTGGGGGCATCCGTGTCCTATGGACACATTTCTAGTTCAAAATATGAAGTGCTGTGTAAAGCCTTCCCTGGGCAGAGTAGATGTTCTTATTGACATTTGACTCAATCAGGGTTGGCTAGAGAAAAATACATTGATTAATCCCAGTCTGCTAGTTTTTATAACACAGATTGTTTCATGACCTTGTGACATTATCAGAATTTATAAAATTTGAAATGCTGTTTAAAGCCTTCCCTGGGCAGAGTAGGTGTTCTAATTGACATTTGACTCAATCAGGGTTGGCTAGAGAAAAATACATTGATTAATCCCAGTCTGCTAGTTTTTATAACACAGATTGTTTCATGACCTTGTGACATGAAAATTTACAATAAGAAACATACTTTAGCATTATGATTTTTGAAAATCCCTCGCTTTCTTAACTAGAATATTTATAATCAGACTGAGGGTAGAAACGATTTAATTGTACAAAAACATATTTAACATTTGACATTAATTGTTTCAGAAGGTGATAAAGGTGATATGGATGTCTCTGGAGGTGCAAGTCGTCTCAGTTCCAGCAGTAGTAGTGGCTCAGAGAGCGAGTCCTCCTCTAACTCAAGCTCATCAAGTTCAGACTCGAGCGACTCTGAGTCAGGTTAGACATCACTTCATCTAACCTTTTTTACATGTCTGTCTTATTCAGTGTTTGAACAAACTTTCTATGTAATTGAACAAGAGTGAAAATATTTTCCAAAAGATTTAAAACTGGCTTTGTTAAATGCAGTCCATGCCAATCGATAAAGTGGTAATATTTCAAGCACTTGTTGCTCGCATTATCATTTTAGTGTGAAATATTGGGCACTTGTTATTTTGATTCTTAAACAAATTAAAAGTTGCTCAAGTGAATAATTAAATTATTTCTTCCTGTTTTGGCTATTTAACTTCCTTACATTTCATATTTATCTTCGGTAACACATATTTTTTATCAAACCACTTTCTTAAGTTTGAAATTTCATGTAGAAATTATTTTTGGAAACACATTATTAATTTTTTTTATATTTGGCAGAAGTTTGATTGGCTGGCCCATAGTAAAATGAATGAAAATTGTTAATTCTTGGTTGGGTATACATCACCTACTTTGATGAGTTGCTTTAAACAAGTACTTAAGATCTGATGTATGAACTGTTAAAACTGTTTCCACCCTTTGTTATAATTCATGCAAATTGAAAGCTTAAAAACCTTTGTATTAAGATGTAATCGGGTTTATTGGCTAGACATAAACAATTTTGAGTTTAATCTCTAAAGGAATAAGGTTGCGTTGAAATGTTCCTTATAAAAGTTAGGCACCTTGTTAAAATTAGATCAGTTTGCATGCGTTATATCAATGGTAATATAATGCAGACGTTGTTACAATTGCTGTCAACAGTTAATGTAAGGGCTGCTTGTAAGGTTTAACAAATCTGTATTATTAACTCTGAAATCCTTATATTGTATTTGATGTCTTTGCTTGTTTTCATATATCATGTAATTCATTAATTACTACAACTGTGCCATTTAAAAAAATTTCTAATCGTAACATTTCCTAGTTCTCAGTGAAACCTGTCTAGCATATGAATAAAATGAAATGCACTGATAAGTTTCTTGATGATCTACGGATTATTTATGTAAAAGCGTTTAATTACTAACAGTATTGTAAAAGTGACTGCCCAGAAATGTTTGTTGTAAATTTATATGATAGTTTCTTTTTGTTAAAAAGGATTTTATTATGTGCTAAAGATATAGTTTCCTGATTCCTAACAATCTAAATTTCAATTGATAGTGGGGGGATTAAAAACGGAAAATTTTTAACGCTGCTATTAACTATATGATTATTTCCTGAATTAATAAATATTGTAAATTTGTTTAACCTAAAAGTTTTTTTCCTAGCACTGAAAAAGTAGATAAATGTTACAGAAATGAAAATGGCATATGTTAAAATTTTATTTGATATTGTTAAATATAAATATTTATACCACCAATTGAAAATGTTTGCATTTCTTTGGAAAAAAGGAAATAGCAGCATATATTTTTGGTCAGATATTTCATGTTAATTTTGTAACAGTAAATCTTTAATTTACAGAGAGTGTGGTTGTAAAAAAATATTTGGACTGACAATTGGAAATTATTAGAAAATGATACTCTAGATTTGTAAGTGTGCAAAGGAAGTTGACTGCTAATATCGGTATTCAGGGTTTCTTTGAATTCAGTGTTGTTACATTGACTACAATGAAGTATCTGACCAAACCAATTATGTATTGAAAATGTGATTGGCACACAAAGTGTGTGTTGTGTTATTATAACAGCCTGAGTGCAGAAATGTGTTCATCCTTTGAGGCTAGCCAAAATCTTGGGCTGGTTTTTGTATCTTATCATTTTAGAGACGAAACCATTGGTTGTAGATAATGTCATTTTTGATAAGTTTTTTGTTACCTGGCTCATTTATTCTGTATATGTGACCATAGATTGTTAAGATTATTTTTCCCCCCTTTTTTTGTTGTTTTTCAACAAAGATGTACTTTTCTGTGCAACTCAAATTGTGTAACTTTTACACTGCTGTCTGTCGTGATACTATTTAAAGACTTGTCAAGGATATCAAAATGTGTTTCGCATGTATAAATTAAACTTGTACTAATGAGCTAGAAAGAAAAAAATGTTGTGATCCAAGACAGATACTTAAAAGAAAGTAGGGAGTAGAATGGATTTGGCTGGTCTCAATTTGAAACATTGTGCACTCTGAAAGGCTTTACACTAAAAGGTTTCTCTGCGATATGTACATTGTTCGGATCACATTCGACAGATATATTTTGTCAACAATTATTTCTGTTTCTTTTGAACTGATAAACATTTGTAAATTTTCAGACATTGAATTTTTTATACTCTGCATTTTTTTTTTGTATCAGAGATCTGCATACTCTAGAGATGGCTTTAAACAGCTTTACCTGATTGCATAAATTTACAGCAAAAGTTTGTCCAATTTGTGTTCTTTGTAGTCTTAAGTTTTGTTTGTACTTGTTAAAGGAAAATGTGTAAATGTAGTTTTTAAAAAAAATCATGTATCATTAATTTTTTTGTATAACTAGTGTTTAAAATATGAGTTGTACAGAAAAAAATCTTTATGTCATAAGTCATTTATTTGTTAGAATTATTTTTTCCTCTATTTTGTACTGTTTTATGATGAAAAAATCATTCATTTTGCAATTGTAAATAAGTCATTTTATAGATATACATAGTAAATGAGTCATCAGCATTTTTATTCGTAAATCACAATAAACTATTGAAATATATACTTTGTACTTTGTTTGTACTTTACCTCATTTCTCAAAGGATGAACACATTTCCCCTAGTTATTATGCAGCTCAGGTGTATAGGTGGCATTTGGTGTTTAGGCACTGGCAGATTTTGAGAGCTATGATGTATAAAAACACGATGAAAGTTGATATAAATGAATGTACTGTTATAAGTTAAAAATCTGTTTAGGACTGAACCTGAATTTTATTTTTGTAGTTTTTGAACTCTGAAAATGTATCAATGATCTTGATTCCAAATGTCACCTCATCTGTGTAAAAGAGCTGTGGAAATACTGGCTTTTGGCGGAAGTTATGAAATTGTTTGTTTATTAATGGACAAAAAGAGCATAATGTAGAATCCTATAGACAGACCTTTAAGAAAAATCACAGGATGAAGATAATACTTCCAGGTCATTAAAGCATACCTTTACTTCAAAGACAGATGTATTGGGGCCAGACAATTGCCATCGTTGTGCTCAATATTTATTGTCCATTTAAAAATTTACATTTTTAAAGGCAAGCGACTTACTGTAGTTGGACTTGAAATGATGAAAAATATGCAGCTGAATTTCAGTCGGCCATTACATTAAATGAGTCGGGCATTAAAATTACAGAGATCAAAAAATTTGTTTAAACAGTTAAGGCCACTACAAGTTACTAGTAAGATTGGGTAACTACTTATTTGTCCCTCCGTCCCTGGTTATATTTTCATAAGATTATGAAAACTCCTGTTCAACCCCAATAGACCATTAGATATGTTGTGGCACACAGGTGCATGTCTTACTTTATACACCAAACTATTAAACCAGTAGTGTCATATTTCGATGATTACAGTTTGCTTTAAGAAATTTAACCTTCCAAGTCTGTCCCTGGTGTAGAAATGAGTAGACTAAAGAAAGGTCATATATTCTGATATAAATTAGACGTAATGAAAAGGTAACTGCATCAAACCATGTGGAATAACCAATTAATAGATTGATCTCATTATAACTTCTCACATATATACTTTTAGTAAGTTCATCCAATTTTGTTTGGAGCATATTTCCTACACACATGGAGGACTTTAATGAAACTCCATAAAAATGTTCACCACTATGAGAAGCTACACCTGTCAAAAGATGAACCAGGTCAAGGTCACGCTGAGGTCATTTACAAACACTTGTCCGGACAAAAACTTCTACATGCATAGAGGGATTTCAATATAACTTTGCATGAATGTTCACCATTGTGAGGTTGAGCTTCATGTGCAAAATTCAGGTCCCTTGGGTCAAGGTGACACATAGGGGTCAAAGTTCAGATGAAATTTATATTTGGACCATTGAGTCAGGTGTGAAAATGTAATCTAGGTTAATATATGCAAGGTCAAAGTCACTAAAGATGATAAAAATACAGAGGTTTTGTCCAAAGCATATCTCTCACAATCATGGAGGGATTCTAATGAAACTTCATAGAAATGTGAAGCAGTGTCGTGAGCATGAACCAGGTCAAAGGTCAAGGTCACACTTGGAGGTCATGGAAAAACCCTTGTCGGGAGCAAAACTTCTTCAATCATGCATACAGGGATTTCAATTTAACATGGCACAAATGTTCACCATTGTGAGGCAGTGTCAGGAGCAATATTTAGGTCCCTGGGGTCAAGGTCACACATAGGGGTCAAAGTTCAGATTAATATATGAAAATGTGTATTTGAACATTAAGTTATTATTTATTGAGGGATTGAAACACAAATGGTCATTATCATGATTTAGGCTTTGATATATGTAATAAGGTCAATATATGCAAGGCTAAAAGATAATGAAATAGAGATATTGTCCAGAGCATATCTCCTACACCCATGGCGGGATTCTAATGAAACTTAATAGAATGTTTTTCCACTATTTGAAGCAGTATCACGTGCATGAACCAGATCTGTAGGTTAAAGGTCACACTTAGAGATCATTGAAATATGCTTGCTAGGAGCAAAACTTTCATCGGGGGGTTTTAATGCAACTTGGCACAAATGTTCACCATTGTGAGGCTAAGTATTGCGCGCAAAATCCAGGTCCCTGCTACCAAAGACCTAGAGAGGTCAAAGTTAAGATAAAAAACAGAAGATGTGTACAAGGACCAATTAGTCATCATTTATAGATGGATTGTAACAGAAATAATAAATATGATGACTACATGATTGTGTGACACATGTAATTTTGGTGATATTTGAAAGGTCAAGGTCACGAGAGTTGATAAAATATCCAAATATTGCTGAGAGCTTATCTCCTATATGCTTATCTATAATGCCTACATCTCTGTCAAAAGCTTTTGTGAAGGGTGTATTTTGCGACACTGTTGCCCTTGTCCTCTGATCCTGATTTTATTTTCATTGTTCTATGTTACTAAAATCAATCCTGTTTTGCTAGAATTAAATGGTAAATATTCAAAACGTAAAAAATTGCTGATATGCAAAGAAACCAAACTATTTTCGGATAAAATCAACAAATAACAAAACAAATACTAACATATTCGGATCAAAATAAAGATCATTTTAAGGATCAGGATCAATATTTGGATCAACTGTAAAATATCTTGCAAAAATAATAAATTTATTCCAAAATTTCATAAACTTGCTATTGGAAGTCCAGTTTTATCAAATTAATATTAGATATTTAATCTATGAGAATAAATAATGAAGAATATTAGAGGTTTTAAATTTGATCCTGATCCTTAAATTTTTGTGAACACGGGGCCAGGTGCCCCACTTGACGATGAAGGTATCAGCTGAATGCTTATTGTTAAAGCCACCAATTTCTTGTCCACTTAAACTTTCGAACCATATGGATGTAATGATATCTCAAGGAGATAATGCAGAATCCATTTGGCTGGGTAGTTTGTCCCTACTCACAGCATCCTGTCTGTCATTCTGTTAGCATTTGTTGAGCTGTCTTAATTTTGTAACTACACCAGAGGTTTCATTATGGTGTCCACTATAATTACTGAACTGCTACAGAGATATTAAATAAGATACACTGTCACCTGGTAGCACTCTGCCCTGTTATAACGCTATCTTCTTTATAATCATCGATGATCAAGGGCTTAGCTCCACTAGTTCACCAAGGCAAATTTCATCTTAAAACAAGATATCTTGAAAGAGAATCAGTTTAGTAACTTTGGAATAAAGTTGATAAAATGTAAAAGTTCCATGACATTTGTCTGAAGAGCTCTGTGTACTAATATAACTTGAGAGTATTGTAATTAGAAGTATACATTTTGAAAGGAGTAAATCTACTGTTCACAGGGTCTCCAAAGAAAAAGAAGAAGCACAAGATGTTGAAGGTAAGTCTGTAAAAAATAGTATGAACATTGAGTTGCTCAAATGGGATATTAATTTAGCATTATCTACATTTACCAATCACATTTGATCAAACATACAGTCTGTGAAACAGTATACTAGTAAAGCCTTGGCATTGCATTAGGAGGATGTAATGTTTTGGGTCTGTTTGTTAGATCCTATTGAAGAAGGAAAACTTATAACCTTGAACATTAATAACAAGGAAGTCCTTACACCTGTAGTATCCAAAACAAACAGGAATGTACCATGATGAGTTCTACCTGCCAAGACCCCAAGGGTCATGGATTTCATACCGGACATTTGTTTGTCCTGCAATACTTTCGAGCAATTTAACCATTTTTGCTTTTTAAGTCCCTGCTCCTACTGTAAAACTAGCGTTATAAATTTATAAAATTAATAGATACGATCAACTATATACAAATGTACAGTGTATATTAAAGAATTAAGTCTAAAACTTGCAAAAAGTTGTTGGATCTACTGTCCTGACATGTTGCGCTTGGAATAAAAACAAAAAAGATTGTTTGAGGTATTCCACTTGTAAAAATGCACAATTGACATCTTGTTCAACTAAAATGTGGTACAATACATCAATTGATATCTCGTTTGTGTTGGTTCAGACTGTTAAATTGTGATCCTAGTAATAGTGGGCAATTTACATATGGCCAAAATTTTAAACTTTGGCCTAAAATTTATAGGAAAATGGCATGATGTCCCCGAACATGAAACTCACTATAGGTGGTAACAACACAGTAATGGTTTCACCGGAGGGCAAAATGAGAAATGGTTCAGCACAAAGTTTCTCTAATAAACAACCAAACAGACCTCAGACAAGTGAACAGAAGAAAGCAGCAAATATCATCCCAGCAAAAGTTCCTACTGTGTCGGTTCAGTCAGTCGATGTGACGGCAGCTACAAACAGTACGCTGATGGAACCAAAGCCTGAAATAGGTTAGTATGTGATATATAATATCTTGTTGGAGTGAGTTGAGTGGTTAAGATTCATGACTTTAATTTACTTGGCCACTATGGGTTTAAATCCCACCAAATATGAAGAGGTTAATACACGGTAGAGTAGCCTAGGGTTGGTAGGTGATAATTGGCCAGCTAAATAAATAATAACCCCAAGGTCATAAGTGTTTGAGACATTGTTCATTTAGCGGTGATTATCACACTTGAAACCAGTCTCTGATATGTATTAATGTCTTAAATACTTGAGCTGAAAAATGAAATAGTATTTTCAATGACTTTAATATTTCTGTGAAACTGTAATATTAAACAAGTTGCACTTAAATTTTAATAATAATCGAGGAATCATTACCAAGAAATCCGTGGGCCGGTTTGGATTGATGTTTTGGCATAGAGCTGCAAACTCTATAATTTGCCACATGACACTCGTTACCAGCTGATATCAATTTCATGGTTAAATTTGTTTGTATTAAGTAATTGTACAATTTTACAAGTGTTTTAAATTGAATTCATGAATGCTTATCTTGAAAATTACACTACAGTTGAAAATTACACTACAGTTCAATGACTGAATGCACATATGAAATATGATAAATAATATTTATTTCAGTACATCCTGCAGTGCATACATTACCGCAGCAACCTGATAAACCCATCACTGTACCTGCCAATAAACCTCAAAATAAAACAGCAGGTATTCATTTATTTTTATGAAAAATATATGAAAAACATCACAAATAACAAAGTATAATACTGAGAACTGTAGTTCTAAGTCACATTATTATAAATATTATTTGATATGGCCATCTAGAAGTAGGTTTGCAAAAATATCTAAATTAATTAGTCATGCAAAATGCATGATTCAAGTGAAGAGACCTTATTTTGTTTTATGCATTTGTTTTGGTATCAGCATATACATTTACTCTTTATTTTAGCAAATTGGTAAAATTTTTAAAGATTTATATTTAATTCATTAGCTTATTAGGTGATTTTCATCTGGCATGTTTAAGAACATAACTGTGTATTTGTTAGAGATGGCAACAAAACATTGACTGAATGTCATTGGGGACTGAATATTTCTTAATAAATAGATGATAATAAGGCTGAATAATGCTTTATTTACATTACATATATGAATGTACTTGTTTAAACCATATTTGCCATTGGCCCCCTAATGCTTTTGACTGGGCCAATTCAGTGTCATGCCTAAATTAATGGTCAAAATAAATTGATAAATGTAAGGGTGAATATGTGTTTCTTCATGTTTACTTTTATTTTGTGTATTAATTTAACTGGTATTTATTTCATTGTTGTTTAGTTTTAAGTTTTGTTTTGTCAGCTTTTTCGTAACTGCATGCTATTTCTGTGTTTGTTATTTTGTTTAGTTCCTTTAACTCTTCATGAACGTACCTTAGAAGGTCTCTTAACTTCATCAGCTCCTGTGAATACAACACACACACCTCGCCAGCCTGCTTTGAATGCACAGCCTTCAATACCGCAACCAACCGCTCCAAAATCTATGGCCACGATCCAGGCCCCGCCTCTGTCAGCTTCTCCACCAATCATTGTCAGCTCTCCGATCAAAATACAGCAGGATAAAGAGTTTATGCCGGCAGCAGTGACTAAACCATCTCAGGAGAGGATAGCCGAGCCATTGGCGACGTTCTCGATCGGAGATGATTTACCTAATTCTAGTCCGAAACATGTAAAGCCACCGCCACCAGGGGCTACTCATTGTAAGTAAACCAGTGTCATGGGTAAAAAGTTTCATCATTTTTTATGTTTTATCATTGATAGTTTATTGGCAGTTTATTTAATCATTATGCATATATCTGTATAATAATTATGTTGGTTTGGATTTATATTGTATAATTGTTGAAATAACTAAGATGAAATTAATGCTATTTTGAACAAAAGTTGGTCTGTATTCTTTTTTTTAAAAACATCTTTTGAGTTAAAAAAAAGAAGAAGAAAAAACAAGTAACAAATCTACTTACTACTACTGTAAGTTTTGGTTTCATAATTACAAACCAAAATTTTACAACCTGGTCTATTTACAATTCCGAGTTTAATTTCTGGTGATATGCCATTGAAAAATCTAACCGAAAACTTTAAAATAAGGGAATATTAGGCAATTAATATAAGACAATCATGTTGAAATATTTTAACAGAGTTGGGGTGAAGGGTAGTTATTATGCGTAATCATGTACTAGTCATATTTGGTAAACACAGATTACACAGCTGAGAGATAACAACAATATAATTACAAGTAAAACACACAAAGCTTTTGGCTGAATAAGATATTATATTTTGTGAAACAAATCTATACTATTTCAGTGGCAAGTGGTGTTGGTGTAATGTTGAGTCATGGGGGAGGGTCTGCTGGCTCACTTGAACAAAAAAAGTCAGAATTAGCAAAGACACCAGTTACTGCTCCAAAAAAGCCAGCTCAGGATTCCAAGGTATATAATATAAAAACAAAAAATGTTTTCTTTCAGTGTTGTGCAGAAATGAACTGTCAGACATGGCATGTAGATTTTCAAGTATTGATTTTATCAAAGACTCTTAATTTGTATTAATTTACATAAGCATTAGCTGGCGTGTTGAAACTTTCTAGTATTGGATATTTTACTTTTAAGGAAGAAAATTCAAATTTTAAGGAAGAAAAGTACGATGGAAAGGTAGAAATGACAATAAGATAGTAATAACAATGTTATTTATTTTTAGGATATTAAGCTAAAGAACACCGGATCTTGGGCAAGTCTTGCAAAACTGAATGATTCTACCCCACAATCAGCCAAAAAGCAGGAGTCTGCGAAGAGTTTTGAGTTGTTCAGGAAGCAGGCTCAGGAAAAGGAGAAAAGGGTAAGTGAGGAATTAAAGAATCTTATTCCTTAGCTGAAATTTTTGTGTCCAGTTGTTGTCATTATTTTAGAGTCTCAACTCTTTTATAATTGCCAAGTGTTTGCCCATAAATTTTTTTCAATAACTCTTTTTTCCAGTAAAACAGATCTGATTGTATAATGGTTAAATAATTCTTATGGGTACAATAGGTAATCAGTAACTAGACTTGGGAGTTTTTAGCTATTGGAAAGAAGTTACACTTTTAATAATTATTTCAAATAGTAAGTGTAAGCTGGTATTCTTAACTTTTAACTGTAGAATGGAGTAAAAATTGATTTATTTACCAGGAGAAAGCCATCAAACAACAGGAAGAATATCGAAGATTGCAGAAAGAGAAAGAAGAGAAAGAAAGAATAAGACAAGAAACAGAAAGAAAGCGGTATGTACCTTCGAAATACAAAGCAAGGCTATGTAGATAATTTATATTTCACAGCGGATTGCTAGGAATGTAGCAGTATTTTTCTTGTGAGAAAGCTGGCCTGCTAGCTTTTAAAAGGTTGAAGGTTGTGCTCAGGTTCCTTACATATTGCCACTATACAAGTATATTTAAGCTTTAAAGTTGCAATAGCGCATTTTGTGTAACTTAATACCAAGATCATTATCAGTGGTAATTGCAGTCTATGCCACTAGTTGGTACTGTTGGCTGACATAACGTTAAAATTATATCTTGATCTCTTATATCTTGGTTATAAATTAATGATGGACAGTTAGAAAAAATGGAACATGGAAAAAATCCCTTTGTTAAGGATTAATTATAAGACAAGAATGTTTGTTTGTTGAAAGCATTGTTTAAACATTTGGTATATTTAATGAACTGTGGTTGATAATGATTTCAGAGAAAGAGAAGAGGAGGATGCCCTAGAGATGGCACGTACAGCCCAGATACAACAGACAGAGAAAGATCAACAACGTGACGCAGACAAGCTGAAAGCCGAGAGGGAGAAGGAACGAAGAAGAGAGCAGGAGAGGAGACGAAGACAGGCAGTATGTTTATTGTATATTATATTGATGTTTACAACAGCTTAACTGTGTAATATAAGATTTTACAAGAGCTTGCTTACATACATGCATTCGCGATGTCCTGTTGAGTTTTAGGTATAAGACTGCATAGGAAATGAAAACTGTCCTGTTTCTGTAAATAGAATTATCCTGATCTCCGTGATCAGGATAATCTGGAGATTGATACACCATTGTCGCTTGATATAAATACAACAATTAGTTTATATTGAGACATTAGTAAGATTTTTAAATAAGACTATTTTGTATTGAGTGTCAGGCCAGATGATAATTATTGAAGAAATTATTCCAGTTGCAAATATTTTGTGTGAGAAATTGGTCAAATCTTGGGATATAAAAAATGTGAGAAATTGCTTAAAATTGTGAACTGGTACCACTAGAGTTCATCAAATCATTCTTGACAAGAATCCTGTACTTTTACAGTCAACCTCTTGAATTTTTGCAAAGGTCAGTTTTGAAATTGGTACAGTCTATATAAAGTTAAAGGGCTTCTATTAACAAAATACAAAAATGGAGCAGCCAACAGTATAGAGCCTGGTCAGATTGCATGTATTGCAAAGGCCAATCACGTGATTCTAGCAAGGTAAGGTTTAATGTCAGAAGGGGAGCGGTGGCCTAGTGGTTAAGGTGTCTGCCTCTCAACCCGTGGATCATGAGTTCGGGCCCTTATTGGGTCACAACCATGTTTTTCATATGACACCAGTACTGTTTGGTTCCAGGAAGCGGACTGGAAGTGATTAATATAAGTTGCAAGAACTTTTTTGCGATCAAGCTTAGTTTTATGATCGAGCTTAAATAAATATGTTTAAACCAATGTCAGAATTCTGCTAGCAGTATAGTGTGAGCCAGACTATTAAACTGTTGACTGGTTATTGATATTGCAGAGAATAATGAGTTCATGTTCACACTTGTTTTTCAGATGTCCAATCAGATTGATATGAACGAGCAGAGTGCGCTGATGGCAAAGTTTGAGGATGGTTTGTGATGCAAAGTTACAAAAAAAGGACAAACTTTGGGAACCTATACAAATATGTGCTGGTCGCTAGAAAATACTTTCAGGTTGAGTGCGGGAACATAATCTGAAGAAAGTGCTGCATTTGAGTGAAATATGTCATTATTTATTATAGTGTGTTTTACATAAGCCTTACGAGAATCCATTTTAGAAAATAAATAATAGAATAACACATTGTCTGAAATAAAAGCCAAGGCAGGCTTACAGTGTATATGATTATAATTAACATTTTAAAGTTATTCTTTGAATTGGTATGATGAAATTTTCTTATATGTGGAAACAGTTATAAGTGATGCTGTATTACTCTATAACTAAGACATTCACTAGAGTAAGTGATGTTAAAGAAATTAAAACAAAAAAGCAATCTCTCCAAGGAATGCTCAAGGCAGGAAAGATTTTTTCCGGGTGCTTTATTTATCGTCGTCACCATAGCAGGCATAGCCATCAAACTGGCGTTACACAAGATTGAAACATGGAGACACGGATAGGCGGCTTTATTATGAATTCATTGTGATTAATTTATAAAATTATTCATAACAAAGTGCAAGACTGGTCAGATATTGATCAGGAATTTTCAGCTTCTATGAAGACTTAGTCTTTTGCATAGATTTTGTTTACAAATTTTCATTGAATTTCTTAGCATGAAAAATCTCTGTGTGTGGAAATGTTTTCCAACTATAGACAGTGCTTCTTTCTATCAAATAGCTTGCAGTTGCTACTTATGGAAGCAATTGGTTTGTTCGAAATGTATATATAAATTTATAACATGTGTATCAAATTCATCCTTTCTTTACAGTATTAATATTAAATAAGGAATATCAATGTTAATAAACAGATTTCTTAACTTCGGTTATACTGGTAAATATATTTATATATTTAATGAGATGTACATGTATATATATCACTAGGATGCTACATGATGCCTCATAAAAAGTATAATTTGAAGGCTTAGATTTGCTCAAAATTTGAATCCAACAAGTAGTTTTCTTAGAATATTTTATTCATACACATGATTGAACCACTCCCCTTTTTCTGGCATTCACCAGCTTTGGAATATTGTTCATTAATGATTATCAATATAGACTGCTTAAGAAATGCTTTGTACATTTTCCCCTATTTTCTGATCTCTTGATATCTGTATTTCAGGTGGAAATTTAATGCAAGAGGAACGTTTAAAGTTCTATGTTGATAAAAAAATCAATGCTTGATATTTGTGAATATAAATTTTCAAGTTTTAACATTTTTATAAGTACAAGCTTTTTCATCATCACTTTTTTTTTCAAAGGGAGTTTACTCTGTACCATGTCCATAGTGTATAGAATTATGTCCCTTAGATTACAAATTATCCCAACCTTATACAGGTATAACATGCATGCTATTCTGTAAATTAGTTGTTTCATATATGAATATGTTTCTTGAGAACAGAATATGATATTTTATTATTTTGTAAACAATTCCGGTTTTGTGCATTTGTTAAGGGGAAAACACTGGCTTGTGTTTTTTTCCATATTGCATATGTTGTGTTCATTTCTCCAGTGTGTTGTAAATCATGTGTAAATGAAAAAACGAAAACAAAGCAAAATTTCTGTAAACTTAAAAGTTGTTGTTAATTCACTTCTCATCTGTAAATGACCATTTAGTTGATCATCTTGTATGTTGTATTAGTACTTGTCAAAGAAAAAGACGATAAAAACAAATGTATACCTATCATTATTATATACCTAGCATTATATAGTGTCATTAGTGATTCAGACTTAATGTCTTACAGAATGTTCTTTTGCAAATGTACTGTTGCTGTGAAATTAAATTGGTTTTAATGTGATAAGAAACTAGAATTTCTTACCTATATGTCTTTTGAAGGAATGTTCACATAGCTGGCAAGTGATTTTCTTCTTTTACCTCGGTTTAGGAAAAAAAGTAATCGGCAGTAACTTCTACAGTAGCTAGTGATGTCAGCTGGTACTGGAGTATACACTGTATTTTGTACTGAACAGTTAAAACCTTCTCCTCCCCAATGCCTTAGAATTTGGAATCCAACTCGGAACAGTGTTTTACGAATTGTTGAAAATGTTTCAAAAGTCCGATTTGAAAGAAAGTATGAAAAAAATTAGTTCACATGATATTCAGTAAATTCTCACTTTCATCTATTGTCATTTTTATAATTTTTGTTTTTCATTGTAGTGAATTTGTCACAGGTATTAATTACGTGTATGTTCTGCATATATTTTTTTTCCTTTTCTTTTTTTTTAAAAAAATATTTCTATCATTTATCGATATTTGATTATAAGTTGTTGTTTTTCTTTTCTAACTTTGCTGTATATAATTCTGAAGCGTAATATATACTTTGTACATATACAAACACACCTCACTTCAGTGAGTCCATTTCACTGTTACTTTAATGCAGGAAGACTACATTTGTTGTAAATTGTACATATATATCTCTCTTTTTTGTCTAGACTGCTTATTTGAAAAAAAATTATGCGAACTTTAATAATAATGATTAAAAAAAAAGATACCTACATAACTTTTTTTTTATAAATTGTGTAATTTGCTTTTATTGCTTTCTACAACATAAACTGTAATGGTGTTTGTTATTTAAAGGATTAAGCCATGATTATTTATTGAAATAAAGGGAAATTATGATTTAGTCATGCAGACAGACTGCGGCCAAATTATCACAGAATATTCAATCATGCCAGCCTCAGTTGATGAAGAAACCTTCTAGGCTTTATATTGTTAGCTGACTTAATTTTTACATTCCGGTCTTGATATCCCCAAAAGTAATAAGACATTTTCCAAGAAGGACAAGTCCACTAACCTTTACCTTGCTGAAGGCTAAAGTGATAAGTCTTTGCCGCCAGTATAAAGCCAGGCTGCACATCCGTGAATTTCAAATTCTGACCTTGATATACCCTAAAATTGATAATGAACTGTTCCAAAATGAAATTGGAAAAGTCCCATTTGAGAAACTAGGAATGTTAGGTGTTTATCATTAATAATGTGGCCAACATAGTCATTATATAAAGTTATGCTCTCTTGTTTATGTTACATTTTGTTCCAATAATTTCTATTATACTTTCATTATTACTTAATATGTTTTTCTGCTGTTGTTGTGTAACTTAAAATAAATAATTAAAACTAAACAGTGATTTGTAGATATGGTAGTCAAGTGATGTTGTTACTCATTTACAAATATTCTATTGTGTTTGTATTTACTTGTTTATTTTCAGAGAATATTATGTTGTTTTATTTATTAAAATACAATAGATAAATTGCTTGCAAAATGATAAGTTGAACTGTATACTTTAAAACGTGTTCTTTATTATTTTTTTTATATCTGTATAATTATGTTCCCATGTATTTCACTCTTTTTTACCTTTATCCAATTTACAATTTTACAGTTACCGGACAACAATTCTTAAGGTAATCTTTTGTACAAATCGCCTTATAAATTTTCAAATGAAATCAAGTGTTTTTTTTACAAAGATGATGAACTGAAAAAGCATTTTTTTAACTAAAAGATTAAAATTTTATTTTGGAAACTGCATTTAAAAGGATAAGCGTTACATGGAATATATTGTTCATTGAATTAAGGTAATAAAACATTGGATATGATACTGGATTTTACCAGTCATTTTTAAAAATATTGGAAACATTTGTCGATAGTGATTTTTGATTCTTTATCAAAATCATAGTGTCTTAGCAAAAAAGTTCTTTGAATGTTGGAGCATTTGTGGATCTATCAGCAGATCCGATCTTAGTCACCAGTGAAAAGGCATGGTCAGACTTATTACACATTTGTTTAACCTGATAAGGCTGTATTCTGTGAAGTGGCTTAATTTTAGTATTTTTATACTGACCTACTGGAAGTAGAATGAAATGTTCCAATTCAAAGCTGGACAAATTTTATCAAACAAAATCCAACAAGGAAAGGGGTAAAAAGGGAATCTTAACAGTTCTTTCTTAATTGTTTTTATTCTAGTCTTAATAAAGGGCCTTCAAGGTCAAGTTAAAGGTCAAGGTTACTCACTCAATCACTTTATAGTTGCCATTGATCGAAGTTGTCATTACACTTGTTTTTATTAAAAAAGATACATTGCTTAAATTTTCATGACTAACATCTTTTTGATGTGGCCTTAAATGTACATGTACATAAAATTCAAATGGATAAATTATAAGAAAATGACAAGGCATCTGTTTTTTGTTTTCATGAAGTACATGGTTTATTTTTTTAAAAAAAAAGGTGTCTAGACAATATTGCGTTAAATTTTGTATAATTTTATGACACTGTTGCGATTAATTTCAATTATCTCAAAATGTTACATTTTTGGTCTTTCTTTTCAGGTTTTTGTTTTATGTTAATTGAATTGTCTTGATTTACATTTGATAGTAATAAACTACATGTAGTTAACATTTCCATTAAAGTCAAATTTCCATTTGAACATTCTCATTGCAGATATCAACTTTATATTGTTGTGTTATTTCTTGACTTCTGTAAATACCGACAGATTTTTGTATGTGTGTGTGTGTTTGCGTTTAATACAGTCATTTCTTTGATTGAAGGTACCATTGCTAGAATTCTGCATTATTTGAACAGATGTTAATATTCCAGATCAATGTTCATCCAGTTTCGGAACCGAAAAGGAATCAAAACTTTATTTTACAGTACTAATTTATTCTTTCAGAGAAAAAAATGAAAATTTTCAAAATCATTTTGATTTCTGTAAAAACAAGTAGTTGAATTGAAGGCTGCTATCTTCTGTATGGATAGATAAGTCATGTTTATTTTTGCAAGTGTATTCAGAACAGATTGACATACCTTATTCAAAGATAGATTATTGTTACTGTCATTTTAGATTTTATTTATTTTTGAGCTACTTTAGCAAGAAATACCTTTATAAAGCAACCATTTAAGTAACTGTGCATTATTTGCCTTCTTAAAAATCATACATACATATCACATGGACGGTACAAGTGATTTTGTGTAAGTTCTGTTTTGAGTAGAAGTGATTATTTGTATATTTATATGCATAAATGTCTGAAAACATCATTTTTTGGAATACAAATGAACACATATGAAAAATAAAAATGTGAGAAAAACAGAAAATACCAGTATGTCTTTTATTTTGAACTCCCATTTAATGTTGGACATTGTGACCAAAGTGTAGATTTTATATAAACAATTATTTATAATGCCGAGAATATAGATAATCAGCCACTTGTGGTGCTCTATAAAAGTTATGTATGATATCATGACTTGGGGGTCATTATTAGCCCCGACCTTTGGGTCACTTAGTTTATAAGACTATAGTAAAACGATGCTTTTTTGTAAAAAAACTACTTCATTGTTCAGGGCTTACATTCATGTATTTGGCTTTTAGCATTGCCCAGTTATATGAAACGTGCACCTAAAGTTAAAAATGCACTTGCCCATCAGAAAAATAATTCTTGTAAAGCATGTTTTATGGATATATTCCTTCTCTTATTGAAAGATTAAATTTTAATTACGCTTGCACTCTAGCGAATACTGCCCCACTTTATGGCGCTCTTGTTGGCTCACAGATCTAAAATTGCGGCACCTCTGTAACCACTTTGCAAACACAGTTGTTCAATGTATATCTGGGTCACAAAAGCTATAATGAACTTTAAAAGTGAAAATAATTCTCCAAAATCACAATGCCTGGAGATGGAAGATATTTAGTGGGTAGCACTGTATAGTAGACTGCAATCAAGTTTGTTGAAATCCTGAACTAGGGGTCAAAATTGATCCTCACCAATGGGTGACTAGATATTGACATGAAAAAATATCAAAGGCCCTCTATGGTGTGTTGCAATGTCTGGATAACTGCTATTTCATTTGCAGGTATTGTATCTCTGGATGATCGGTCTAGATAGGGCCATGATGTATATAATATAGTTAATCTCATAGGTTAAATGATCATAGTTGACCTCGTTTGCTAGAAATGTTTCTTCTTTGTTGCAGGAAAGATTAAATGACACATTCGTCATTTCGAGTATTTGAAAGCATTTTCCTATCCTTTCATTTCGGACATATACAACCGTATAAGCTGACCTGGGAACATGACAAAATGTATGGAAATGAAGTGTTTAGATAATGCATAACATTGTGCATCTAGCATGTAACTGTCCCCTATGGGAAACTTTAAAGGGCATAAGGTATGAAAATGTGATGAGTGAAAAAGGTGTGCACTGTACAAGTTTGCCTTTCAAAAATAAAGTGGGGAGAAGTGTAGTGATTCTATGCCATTTCCAACAGTCTTGCTGTTGGGTTAACCCTTCAGCGACGTGTTTGAGTGTCCGCCTTGTAATCGAGATGTCTGTAGTTCAAAACCCGGTCAACATCTGAGAATTTTTCAGGTTTACAATTACATTAATTGAATCATCATGTTTATTTTTATTTCTCTATATGAGCCGCGTCACGACAAAACCAACAAAGTGCGTTTGCGACCAGCATGGATCCTGATCAGACTGCGCAGGCATGACGCGGCTCATATATATTCTAAATGGCAAATAAACATGTTTTATTTTATTCCCATTCCACGTGTCAAGACTGGTAACAGTTTGTGACGGACGGAAACAATACATTTCATCTACGTGACTAGGGGCGACAAATCTTGATAAACATTAAAATGGTTTTATTTGATTTATTTGTAAAAAGATATATAAAACGTAAAGAAATAAATGACTGAAAAAAAAACAACAAATACAGTGTAAAATATCTGTCTGTGAACATAATAAAATGAGCACATCAATGTCATAATACATATGGAATGAGGTAGATAATTTAACATCGGCACCAGTGTCAAAAGAAACTTGTAAATACCACATAAGCCTATACAGGGACAACATTTTCAAAGCAAATTATCTCTTACTATAACGTCTCAAAGTCGACCCCCCCTCTATGCTTTACCACTTAAAATATTGACACCTCCTCTCTTTATCAGTTCTCTATATCTTAATTCTGAAGTCTACCATCCCAATCGTCCAAGGTATACTCTGAAAATCTTTATTATGGTAATTATGACAGGCAAAAGAAATTTCAATTGATCGAATCAAATTGGTTTTATATAACATTAAATTTTCTAATTGCCTCTTTAATTTGGTTGTATGGACATTTGCAACACTATTGCAATACCTCACCCTAGATAACTGTTTGTAGTCTGACTGTCTATAACAAAAGATTGTTTTCCCCGGATTCAAAACAGCCCGGATGAAAGTTATAAACAGGACAAAAAATTTGGTCCCGAGACCTTTTGTTTTCGACACTGTTGTGTCCGTTTTTTGTGTGGGGAAAATGCAAAGGACATCCTCAAACATAACTAACTTTAAATCCACCTTCCTTCAGGACTTCGTTGTATGACGGGGGTGGTTCTTCTACACCATGGTCATACGAAGGCGGTTGTCCTTCACCTTCGTTATCATTTAGACTTGTATGACCTGTTTCAAGGTCATTTAACTGTGACGATCTGTCACGTGATGGTGCTGAAGGAACTTGTCTATGATTATCCCCATATGTTGGTATATTCACACGAAGTCCTCTGCTGCCGTGGTCAATATCCGGTGAGTGCCCGGACTGTGTGTTATTGTGGTTGAGTCTTGAATTTATTTCAAGATTCAATGAGGAGGAGGTAATATTTGGGCGTGGTCGGTATCGCCGATATAAACTGGTTCCATGTCGTCGGGAATACCCGGTGTTTTCAGTAAATCCATAAGTATCTGTGTAAGATAGACACGTGCACCAAAGCACAGTTTGAACGATGGCTAAGATAAGAACTAGAACGAACGACGAAACTGCGTATGGTAAATTGGCTTTCGCGTATGGTACGGATGCCTTTGAGGTCATGTTGAATGTCTTTTCGAAGTTTATAACATCAGTGGCCTTCACCATTCCCCATATACCAGATACACCTATACCAATAGCTAAGGAGATGAATGTTAATGCAATTACAACAATCTGTCTACAAACCTACAAAAAACAAGAGAAACAGTTAAAAGAGAAAGGTTGGCAATACATGTGTAATAATATATAAACGGAATCTTATTTGCACCATATTTTTTATCTTATGTCAAAAAAATATGTGCAAGTTTTTTAATTCTTCAATGAATTCCCTTCCATGGCTGGTTAAAAACAGCTAGCACTGACAAAAATGAATGACAGACGAAAAGACCCACGGACATGCCAACACATTTGGCCTTTTCATGAATATTTATCCACGTAAACCAGTGAAAAATTCCAAATAATTAAACCGACGGTGCATGTGGTCTCCTCTTCTTTTAATTGAGATTATGGACGAAACGAAGCTCGTTAACCATTGGATGCTAGCGCGGACGGACGAATGGACTCTCACGCAATGTAATTTATTCGTCGAAGGAGCATAGCTCCTATATACACATTGACAATTATTTAACTGTTGCAAATAAATACCGACAGGATGCTACCGATGCCATGGTCCCTGCCTGTACCAGCGACGGAATAGAATGTGGTTTAAATCTTTTATTATTTTAATCTTTAATATCGCTGCAAAAACGATAATAGTGTTTATGGAAAAGAAAAAAATATTGTTTTGTTTTATGAAAGCTCAACGCCGAAACACAACTACTTGGAAATTAAATCCAATGTGTGTACTTAATATGGCAGCATTTGGAGATAAAATGAGCCGCGTCACGACAAAACCAACATAGTGGGTTTGCGACCAGCATATGGATCCAGACCAGCCTGCGCATCCGTGCAGTCTGATCAGGATCCATGCTGTTCGCTTACCAAGTCTATTACAAGTAGAGAAACAGATAGCGAACAGCATGGATCCTGATCAGACTGCGCGGAGGCGCAGGCTGGGATGGATCCATGCTGGTCGCAAACCCATTATGTTGGTTTTGTCATGACGCGGCTCAAATGTATTATTGTACAGATTTCTTTTACCCAAACTTTTATTTCATATTCCTCCTCATGTTCACGTCCATGTTTGACATAGTTACAGTAAAGTTTTAAGTTACACACCGCTAAGGAAATGACCTGAAATAATAATAATAATAATAATAATATAGAGGATATTTGTTTAGTTCAGTGTAAGATCGGAATATGAGCCGTGTCATGACAAAACCAACGTATTGCGTTTGCGACCAGCATGGATCCAGACCAGTCTGCGCATCCGCGCAGTCTGATCAGGATCCCATGCTGTTCGCTTACAAACCCTATAACAAGTAGAGAAACTGATAGCGACCAGCATGGATCCTGATCAGACTGCGCGGATGCGCAGGCTGGTCTGGATCCATATGCTTGTCGCAAATGCATTACGTTGGTTTTGTCAAGACACGGCTCATATATTTAACCGAGTGAGCACCAAAAGGCATATGAATGTTTGGTGTTCATGAGGTGAAATATATAAATATATTTTGATCTTACACTCAACTACACAAATTTTCTTTTTATTTCAGATTTATTTTTATTTTTCAAAATAGTCTTGGTTTTAATCATTGATGTAATATAAGCAAATATTTAATATTTCTATACAGAACAACCTCTGTAGAGCAATACGCTTTGGGAGACAATACAAAGATTTTGGTTGCTGCTGAGAGGTGGTTGCTCTACAGGGGTTAAATGTATTGAGAAGTTAAACTTCTGTGAAATATGATACTGCTGTTGTACAAAGGTGATTGCATCACACAAAGGGCCATTCTGCTTAGGTTGTGCCGTAAATAATTTGTTTCGAAACAAACAAGAGAGGAAAATACATTTACGTATATAATAATAAGTGTACTCTGAAGTATTTATACCAGCTTGGTTTCGTTTATATACAGATAAAACCAAACTATATTAGAAATAATGATTTGAGTATATGCCACGTTTGTTTTCTTTTATTTTTGGTTCAATAAAATGCATAGCTATACGAATAACCTAGCTATATTGACCACTGCAAATAAATCAATTTTTAACTGAGCTATATCATCACCACAAAGTTGACGTCAATGCATCTTTATTTCTGTTATTTATGTGAAAATATAAACAAACTGTGACAAGTTTCTAAGTCATATATGGGAACGCTTCGAAATCACGAACATGTAAGCATTAGGTACTTACGAATAATCCTGCAATCATTGACCCACCAAGACAATACGGAAATAGAAATTTTGGCGCTGACTGTACAATGCTGAGGATACCGACAATCACGCATGCAACTGACACCACAATTATGACCGCAGAAATACGACACATCCGTCGAATATACGTATCTCGTTTCTCCGCATTATCTAAATAACAGAATTCCAAAATTATTTCATAGCAAATAGCCAAATATGCAAAACAAAAATAAAGTTCTTTCAAAAGTATTCAAACAAATTAAAGTTTTGATCAAAGCAAGGAATGAATTATATTATGGATAAATGTGAGGCATGTCAATTCGGCTTGTGTACCACTTCTCTCATATTCCGTCCAAGAGTTTCGAGGGCTGCGTCCTGTGAACGTTGCCTTTGCCTTGTTGATCTTTATTCTCGTTTTCCCCCCGATATTCGGAACATTCGGCGATTAGTAAAAAATGCCAAAGCTAGATTCCTCAGGGTCAGATTTTCGCTTGTAGAGTATGAATATTGCCTATTATTGCGGAAACATTTATTACAATCATCGCACACCGGAAAAATAGTTCTATCAACAAATAAGAAAGTGAGTAAATAATTGATGTTGGTGGTTATTTTCAGGCTGAAATAAAGTACAGAGTTACACTTGGCGTCTTGACTGGGAAGTTGTAATATGACCGTAACAGTGCCGGTTTGACTTAATATACTTTAATAGCTTAAGATGTTAAAAACTCATAGAATTTAAGTAATTGTACCTGTCATATTTTAAGGTATTGACTCTAATGATCCTTTACCACGTGGCTCTGAAAAAGTAAGGCAAATAAAGATGGTTTACAAGTTAAAACTTGTGATTTATCATGGTAATGCACATACTCGTCGCATAAAACCTTAAAATAAATTTCTACGCTCTACATGTAACTTGGCGACAACCGTAAAATTTAAGGTATGAAGGTGGTCCTGAGCACTTGTCTGACTGTAATGGAGCAAATGAACATTTCGTTGTGAACTTAATATTGGCATTAACCTTTGACCTTTGTTCGGAAAAAAATTAACACGCTACCCCAAACTTAAAGCTGCACGCTCCCAGATGACCCAAACTATTTCAAGAAAATCAATATTGATAAAAATGCACTAAAATTTTAAGAAAGGTAAAACATTCAAGATCCAAGTTATATTTTACATGTTATGTGCGGTTTAAGACTGATTCAGCAGTTTTTTTACAGCGTTACTAATTATCGCAGTAAATATATTAACCACTTTTTGTTAAATTTCTTAGATTGTAAGTACTGATTACAATATGTAAATTAATTTATTTGATCACATCATAATATTTAAATTTTAAATAAATTTTCAAAATTTTCATGATCTGGTGCTGCTTTAACCATAAACACACCTGGTACATTTGTCATAGATTATCTATCAATACCTGTAGTAGCCATCTTTCATTTCCAATGCTATAAATAGAGAAAAAGAATACGTACCTTAAATTAATGATGTCCAATATATTGAATTTTACAACAATGCATATACTATGATGTGTGTTTCGGCATAAATATTTTATAGAAATAATTCGGAAAAAAAATCATACGGTATATTACCTTTGACATAAACTCTTGCTGATTAAAACACGTTTAATCCCTTCATCGTTTTTTTTTCAATGCATGCCGCTTTAATTAATGATCATGTATTAATTAGGAATTAATTTGAATATATTAAAGTCCAGTTTATGCACAATATCATTATGAATAACGGAGAAAAAAAAACGTACAAATGTATTCATTTAATATCATTTTTACAGGTGTATACACTGTTCAGGTGTTACGGGGTCATCCGCAGGTAAACACTGTTGACCTTTTTTACCGTCACTATATTTATTTCTGACACGAGAGAACCAGAGTTATTATTTTACTTTTGAAGCCAAAATTTAATTCAATATGAATAAAACGAGAAAAATCTAGATAAATGTCACTAACTAACATTGTACAAACATTTTACCTGTCCTATTTCAATATAAAAAATATTGGCATCGGTAAATATTTTTTCTTATCATAGCATCCTACCCTTTTCGAGATTTGATTGCATGATAAAGTGTTTGAAACTAATTCTCTTGCCAAATGAAACTATCCACTCCAATTGAATTGCATTATTTCAAACGAATCGTAACACCTTTAGTTTAAGTTCGTGTTTATTAGCATTTATAGAATTAAATTGGCCAGCCACTCGACCAATTTAGAATAATGAACACATTAGAGCAGCATGTCTCCAGATTCATGCTAATTTTCATGGAAATTTGAAAATGTATTTGAATATATAATATTATGAAATCATCAAAAAGAAGCAATTTACACATAATCAATAGCACTTACAACCCACGTGAATTACCAAAAAGTGGTCCAAATATGCATTAATAGCCCTCACTCCGTTAGTCACGCAAGTTGAAATATGGTTGTTAATACTGAAAAAATCATTAATCGCATATAACATGTAAAATATAACTCGAATGTTGAATCATTTCACTTTTCCTAAAATCTTAGAATCTTAGTACATGTTTCTCAAGTTTGATTTTATTAAAATAGTATGACTCATCAGGATGCATGCAGCTTTAATACTAGCATTGACACATTCGCAATTTCTTGACCCTTTGATATCTGTCGAAGTATTCCGAATATGTGTTATCAGAAAATTGCAGAATTATGTTGAATTTAAAAAAAAAGTTTGATATATAGTCAATAATAATAATAATAATAATAATAATAATGATAATAATAATAATAATAATATCTTTATTACCTCCAAAAGAAGAGCATATTTTTACAATTATACAACTATAATGGAACAAGTAAAACATTCAATTACAATGCAAATAATTACAGAAGATCTATGGTTACAGTATGAAAATCATAGATATTTAAATATAATGTATTTATCTATGTTTTTACACAAATGTAAATCATTATATTGGTAAATAGTAGGAAGTCAAGATAAATATTATTATATAATCTATCAATTGAATAGTTTATCAATGAATTTTATAAAAGAGATATAAGATTGAATTCTTGTTTCGTCTGTCACATTAAATGAAATAAAACCGCTGAACATTTCAAGTAATTGATTGTCTGCGCTATATGTACAGAACTCCAAATAGTTATCCATTCCAAGTAATTCATACAGTTTCTGCCATAACTGGCATCTTTCATTCTGATTGCTCCATAGTAAAATACGGCATGGATCGCGAAGTTCTTAACGACGAGCTTGCACTTAAAGCATGTTTTGTCGTATTGCCCCGCGTAATTTAAAAGCCGAGCAACACTGTACTTTAGATTTCAATTTGTCAAGTCACTGTCAAATTATTAGTTACAATTTTTATTGATTCTTGCAAGTAGTACTTCTTCAATCTGGACATCCGGAGTTTCTGCAGAAAACACTACAAAATAATAACTTTTAAATTCGTCAAAAACGATACCCAATGTACACTGTTACAATAAATAAACTAAAAATGTTTACCGTCACACCAGGGACGTCTTGAAATGGGGACACTTCATAATATTTAACATATTCTTCCTAGACTACAGATGGCAAATACCGTGGAAAATGGCAAAAAATAAATACATTTACCGGAAGTCAAGATGATTACAAACAGACTTCGGTCGAAAATTATTATCATTATTATTTTTTTTTTTTTTGCAAGACAAAACTTGAATTTTCTGTTTATTACATACATTTTTTTCCTGTTTTTGACATGAAAATTTGAAAGACTCCGCCTTAACATTGGCTGAATTTAGAAGAAAGGAGATCGGCTAGAAACCAGTGAAAATACGGAAAATATGTTTCACTAAAGTGAAAAATATTTTTACAGTGAAAAACGGAAAATGAAAATTCATTGTACGCATTTTATTTCATCAATATTTCATTTATAAGTATACAATAAAAAGCATTATTTACATTGAAAATTCCCTTATTTAATTTTGTAAGAACATGGTAAATTTATTCTTATGACATAAACATAACCCCGCACATGTAATAATTAACACATATTCGTTACTAATGTTATTTACCATGTTTATTATTATTATTATTTTATTATTATTATAATTTATCAAGTCAAGTTTTATTTTCATATTCTCAGTTTGCATACATACAAATACAAGAGATAATACATGTCAATTACTGGACGCGCACAGCAGAGAGCAACACAAAGTTCTAGTACAGTTCATACATAATATTAAGCAATACATTATTAACGAAAAATTCTACTCGCGTTAACACACCGTATTACCGGCGGCAGTGATGGCAGATCACTGCAGTGATGGCAGATATCTGAAAATTACCGATCGGTACAGGTAGGTTATAAATTTGGTTGGTTTAATTATATTAAACAAATACGGCCCATATCATTGCTATAAAACTATTGTCCATTGAATGGAGATACTGTAAGGTAATTTTGGACTCGTTTTTTCCTGTTTTAAGACTATTTTGAGCAGGTTAAAAGTGACAGCCTCGGAAAAATCCGTGAAATTGTCTGTTTTCTGTTCAAAATATCTCAAGTTTTAAGTAAATGGCAGGATTTCCTGTTATCAATATAGACGTTCATCCATTGGGGTCACGCAAGCCAAATATCTACCCCGTGAGTCTTTTCTTGAAAGTTTTACAGACGCTCAATCTTGTCCGGTCGAAGAAAAAATGCTGCCGTTGTAGGCAGATACATATTATAAATGCTGCCGTCGATGGCAGAAATACCATGAAAGTGGCTAACATTCTGACAGAAAATCAAGTTCAATCTTTTATCAATTCCTCTTTTCTTTGCGTCCTTTTAGTCGGAATTGAGACGTTAAACTATCATTTCTAATATTTTCTCAAGATAGAAAAGTTATTAATGCGGTATGTGCATCGAAAAAAGCTTTTTAGCAACATGCAGTTACAATACAAAAAGTGATGATTTAGTACGACAAAATTGCACTATAAATAGAGAAATGAACATGAAAAACTTCATTTTTCTATATTCATGCATGTGTGCTTGATCTGTTGTGTCTGTCAGTTACATGCATACAATACTATATGTATCTTAAGTTTAGCAGCGCACTCCCTTTTTAAGACATAACGCCAATTGCATATTACAGCAAGTAACTTCTGTAAGTGGATATTCATTTGCTAGCATATGACATTATTTTCTCGAGGTAATAATGTTCATCGCTTTATGACAAATAAAGGCTGAAATTTACTTAATCGGCGCAGATTATAAGTTATTAAATTGATGTAATAAAGGGGAGACTATTAACCTCGCAACTGGCATCAGTGTATCATAAAACAATATTTGTTAATGTAAATTGGAAGGTTAATATTATTGACAGTTCAAATATTTTTCTATATTATCAAGTTCTTGAAAAACACGACAACGTGGATTCATTTCTTTAAATTTTCATGTTTGTAATAGCGTTGTAGTTTGCCTTTGAATTACATTTACTATGCTAAACTATTAACAACAGTTCTAACATCACGTGCTCCCATTTAAATATATATTTTTTCATTCATTTTAGTTGTAACTATGACAACTTATAAAGATGAACCCTTCGATGATTAAGACGAGATAATGGCTCCATTAGTTGGCTCGTTTCTTGATCTATCTTTAAAGGAGACTGTTAATAGTGAGATATTTGACTGTGACATTTGTGGCAGAGGTTACAAGACCAAAGTCTTACTGAAAAGACATCTAAGAAAACATTCCAGCGAGGAAACATTTGAATGCACAAGATGTACACAGTATTGGAGCCATTGCCTCACTGTAGATTTATTTTTCACTGCAGCGAAACATATTTTCCGTATTTTGAATGGTGTCTTGCCGGACTACTTTCATTCTTAATTCAGGCAATATACAAAATTAAAGGAGAAGTCTTATGAATTGAAAGGTCAAAAAAGAGAAAAAGTATATAACAAATAAAAAAATTCTAGTTTTTTTCCTATAAATACAGGATTTATTTTCATCTTGTGATATGAATCATCGAAAGGTTCATCTTTATAAGTTGTCATGGTTACAACTAAAATGAATGAAAAAATATATATTTAAATGGGAGCACGTGATGTTAGAACTGTTGTTAATAGTTTAGCATAGTAAATGTAATTCAAAGGCAAACTACAACGCTATTACAAACATGAAAATTTAAAGAAATGAATCCACGTTGTCGTGTTTTTCAAGAACTTGATAATATAGGAAAATATTTGAACTGTCAATAATATTATCTTTCCAATTTACATTAACATATATTGTTTTTTATTACATGCTTTTCGGTGGTTTATAGAAATATATCAGTGATATAAAACTGGTAATTTCACTGTTTGAAACAGTGAAATTACCACTTTGATAATTTCACTGTTTTGAAATTTAAGCCCCTTACGTTGTTTCAGTGTAATACAAGCATGCACAGAACTGGGTACCAACTTAATGACGTGACGTCGTAAATGACGTCACGTTGTATTATTATTTGGCTCGCTTTTCTTTCAGTATTAGGTTTAATGTCTTTTTAAAACGTTTCTTTGCATATAATAAAAAGAAAATTTGTTAAGTTCAGTGTAAGATCGAAATATATTTCACCTTGTGAACACCAAAAGTTCATATTTCACTCGTGTCTGCGCCACTCGTGAAATATACATTTTGGTGCTCACTCGGTGAAATATATTCCGATCTTACACTGAACTAAACAAATATCCTCTATATGATACACTGATGCCAGTTGCGAGGTTAATAGTCTCCCCCTTTATTACATCAATTTAATAACTTATAATCTGCGCCGATTAAGTAAATTTCAGCCTTTATTTGTCATAAAGCGATGAACATTATTACCTCGAGAAAATAATTTCATATGCTAGCAAATGAATATCCACTTACAGAAGTTACTTGCTGTAATATGCAATTGGCTTATGTCTTAAAAAGGGAGTGCGCTGCTAAACTTAAGATACATATAGTATTGTATGCATGTTACTGACAGACACAACAGATCAAGCACACATGTATGAATATAGAAAAATGAAGTTTTTCATGTTCATTTCTCTATTTATAGTGCAATTTTGTCGTACTAAATCATCACTTTTTGTATTGTAACTGCATGTTGCTAAAAAAGCTTTTTTCGATGCACATACCGCATTAATAACTTTTCTATCTTGAGAAAATATAAGAAATGATAGTTTAACGTCTCAATTCCGACTAATAGGACGCAAAGAAAAGAGGAATTGATAAAAGATTGAACTTGATTTTCTGTCAGAATGTTAGCCACTTTCATGGTATTTCTGCCATAGACGGCAGCATTTATAATATGTATCTGCCTACAACGGCAGCATTTTTTCTTCGACCGGTCAAGATTGAGCGTCTGTAAAACTTTCAAGAAAAGACTCACGGGGTAGATATTTGGCTTGCGTGACCCCAATGGATAAACGTCTATATTGATAACAGGAAATCCTGCCATTTACTTAAAACTTGAGATATTTGAACAGAAAACAAACAATTTCACGGATTTTTCCGAGGCTGTCACTTTTAACCTGCTCAAAATAGTCTTAAAACAGGAAAAAACGAGTCCAAAATTACATTACAGTATCTCCATTCAATGGACAATAGTTTTATAGCAATGATATGGGCCGTATTTATGTAATATAATTAAACCAACCAAATTTATAACCTACCTGTACCGATCGGTAATTTTCATATATCTGCCATCACTGCAGTGATCTGCCATCACTGTCGCCGGTAATACGGTGTGTTAACTCTTTCGCTCTATCGCCTCTTATGTAAGGGGCCAGTTACACAGACGGTCGGTCCCCAATCGGTCATTTAATTCTAAATTTACTCGCTGTTATGATCGGTTGTCATGCGTGATTTTATTTCTGGTTTTCTGTGTAAACGGCCATCGGTGACAGAAAGCAAACTCAAACGGGGTTGGACCGGTTTTTATCGTTTGTATATCGGAGTTAAATCGGGTGTAACGCTGATTAATCGGCTTTTGATAGCTAGCCGTCAGTAGTTAAACACTTTCCGTCAGATATGGCCGGTGATTCATATTTGGTTATCTTTGTCCGATCGGCGATATCGGTGATTAAGAGCTTGCATATCTCGTGATATAGGTTGCTGTCGGTTATTTGTAAACTATTTTCACCGATCGAGAATTTTAAACATGTTTAAAAATCCCAATCGGTAATTTTCCACCGATAAAACTTATCTTTCCCCGGTGGAAAACAGGTGACCAATAGGTGATATCGGTGTTAAATACGTTGTCATCGGTTCACTCCATAATTTGGCTAAAAAACTACCGATCAATCACCGATGGCTCTGTGTAACTGGGGTGTTAAATGACTGCGTAATCCGTACATTTCAATATAATTTTAAAAGTTCAATATTAGGCAATATCATATTACATGTATACACCTAGGGTACGTCACCGTCTTATTATTAAAACTTTAGAACACGTTTTAAAAACAAAAGTTTCGTAATTAATGAAGCGTATGTAAATCTATTGTTGTTGAAATGTGTCGTTTACTATTTCAATAACTTCAAACATTCCCTTCGTTATTCACAATTCATTCTCTGACTAACGAACACTATTTTGAATTCATGTTTTGGATTTCCCCGACAACTTGTATTATGGTTGTTCATTGTGTATTTAAATAGGCATCGAAGTGATTTAAATTGCATTGCGAATAAATATTAAATGAATACAATACATTTAGTGGAATACATTTAAATGATGTGTCTCGTTATAAACAGATAATTAGATAAACAAAAGCAAGCAAGAAATATGATTGTTTTATTGTTTGTAATATTAGGTTGTTTTCAACTCTCAGGTAATACATATTTTATTATATTAAAGTAAATATTGAATACTTACTGGCTGTTTGATTATATACATGAATTATGAAATATTGTTTTGTCTAAAAAGAGATGTCTGAACGACAAGCTGTGTCATAAGAAATTTACTAGTGATGTTGATATTTTATTTCATTTCCAACAACATCACATCTCTAATTAACTTAAAGATATCTTTTCAGTTTCCAGATATACAGTTAACATATTAAGTGTCGGTTGTTCTACTCAGAGACCCTGCTGTGTCTGAAATATTGCATAGAAGGGTGTCACCGGATGCCTTCCTCCACAAAAGCTCATTTATTATATCTCTTTAACGCTATATATTTGAATAAACTGTTTAGGAAACATATCTTAAAACGACGTTTTTCATTTGTCATAAGGCTAAATCGTTATTCTGTTTTTTCTTCTCAGCTGGTCAGTGTACGTTTCCCTCCGGATTCAGCAGCAGCGTATGGACGAGTACCGAATTTGGTGACATTACTTTTGGAGTAAGAACATTCCTGATGCCTTACTAAAGAAAAAATAAAGTGGCCTATTATTGCAATTTATTTCTACCTCAAAAATATATGTGAACAAGTATATCTGACGATGGCTTCAAACAGCACAGATCGCTTACTTTAATTTTGCACATAGTTTCAAGCAAGCCACCGGTGTCATAAAATAAATTACCTCCCTGCTTATGCATGTATGTTCGGTTGTTTCATATATCGTGTTTTGATAAACCTGTAAAAAAATAATGTTCAAGAAGTATAATCATATTGTATCAATTTTTAAAAAAATTATTTTGTATGGAACTATTTCATGTACTTTGTATATTACGAAAAAGTTAATGCGATCTTACTGTTAATTCATCTCCTTTCACAGCCTTTGTGTCCTCTCCCCATGTTTAGTTCGGTGCTTTCTAGGTGTCCTGCTGGTGTGACTTGATTGTGCCGGGGCTGCGTTCTTGTGAACGTCGCCTTGCCTTGTTGATTTTTATTCTCATTTTTTTTACTTACAGACAAACGTGGCTGAGTTCTCAGAAGATGGTACATCAGCCAATTGGACATGCGAGGTGTCGTCTGGCAGTAAATATGTTCTCCGGTAAGTAAACGTATATCTTTATACTGTTTATGATTAAGTAACAACATAAAAGAAATGAGGTCATCAATTGTGGCAAAGTTTGCAAATTACATGTCCTTGTCTATGTCCTGGCTAGTCTAAAGTTCGTGCAGGATGACCGGACTAAGCATGACATTATTGTTGCGTTTGTTCCAGTATTCATGAATACTGTATAATCGACTTTAGGATATGTTGTCTGCTTTATTAAATATATCTTATAATTAAAGGCTGTTTGTGATATGATGACATCATAACATGCTTTTCATTTTAAAATCCCATTTTATATACATGTAGCTCTATTCACTGTTTTCTAGATTAAAGGACGCTCATTTTTTTCTTGGGGACCACAAGTCCCTTTTTCATAGGATGGCACAAACGGGTCAAATTGAAGTATGAGCATATCTGCGGACGTTTCTCAATTTAAAATTTTTTCATTTTCATTTTTTTTAAATGCTTAAGTCGGTCCAAAGGGGCGTAGACCATAACCTTCACTTATCACCAACCTTCACTTATCACCAAGTCCATGAACAAGCGTCAAACCGAGCCTGCAACATTTACATTTTTTTTTTTGGTTTTTGGCGTTGTTTAATGTTGCCATTGTTTAAAAAATATTTTAACATTTAATTATATAAATTAAAATCCGAGTACTTATATATTGATATTGATTTTCATATAAAACAAAAGGGACTAATATTCATATAATCAGATAGAAGGAATACAATACTTTAATGTTGATGATTAAAAGGTATTTTGGTCGGCGCTAGGTGTCGTAAGAGATATTGCATTTTCCATCTCTCATAACGAAGGCGAAACAAAACCAGCTCCTATTTTGCATGTTTTATTTCCTGATTTTATTACTTTTACAATGTAACAAGTTGATTCTATAATTATGCACATAATTCAATATTTCAGGTCATTTAACACAGATTTTTCAGATTCACTAAACGCAAACATCTATTTTTACTACTGTTTTGAATTTCATCAGCAAGGGTCAGATTCCTACATTTATTACCACCCTACAGGTATTTCTTTGAATTGATTTTGCACTTTTATATATAATGTTGAAATCTTGATCAGGTGATATAATCTCGATTCTTATCTTGACTATATTTTGTTCCTAAATAGTGTTATGTTAACCGTTTTGATTGTTCTATGCTTTAATATGTATATCTCTACTGGAAAACTGGCCATTTTATAAAAAGTTATCGTCTGCCCAATGAATTAAAATACTAGTTTTTGACTTCATCCGACTGTATATCTTTACCATGACAGAAAGGAGACAAAACGACTGGGAAATGTGTTTCATTTATGCATGTATTTTTTATACTCACCACTGGGAAATGGTTCATATGAGCGAGCAAACACTACAAAGTAGTTTTTATTTCAGCATTGGCGGGTGATAAGAGAAGACTGATGTTGGCTAGTGATACAACAACGGTTGATGCAGCGTGTTCTGAAGCAGTGGACACTGCTGAATATCACGTGATGGTTAGAAAAGGTAAATGTTTAGATTATACTTTACTTATAACTGAACACCGAATGTGTTCTTTAACAAGTTCTCTCTATAACAATTAAAAAAAATTGATTGAAAAAAGGCAATTTGAATATAGAAGATAGATTTTAAGATTTTTCTTCTTTTCAACTGATCAAGACAAAGAAAACATTATTGTAATAAGAAATAGAAATGATCACAGATGTTTTCCATGGGGCACTGGACAAAAATAATATCGTATTTTTTATGAAGAAATATGCATTATCCCCCAAAATTGTTTGAACCAGCAATGATCCTTTTTGTTTCAGATTCCGCCAGCACTGTAAAATATTACTGTGCAAGCCCGTTGCTTGGTGACTTTTTATACTCATGTCCATCTAGTTCGGAAAATGGTACATTAAATGTGTGTGACTCATATTCTCAACAGACGCTAGCTTTCAACCATTCACAGTGCTCGCCATCGTCTCCAGTTCTATTTTCTAGTAAGTTGTCTTGATTAAAAGTGTATAACTTTTCTTTATCAAAAATTTTGTATTTATTTTCATATATGAAGATTTCATGTATCTCATTTTGGGCGTCATTTATGTAAAACAAAAAGCCTATACTTAAGCAAGTTTTTCATTTCTCAATTCAAATATATTGAATTAATTAATGAGTTATTAACTTTTCGCTTATATTAAAATTGTAAAAATGCACTTGAAGTACATATACAAAAATATATACAAAATTACAAATGTAAATTGAATTTTACCTTTAACAACTGTGACATTCGACTATCGTATTGGTAAAAACTTCAAAAATGGTTTTATTTCTTTATATGAATGATCCTTTGTAGTATTTTTTTTTTACATATTCTAGACCTGTTTGAATGAAATAGATACAAGTATTAAACGATATTTTGCTGCTTTGTTTACATATTGTACTGATTTTTTTTATTTGGTAGTTTTTAGATAAAAATTTAAATTGCGACAAAAGCTGTTTTGTATCGAAGTTTTTTCATACAAATTGTATCATTAATTGTATTTTTTATTTGCTACAAAGAATGTAAAATGTTGGGAAGAAAAAAATTGAGGCAATTATTCCAAATAAGGTTTGTTAAGATTTTAGGGTCATATCCTAATTGATGTTACATGTATTTTGTTCAATATCCCGGGAGTCGATCTTCTACCGATACCTTTAAAACTCTTTAAAATTCAATAATATCTGAAACAGTGCTTAATCATAGTTTTCGATGCCAAAGACAACGTATAGACATTTTTGTTTCAATTTATTGTTAAGTTATTATTAAGTCATATACTACATGTATAGCATTATTTTTTCAGCGGGAGGAGTTTTAAACTGTGTCGCGAAGACTTCAGCAACAGTTTCGTCGGCTACGGTTTATTATCAAACCTTGTTTAACACAGATGCCAGTGTTGATGGTCTAACTACATTTCAATTCGTATGTCTGGTTAGTAAAAGTCAATATTTGGTACAACTTGTTACATCAACCGATCCTGTTCGTTCGTCATTAATCTTTAAGCACTCTGCAGTCTATATAGCATGTTTCTGCCGGGCTTTGAAGAGATGCGAGCATTTATGTTCGCAACATTTTGTGCCATGCGTGGGTACTAAAAAGTGATAGTACATGTAGTTATGTATCCTTCGAGCAATTATGTTCGGTTTGTTAGAAAAAAAAATTGAAAAACTTGACAGTTTCAATTAAATTGATATATGATTATCATGTATTGAGTATTTTTATTCTTTTTTTTTCGCGTTGTTTATTTTTTGCATTGTCTTTATTCGTTAATGTATACATACCATAGTTTTGTATAATTTGGAGTAATGGTTTCACATTTTTTCAATAAATTTCCAATTTCTATATTTTTGGCGTCCGCGCCGAAGCGCGGCGCCTATTGGAATGAAATGAGATTTTGTGAAAGGGCGACAGCAACTTCTCGAGCCTTTTATAGCTGCCAATAATAAAAGCCGATCATTCCGATCGGTATGAGGGTGCTTGATTATTAATAAGTCGCGATATGTACAATGAATGGCGAACTGGAGAATTTCGCAATGCAAACATTTTCAAATTAAATAACCTTTTCCGTCAATAAATCGCGCTCTTCGGGGTATTTTTGCTTATCATTTTGTAGTACACAGCTGGGTTATTATGGTATGTTATTCCGAAAGCTGTTAATAGAATGATGAGTTGATGACCTAAATATTCCGAAAATCTATTTATAGAGGGATGTACTCCTATTGGTAATTCCCGGTCTCTCCCGGGATTTACTAATGACCGGCGAATAGTACTACACGTTTATTGTCCGGTCTCTCCCGGTTTTGGAGTAGATGTTTGATATCGTTACAGAACAGAACAAATATTTTACAGATAAATAAGCTTTTTTTCAAAATGAATGTTTGTCACTTAGTTTGGTTACAATAATTAATAAACACAGATCAACTCTCGAATTGGTTGATTATTGTTATACATAAACATACAATTCGAAAAAAAAACCAACAACACAAATCGCATGTTATATTTTATCTATATGAGATAAAAACAATAAATATGTACAATAATTGAGAAAAAATGTACATTTTTATGGCATTAATATGACACTATCAACTTTAAAACATTTTATTTCATTTGTTATTCGTGTTTAGTAAATATTCCGAGGAATTATTCAAAGTTACAAATCAAATTTTATGAATTATTCAATTGATTGATAATTTAAAAAATGATAAAGAAAAATACAAATGTACATGTATATGGTTTAAGAATAAACAATATTATATATTGAAAGATTAACCATGATTTACTGACTTTTTCCAGTTAAGTTTTGACTTATAATCGTCGATCATTATGACAATTGAATTCTTAAAATAGTAGTAAACGTAAAAACTCAGTATTAAAATAGCGCATAAAACACACACAAAAAAAAAAAGAAAAGAAAACAATATTCATAAAATCTGTATTTTTTATTAAAATAGAAATTACATTTATTGAATAATAAACAATTATGCTCAACATGATCAACATGGTAATATAACAAGTGTCATATTGTTACTTAGTGTGAACAGATACCTTAAGAGGGGGTCCTCGCTAATAGCGATAACATAATAAGGGACAATTACACAAGTATGGTGTTGATCATGCGTTACACATCTGGATTATGAATGATTGTATACATGTATATCCGTTGCTATTAATAACCACGATCATAAAGAAATAACAAGTAATATTCTAATTTCTAGCATGCCGATCAAAGTTATAAATAATGAACAATGTCTTTCGTCCGTTCATTCAAAAGTGATATACAATTCTGGTAAAACCCAATGAACCATTGAAAAGTTTATAAGAATATCTTGTCATCATATATCTACTAGTTCATCTGCACCTGCTGTTTGGACGCCCTTTGATGCTTTGCATCAATGCTTTTCTTGTTCTTTTACTGGAATGAAATCTTCTGTATTTCTGTGTGTATGGTTATGTTTTTTTTTCGTTTACATTAATCTTATAAAAGTATTCTATTTGCTGTAACAGGCAGTAACAGAGGAATCCAACGGACAGGTGTCGTTCTCCTATAGCCACACCTCATGTATCGCAGGACAAACCTCTTCTACCGCAGCTGCTAATGTGGCAACATTCGAACCTCTTACATCAACTAGTAAGACCTAATACTTGTAAATCATTATAATTTAAATTTGTTTTTATTAGAATTTGACTTACGTCGATAAATGATAGGTTATATAGCACTGTTCAAGTTCAAAGGCACTTCATGGCAAAAAAAAAAATCTGATCGACTAACCGTTGTGACCGACTTCCCGCCGTGATTTTTATAAACACACTTATCAAATCATTAAAAAATCTACCAAAACGCCTCTTTTAAAAAAAGATGTATCAACTGTGAATATAAATTACTATAAGTCATTTATTGATTTGATAAATGTGTGTGCTATAGATAAAAGTTTATGGAAATCACGGCGGGTAGTCGGTCACAACGGGTAGTCGATTAAAAATTACTTTTTTGCCATCAAATGTCTCTGGTTTTGTTGGGTGCTGTTTCGTAGATCTCATTTCTGATATTTCCTCTTTTGAAAGCAAACTGTCATTAAAAAAATTCTATGCTTAGAGGTAATCAGTTACTTTCTTATATCAATGTTGAAATACTGTTGGGAAAAGGCGTAAAATAAAACAAACAAACAGACAAACAAACAAAATTTAATATCAATGTATGTATATCAATAAGATACATTTGTATCATTGCTAACCATTTTGAGTGAATTGTAATTGCATTTCCTGTTATCAGAATTGTATGATTTAATTGTGTTTTTCTTTTTTTATTTTAGCCCTTTGCCGTAAGTATCCAAACATTTCATTTTGTTTAAAGGCACATCATGCCTTACAAACAAATAACCTTTACCTTTTATTCACATATATAATTCCTTAAACTTTAATTATTAAATGATGAAATTATTCATTATTCAACTGATTAAGCTAAAAGCAAAGAATGTAATTCATCATTTTTTATGAATGTTATGGTTTCTTTCAAGACATGTTTTCACAAAAATATATGAATAAAAGGGTTGTAAGAGCTAAGAAAAGTAACGATAAACTGCCTTAATTGTAATCGACTCGGTTTTCTTAATCCACACTACCTTGTAATTTTCAGGGTTCCCAATATCAATAACTTGAATATCCAACAGTTTTGGCAAAATACCTCCGTTGCAATTGACATTGTGCTTAATGTTCATTTATCTCTCTCCGATGGTTCAGAAATCATGTACGATAAACATTCGGTCACTTGCAGCGAAATTAGTAAATTAATTACTGGTTAGTCAACCAGGAAAGCCAATTAGGTGGACTGGCCGCCAAGGTCATGGTGTACAGAGTTGCAGATGGACATGGCTTCTTTACTGCTGATACACATGCATGTAAGGCCTTTTTTGTCACCTTAATGAAGTAACGGGCTAACTCCTGTGAGTTAAACCGTTACTGCATTGATGAAAACGAATTCAACTATCACTGTAGGGCTAATTACTGTTCACATTTTCCAGCCATAACAGAATCAAGTAGCAGCGGCGCCAACATCGCGTTGATCGTCGGACTGGTTGTCGGTTTCCTCGTTCTAGCTATCATCATTGGACTTCTGATCTTCTATTTCTGTTACTACAAGAGAGACCCGAACGCTGGCAAACCTATTATAGAGAATACAAAACCAAAATTTGAAGGTAAATATCATTCTATTAAACTAATCTAAATCGAATCAATTTAAAGTCTTTGGGATTTCCATATCGTCCAAAAATTAAGCTTCCAAAAGCATGGGACAAGATAAGACTACACAGCATTGCAGATAGACCTGGATCTATATTGGTGGCAAAGGTATGTCACCGGTTAAAAAGTTAGCGGGAAAATTCAGTAAGGGAAATGGACCTAGAAATCACCCGATTCGAGTTATCGAGGCATCGAGATTGAGACAACTAAAAATGTTCGCAAGGTTTTTGAATACAAAATTTGGTAACATTATCTAAACTTGTTAACTTGTAGATTTACAGCGGACTAATAGTTATGTGATTTTGGTTTCTCGGCTTGATATTCTTTCTATCAAGTACTTGCGTCAATTCAATGTTTTTTTTCACGTTCTTGTTTCTACATTTTAGAAGAGCCTTTAGAAATTATAGATTTGGATTATGCCACTTTGACGAAACGGAGAGTAGAATCAGCACTTGATATTGACGGAAATAGCAATTTGTCAGCCCGATCAAGTCCTGTTTCGTTAAAGGAATTTTAAGTTAACAGTGCACTCTGCTTTGGATTTGTTTTTTTTATTTTGGTCAACGCTAACACGTAGTGCTTGCACAGATACAATACATCAATTTTATAATTATAAACCGCTCGGTTTTGACATATTTAACATAATTTGACTTTGTCAGACGTAAATAAAACACTGAAAAGAAATATTAAATAATGATTGTTATAAGTTGCTCTTTATTGTGACATATACCTATCAGCAAGACACATTTAACTAGGTACACATTCCTCTATAAAATAAAATAAAAGATTCATACAGATGCCGGAGAAAGAAAAAAACAACGTTTTAATGTAGATTGAAACATAATTAATATCTTATACACCGGATAAGTTCTCACTGATTCTTCACAGAGTCTATGTTTTTACATGTCGCAAAAAGAATTTCAACTGGTCCACATACTAAATAGATAATGTGAAAGTGTTTGAAGACTTATGGTTAACCCAATAGTTTTAGACCCCTTGCTTTTCACATTTAGCTAATTAAGGCAGTTGTTGCATTAATTCATATGAAATTAAAAAAAGGAAAGGTGTAGAAACATTGTGTAATCTTTGCGTTTGTGGTGTGCAGGTGTGCGGCCTATGATTAATTTAATTTGCATTTAACAATTGAATGGGTTCATGTGTTTGTCTTCTGTTTTCTGATAACCAATTATTCTATGGGAGCTATTAGTTTGGTAACAATTGTGGCCGCACACATGCTTGTTAATCTACAATACGCATACTAGTTCTGTTTATCTGAGAAAAACATGACTTTGACCTATGTCAGAGTCACAGAAAAAACTAAAAAGGAACATCCTTTAAAAGGTAAAAGTTACAATTTGAATATTTTTATATTCAAGTCATCTCAGATTTCTTTCATTATAGATATAATACATGTTGTATGAGATAATATGGAGCGATAATCTTAAACTATAGTTTATACTGCTTTCTAGGAAATAGGACTATGAAGTTTGCTTTCAAATGGCGAATCACGACGAAATTATGTTAAAAAAGTCCAACACTTTTTATATCTACATTATTTAAATGCATTCTAATTTGACAATGTTTTTTTATTCATTTCAAGACCCTGAAAAAGATGATATCATAGAAGACTTGGAGCTTGTGGACACATCCTCTACACCAGTGACACGTGACGAGATTACATTCGAAGCGATGAGTCCCAACATACTCGCTAACGGCAAATGGCCGAACGGAAATAGGCTATCAATGAGTCCGAATGGCATTGTACCAAGTGGCATGACAAATGGTTCCGTGCGCAGAGACTCCGGTATTGACATGTCCGAAAGGTCAAGTGAAAGACCCATGCCTAGAATAGGAATAAACGCTGCAAAGGAGTCGATGGTGATTTTCAACGGCGATGAAAAAGTGATATCTGGGAATGACACCAGAATAGTTCCGAATGAGAATCCGAATGCACGGACATTACGAATGGATAACTCAATGGCCGGAGAAGGGCCGCTAACTCTGCAAGGACTTGATAATGAAGAATATGATGAGTTAGGGGAATTGACTCATAGAGAAAGCATGCCCTATCCATCATTGCCAAGAGAAAAATCTAACCTGATGCCACCAATTGAAACAACAGACCCTGAAAAAGAAAAGGAGGAAATGTAAATCATTATAAATAATGTAAATACAATTATTGTTTGTAAATAAAGATCGGCATTTTGCTAATTACAATACATTTCTGGCTACTACTAGTGATAACTTTTTTTTCTATTTTTGTTCAAGTAATATGTAAATTAGCTATATTTTATAAGTACATGTTATAAGTAGAAATGTGTCCTTATCTACGTAGAAATATATACGGATATGTGTTTTAAGTACATAATTATATGCTTATAAAATGAATGGATAGATTGTTTTAAACTTTTAAAGCGTATGTATAATATATTATTGTAAATATGTTTAAAATACATTTATCAAACTTTGTTTGTTAAGTTGTTAGCAAATGCGATAGGAACTGGGTGACATGTCTAGTTCAACTTAATCCTTAACTTACCGATATAGTGTTATGGATTTGCCCATCTTTTAAACAATCCATTTGGCCTGGCTTCATACTGGTGCAAAGACAAATTATTTTCATTACAACGCACGCACGCACGCACATACACACACATACACACATTATCAACAACAACAACAATAACAACAACAACAACAACAACAACAGCATTACTGCTGTTCAAAAAATGAAACAGCAAGCAGCGCATTGTGTTTATATGTTTGGACATTTGTCTTTAAAAGGTCAACACTAAACTTGTAAGTCAGGGAATGAAAAAGGCATACCTTCAAAGATCTCGTTGAAAACCAGAAATATTAGAAAATGTTGTTTTCTTTGTAAACTTGTTTTACATGTATAATAGAACATAATTTTTATGAGAGTTTGATTATTTATTAGTCGATGAATTGAAACATATATTTACAGTTATGAATTTACGTTATGTTTATAAAAGATATTCCTATTGTGTACAGTAAAATCTCTGCAGAGTAACACCCCTTAGAAGACAAAACGAAAGACCAGTAGGGTCATTTCAACTTCATGAATTCCCGATTTCAACTTCATGAATTCTCGATTTCATCTTCATGAATTCACAATTTTCACTCCATGAATTCCCGTTTCCAACATACGGAATTCACGAATTCATGGTGTTTGTTTCATGAATTCCCAATTTCAACTTCACATTTTCCCGATTTCAACTTCATAAATTCACGATCTTAACTTCACGAATGTACGATTTGAACTTCATGTATTCAACTTCGTAATTCACGATTTCAACTTTCATGAAGTTGAAATCGTAATATTATGAAGTTGACATCGTGAATTCATGAAGTTGAAATCGTGAATTCATAAAGCTGAAAACGTGATTTCGTGAAGTTGAAATCGGGAATTCATGAAGATGAAATAAAAAAAATTCATGAAAATGAAATGTCCCCACCGGTCTTTCGTAAGACAAATATTTTGCTCGTTGCTTAGAGGTGTTGCTCTAAAGAGGCTAAGTTAATATTGAGTGACTTGGAGTCTTAGTTTGCAAAAAAAGAAGAGATTAACACTCTACAGAGGACGCTTTTCAGAAGTAAAACTTAATTAGTTTTTGTTTCAAAGTAAAAGCAGTATTTGTTGATATTTATTTCATTTGTTGATCAGCTATATTACTTTTGTCAAAAGAAGGAAAGGAAAAAAGATGAATAAATTTGTTGATAAATAATTCTACTATATACAACCTTTTCATATAGTTTAAGTGTGTGAGCCGGATAAAACTTTTATCTTCCACCTCCGGAATACCATAGGCATCTTTCTTTGTTCGTTGATTCAAGCGTCTGAAGTCGATACAGAATCTGATGGTTCCGTCTTTCTTTCGAAAAAACATTTCCAGGAAAATTCCGCGTGGCATGGCCATTTGTTGAACTGGCGATTTCTTCTTTGTCTATATAAAGTATCGTAAACTACATCATTTTATATAGCCAAGATCGACAACACCATTTCTCTGATTCCGTTGCAAATTCGTTTTTGTACAATTTTTGAGGGTCTTCTTTGCGCAAAATGAGCGCCATAGCCCTAATCGAAACACTAGTTCCAGGAGATTTCCGCGTGACATGACCATTTTTGGACCGGCGACCTGATTTCTCTCCACTATGTAAAGTGCATATTAAATTTTCGTAAAAAACACCATATTCTATGGCCAATTGTTTAAACACCATTTGTCTGATTCCATTTAAAATTCGTTTTTGTACAAATATGGAACGTTTTCTTTGCACATAATGAAGATCAAAGCCCTAATCAGAACAATATGTCCGGGAGGTTTCCGCATGGCATGGCCATTTTTTGGACCGTCGTTTCGTTCTATATAAAATCCATAAAAAACACCATATTCAAAAGACAAAAATTAAGACACCATTCATCTGATTCCGTTCAAGATTCGTTTTTGTACAAATTTGGAGGATCATCTTTGCACAAATTGAGAACCAAAGCTGTAACCTAACAACCTCGTCCGTGAGATTTCCGCATGGCATGGTCATTTTTTGAACCAGAGTTTTGTTCTTTGTCTATATAAAGTGCGTACATTTTCGTAAAAAAACACCATATTCTACATCCAACCGTTTAAACATCATTTGTCTAATTCCGTTTGAAATTCAATTTTGTACAACTAGGGAACGTCTTCTTTACACACAATGAAGACCAAAGCCCTATCCCAAGAAATATGCCCGGGAGGTCTCCGCATGGCTTGCTCGTTTTTGGACCGAATATTGGCTGTTTTCGATATAATCAACTAAAAATGTGCAAAGTCAAATCATGGAGACAAAATTTTACCCCGAAATAGTGTTTAACAATATTTTTGATAGATAACAATTTGATTAAAATGAAATTCAGTGAGGTAAGACTGCATAGCTTGCCATTGTAAAATGAACGTTACGTACTTAAAAAAAAATAAAAAAATAAACACAAACAAAAACACACAAATTTCTACCGTCTACCGCTTAAACACCATGTGTCTGAATCCGTTGCAGATTCGTTTTTGTACAACTTTGGATTTTGAATAATGCACAAAATGAGGAACAAAGCCGTAACACAAGCGATATGTCCAGGAGATTTCCGCGTGGCATGTTCAATTTTGGGATCGGCAATTTGTTCTTTCCCTATATAAAATGCATAAAAATCACCATGTTCTTGAGCGAACCGTTAAGACACCATTTGTTTCATTCCGTTGCAAATTCGTTTTTGTACAACTTTGGAGGGTCTTCTTTGCACAAAATGAGCACCAAAGCCGTAACCCAAATAATATTCCTAGGAGATTTCTGCGTGGCATGACCATTTTTGGACCGGCGACCTGTTTTCTCTCCACTATGTAAAGTGCATATTAAATTTTCGTAAAAAACACCATATTCTATGGCCAATCGTTTTAACACCATTTGTCTGATTCCATTTAAAATTCATTTTGGTACAAATATGGAACGTTTTCTTTGCACATAATGAAGATCAAAGCCCTAATCAGAACAATATGTCCGGGAAGTTTCAGCATGGCATGGTCATTTTTTGGACCGTTGTTTCGTTGTATATAAAATCCATAAAAAACACCATATACCAAAGACAAAAATTAAGACACCATTCATCTGATTCCGTTCCAGATTCGTTTTTGTACAAATTTGGAGGATCATCTTTGCACAAATTGAGAACCAAAGATGTAACCTAACAACCTCGTCCGTGAGATTTCCGCATGGCATGGTCATTTTTTGAACCAGAGTTTTGTTCTTTGTCTATATAAAGTGCGTACATTTTCGTAAAAAAACACCATATTCTACATCCAACCGTTTAAACATCATTTGTCTAATTCCGTTTGAAATTCAATTTTGTACAACTAGGCAACGTCTTCTTTACACACACTGAAGACCAAAGCCCTATCCCAAGAAATATGCCCGGGAGGTCTCCGCATGGCTTGCTCGTTTTTGGACCGGATATTGGCTGTTTTCGATATAATCAACTAAAAATGTGCAAAGTCAAATCATGGAGATAAAATTTTACCTGAAATAGTGTTTAACAATATTTTTGATAGATAACAATTTGATAAAAATGAAATTCAGTGAGGTAAGACTGCATAGCTTGCCATTGTAAAATGAACGCTACGTACTTAAAAAAAAAAAAAAAAAAAACAAAAAAAACACACACAAATTTCTACCGTCTACCGCTTAAACACCATGTGTCTGAATCCGTTGCAGATTCGTTTTTGTACAACTTTGGAGGGTGAATAATGCACAAAATGAGGAACAAAGCCGTAACACAAGCGATATGTCCAGGAGATTTCCGCGTGGCATGTTCAATTTTGGGATCGGCGATTTGTTCTTTCCCTATATAAAATGCATAAAAATCACCATATTCTAGAGCGAACCGTTAAGACACCATTTGTTTGATTCCGTTGCAAATTCGTTTTTGTACAACTTTGGAGGGTCTTCTTTGCACAAAATGAGCACCAAAGCCGTAACCCAAATAATATTTCCAGGAGATTTCCGCGTGGCATGGCCATTTTTTGGACCGGCGATTTGTTCTTTGTCTATATAAAGTATCGTAAAATACACCATATTCTATAGCCAACCGCTACAACACCATTTGTCTGATTCCGTTGCAAATTCGTTTTTGTACAACTTTGGAGGGTCTTCTTTGCACAAAATGAGCACCAAAGCCGTAACCCAAATAATATTTCCAGGAGATTTCCGCGTGGCATGACCATTTTTTGGACCGGCGACCTGTTTTCTCCACTATGTAAAGTGCATATTAAATTTTCGTAAAAAACACCATATTCTATGGCCAATTGGTTTTAAACACCATTTGTCTGATTCCATTTAAAATTCGTTTTTGTACAAATATGGAACGTCTTTCTTTGTACATAATGAAGATCAAAGCCCTAATCAGAACAATATGTCCGGGAGGTTTCCGCATGGCATGGCCAATTTTTGGACCTTCGTTTCGTTCTATATGAAATCCATAAAAAAACACCATATTCAAAAGACAAAAATTAAGACACCATTCATCTGATTCCGTTCAAGATTCGTTTTTGTACAAATTTGGAGGATCATCTTTGCACAAATTGAGAACCAAAGCTGTAACCTAACAACCTCGTCCGTGAGATTTCCGCATGGCATGGTCATTTTTGGAACCAGAGTTTTGTTCTTTGTCTATATAAAGTGCGTACATTTTCGTAAAAAAACACCATATTCTACATCCAACCGTTTAAACATCATTTGTCTAATTCCGTTTGAAATTCAATTTTGTACAACTAGGGAACGTCTTCTTTACACACAATGAAGACCAAAGCCCTATCCCAAGAAATATGAACGGGAGGTCTCCGCATGGCTTGCTCGTTTTTGGACCGAATATTGGCTGTTTTCGATATAATCAACTAAAATTGTGCAAAGTCAAATCATGGAGATAAAATTTT